TCATCCCTGCTCTTCCCAGGGAGAATACATGTACAAGACTATGCTGTAGATCATCCCTGCTCTTCCCAGGGAGAATACATGTACAAGACTATGCTGTAGATCATCCCTGCTCTTCCCAGGGAGAATACATGTAGAGGACTATGCTGTAGATCATCCCTGCTCTTCCCAGGGAGAATACATGTACAAGACTATGCTGTAGATCATCCCTGCTCTTCCCAGGAGAATACATGTACAAGACTATGCTGTAGATCATCCCTGCTCTTCCCAGGAGAATACATGTAGAGGACTATGCTGTAGATCATCCCTGCTCTTCCCAGGGAGAATACATGTAGACAGAATACACAGAAGACTATGCTGTAGATCATCCCTGCTCTTCCCAGGAGAATACATGTAGAGGACTATGCTGTAGATCATCCCTGCTCTTCCCAGGAGAATACATGTAGAGGACTATGCTGTAGGTCATCCCTGCTCTTCCCAGGAGAATACATGTACAAGACTATGCTGTAGGTCATCCCTGCTCTTCCCAGGAGAATACATGTACAAGACTATGCTGTAGATCATCCCTGCTCTTCCCAGGAGAATACATGTACAAGACTATGCTGTAGATCATCCCTGCTCTTCCCAGGGAGAATACATGTAGAGGACTATGCTGTAGATCATCCCTGCTCTTCCCAGGGAGAATACATGTACAGGACTATGCTGTAGATCATCCCTGCTCTTCCCAGGGAGAATACATGTAGAGGACTATGCTGTAGATCATCCCTGCTCTTCCCAGGGAGAATACATGTACAAGACTATGCTGTAGATCATCCCTGCTCTTCCCAGGAGAATACATGTACAAGACTATGCTGTAGATCATCCCTGCTCTTCCCAGGAGAATACATGTACAAGACTATGCTGTAGATCATCCCTGCTCTTCCCAGGGAGAATACATGTAGAGGACTATGCTGTAGATCATCCCTGCTCTTCCCAGGGAGAATACATGTAGAGGACTATGCTGTAGATCATCCCTGCTCTTCCCAGGGAGAATACATGTACAAGACTATGCTGTAGATCATCCCTGCTCTTCCCAGGAGAATACATGTACAAGACTATGCTGTAGATCATCCCTGCTCTTCCCAGGAGAATACATGTAGAGGACTATGCTGTAGATCATCCCTGCTCTTCCCAGGAGAATACATGTAGAGGACTATGCTGTAGATCATCCCTGCTCTTCCCAGGAGAATACATGTACAAGACTATGCTGTAGATCATCCCTGCTCTTCCCAGGAGAATACATGTACAAGACTATGCTGTAGGTCATCCCTGCTCTTCCCAGGAGAATACATGTAGAGGACTATGCTGTAGATCATGCCTGCTCTTCCCAGGGAGAATACATGTACAAGACTATGCTGTAGATCATCCCTGCTCTTCCCCGGGAGAATACATGTACAAGACTATGTTGTAGATCATCCCTGCTCTTCCCAGGGAGAATACATGTACAGGACTATGCTGTAGATCATCCCTGCTCTTCCCAGGGAGAATACATGTACAAGACTATGCTGTAGATCATCCCTGCTCTTCCCAGGGAGAATACATGTACAAGACTATGCTGTAGATCATCCCTGCTCTTCCCAGGAGAATACATGTAGAGGACTATGCTGTAGATCATCCCTGCTCTTCCCAGGGAGAATACATGTACAAGACTATGCTGTAGATCATCCCTGCTCTTCCCAGGGAGAATACATGTACAAGACTATGCTGTAGATCATCCCTGCTCTTCCCAGGGAGAATACATGTAGAGGACTATGCTGTAGATCATCCCTGCTCTTCCCAGGGAGAATACATGTAGAGGACTATGCTGTAGATCATCCCTGCTCTTCCCAGGAGAATACATGTAGAGGACTATGCTGTAGATCATCCCTGCTCTTCCCAGGAGAATACATGTAGAGGACTATGCTGTAGATCATCCCTGCTCTTCCAGGGAGAATACATGTAGAGGACTATGCTGTAGATCATCCCTGCTCTTCCAGGAGAATACATGTAGAGGACTATGCTGTAGATCATCCCTGCTCTTCCCAGGAGAATACATGTAGAGGACTATGCTGTAGATCATCCCTGCTCTTCCCAGGGAGAATACATGTAGAGGACTATGCTGTAGATCATCCCTGCTCTTCCCAGGGGAGAATACATGTAGAGGACTATGCTGTAGATCATCCCTGCTCTTCCCAGGAGAATACATGTAGAGGACTATGCTGTAGATCATCCCTGCTCTTCCCAGGAGAATACATGTACAGGACTATGCTGTAGATCATCCCTGCTCTTCCCAGGAGAATACATGTAGAGGACTATGCTGTAGATCATCCCTGCTCTTCCCAGGGAGAATACATGTACAGGACTATGCTGTAGATCATCCCTGCTCTTCTTCCCAGGAGAATACATGTACAAGACTATGCTGTAGATCATCCCTGCTCTTCCCAGGGAGAATACATGTAGAGGACTATGCTGTAGATCATCCCTGCTCTTCCCAGGAGAATACATGTACAAGACTATGCTGTAGATCATCCCTGCTCTTCCCAGGAGAATACATGTACAGGACTATGCTGTAGATCATCCCTGCTCTTCCCAGGAGAATACATGTACAGGACTATGCTGTAGATCATCCCTGCTCTTCCCAGGGAGAATACATGTACAGGACTATGCTGTAGATCATCCCTGCTCTTCCCAGGGAGAATACATGTACAGGACTATGCTGTTGATCATCCCTGCTCTTCCCAGGGAGAATACATGTAGAGGACTATGCTGTAGATCATCCCTGCTCTTCCCAGGGAGAATACATGTAGAGGACTATGCTGTAGATCATCCCTGCTCTTCCCAGGGAGAATACATGTAGAGGACTATGCTGTAGATCATCCCTGCTCTTCCATAACAGGGAGAATACATGTAGAGGACAATGCTGTAGATCATCAATATTCATATAAATCTCGCACAATTTCAAACAAAACTGTCAGTTTAATACCATTCTCACTCTTCTGTAACACTGAAAGTTTCTCGACAGTCATGCAATATTATTTACACATGGAATGACATCTGTACAGAATCCTATAACCATCTCTCCAGTTTCACTGTGTGTATAAACATGCTGTCAATAACCTAGAACACAGATCTCCTTTGTCACAATAAATACAACTTCACGTTTGCTTCATTGCTTTTATAATGAATGTTCTCTGCAGCCACAATACAATGCCATGAAAAAACAAACAAATATTAAGTAAAAATCTTGATTCAATGTTCCTAATTTGCCTGAAAACCAACACACCAACAATTATAGCAGCTGCAAAAATCATACTTAAAAAACTTACTGTATTTGTTTTGTGCTAAAGTTAATCCTTTTAATGAAGTGTCAGTTATTTGTTTTCCTTTTGCCAGCTTTTTCTTTTCTTTCTGAATTTTTTTTTCTATTTAACCATATTGAAGAAAATATTGGTCCTATTCCCATGATAGCTGCCCATTACAAATGTACGGACATTTGAAGACATCTTGGTTCTCCGTGAGTTATAAATTGTAATAGTTATAGATATAATCAATACCTATATATGTAATGATTTTCTTTTCTTTCTGCATATTTTTTATTCCACATGAATATCTCGACAAGTTAAATAACATGCAAATATTTTTTTTCTCTCAAACTTCTGAGCCTCAAAATCAGAGTATACCTCAATCAAGTTGAGGTAATCTGAGTGAGTGAGGTTATTTTTCTGCCACTTTTTGCAATATTTCAGTTTCCTGCATACTTAAGGGACACAACTCTGCACAAACTATTGCTTATTGCTTCAATATTTTGGGTCTAACACCTATTTCAAACATTTCTTTCTACAAGCACCTGTATCAAAACGTAACAAGGAAATCCTACAGTAGGAGACAACCATGACTTGACTTCCTCGACACAGAGGTTCGAAATATATCACTTAATAAAAGGAAATATCCAAACACATTATGCATTCTGATCATGTTTAATGTCTCATAAGTACCACATCCCTCACCTTGGAGAGAAGTATTTTGGAGTCAAATATGATATAACAAGAGACATTATACTGTCGTACTCGCTCATAACAGGGCTTGGCTTAAGTACTTACACGGGTGAAATCCTACAATTGCAACCTCATATACTCATGGAAACTAATATGGGAACACATGAAAGTACAAGTGTTCCTTTATCCATTCCCAGAATTTCACCCACAGTGCAATACATACCTTGTGAAGAACCCTGGAAAAGAATAAAGGAACACTTGTACTTTCATCTGTTCCCCTGTTTGTTTCCATGAGTATATTTAAAACAGCTAAACAGAATAGTGAGGAACTGGCTTTGAGCATTGACACTGGTGACACAGACAGTGACCGAATGACTGTTACTCTTCATGTCATGAAATGATCTTATCACACCCAGAATAACCATGGCATAATGATGTTCCAATTCATCAATACCAAAATTCAAGCATTATATATAACTTGACATTGATCAGCAGGTGCAGCCTGTTTTTGTCTGGTGCAACAATGTTATTGCCTCAGGTTGCACTGGGTGCAAGTGTTTTATTTTCCTAAATCAAGGGGGCGGTGGGGTAGCCTTATGGTTAAAGCGTTGGCTCGTCACGCCAAAGACCCGGGTTCGATTCCCCACATGGGTACAATGTGTGAAGCCCATTACTGGTGTCCCCCGCCGTGATGTTGCTGGAATATTGCTAACAGCGGCGTAAAACCAAACTCAGTCAGTCAGTCAGTCCTAAATCAAGCCCTGCACAATATAACATAAATACAAGCTTAATATGATAGAGCCAGAATCAACTCAATGATAAATGCTACAACTGCTGCCTTCAGTTTTGGTATCCAAACGAGACCAAACAATACCTTATCATATCTGTCTACATCTAGGACTTAAATATGATATTCTCGTTTAATCAGGCATTATAAATCAACTGGCACTAATTCATGAATAATAAATTAAAAGGCTGATGAGGCAGAGAAACAACATATACAATTTATTTCTTCTGGAACGATTTTTTTTTCATTGTTGTGAACCAACTCTTGTGACAAAAGGCTACACAGATGACCTAATATTTCATTTGGTCTTTAAGTTAAAGCAGGATAAAAATGACCTCCTAATGTTTGCTGAAAGAAATCAGTGCCCATGAAACCAGGGACCCTATCCACAAAGCGTGTAGCACTATGCCATTAATAAGCCTATGATAAAGTATAAAGTCACAATAGGTCGAAACGTTACGAACGCTTTGTGGATTGGAACCCTGGTCTGTTGAGCATTCTACACCAAGATAAACAAATCAATAAACAGAGCACCCAATATGGCATAACCTTATACTGAATATCATACCATGGTAAAGCTTAGATGTAAATAGTTAACAAGTCCTGATGATCTTGAAATTCAGTCACAAATCATAAAAACAGACATGGCAGTAATTACATGTTTCATACACAACCTTCATGAGAAATTGGTTCAGACATATGTAATACTGTTTCACATGGTAAGTAATCATTCTGTTCCACTAAATAAGCCAATATTTCACCACTCACTGTTTTTCTTACACAACAATCATTCTAACAAACACTTCCACTGTGTCAGTAGTACTGGTTGTACGAGTCACCTTGTGGTCTCTGAGGAGGGGGGTGCATGGGACCACCTGTGGGGCGAGGTGGGGGGACTCGTGGAGGGGGACTAGTCCATGGCATTCTGGGGCTACCTGGCTGATTAAATGGTGGTGGTCCATGCCCATCGTCGTAGTGTCCATGAGGGCTGGGGAAGCGGGGTGGGGGTTGCCCCTGCTGTCTCTGTTGCTGGGGGGGCCCCATCCTTGGCGGGGGTCCAGTGAGATGAGGCTGAGGCCCCCCTGGATTAACGCCTTGTGGATGGGGGTGAGGTATAGGCCCTGGGGGTGGACCTCCATGAGGGTGGGAACCCGGAACAGTAAGAGGTCTCAATGTCTGTGCCATGGGGGCAGTAGAGTAGGGGACAGGCCCTGTGTGACTGATGGGAGCGAAGGACGCAGGAGGAGCCATGGTTGATGGTGGGAATGGCTGTCTGGGGGGTGGAACCCCCGTAGCCAGGTGGGCAGGGAGGGGAGGCATCCCCGTCCCAGCCAGAGTCTGATACATGAGAGCATGTTCTGGTCGACGGTATTCCGACTCATCCTGTATGGGAACAGTGATGAGATTGGTCCTGCCGGTAGATGACATCATCGGTATTGAGGAGGTCTGGTAGCTCTCTATTGTGGACACCGGAGTGAGTTGAGGCTGTGACAGGGCTGGAGCAGTCACAGCTGGGTGTAACTGAGGCATGGATACATGGTGGGTCTGCACCATTGCTGGCATTGGCTGAGGTACAGGGGGACCTTCGATAGGTCTGTACACGGACTGTTCTATCATCTGTCTCGGTGGAGGGTTCAGATCTTGTGGAGGAGGAGCGTGGCTCACGGTGCTGCTGCTGAACGCCTCAGCCTGCGTGGAATGATGATGAGGAGGGGGAGGCTTCGAGGGTGCCAGTGGCGGGGGATCCGGCCGGGAACCGGTACTGAGATGGCGGTGGTTGGCATGAGCCTGTAGGTCCCTCTGGGACAGGTATGTCCGTCTACAACCACCACTGCTATGTTTGGCACCTCCATATGTACAGATGAAAACTGTGCCAAGGGCAGACTGCTCAATTCTCTGGACAGGATCTTCACATCTGCAGGATACGAGAAGGCATAAAACATCAAAATACTGGTTCATTTGATATTTGACATCAGTCAGCAATATTCGATTGAAATTACAGTCGCCTTTACAGAATCAAATCTAGAGGTTGATAATGAGAGCATCATATACATTCAATAAATATTGCATTAACATGTTTCATTTTTCTCTTAAATAGACATGTGGTGGAACATCATACCTAGGACATTTCTTCTCTGTCTTCCTAGCACAGTCGAAACAGAACACATGCTTACAGGGAATCTGGAACATATACAAAAGAAAGTGTCACAAATTCTTATATTATACAAAACAAATCATGATGATCCAAAATATCTACTGATCGAATGTTAGCACCATGTTTAGTTATAATCTGTTGCAGATAATAATGTACAAAAAATCTGATGCTTCTGAAGCAGCAAATACTGGATCCTGAAAGAGTGAGAGGGCAGGGGGCAGATAAAGCTTTTTGAGAGGGGGGGGGAAGAAGAAGGGGTTTGGAACACTCTTAAGAAAGTGGAGTGCACACTTCTTTTTCATGAGAGTTTCAATGGTCATTTAATGTAATTTTCTGAATAAAAACTAATAAAAGGATATAATGCCGTATAGGGGACCAGGTGCTCTCACAACAACCGCCCACTCGGGTGAATCAGGAGAGAGTGAGGAGCATGGCGACAGGTGGCGCCGCTTTCCCACCAAAACCTGGGGAAGGGAGATGACTCCTGGTGAGTGATTTTACGTCCACTTTTTTGAAGGGAGCTTCAAAAGGGGATTCAAGTGTTCCACTAGCATTCAGACGGAAAGGGAGACAAGCAATAAGCATGTGTCAGGATAAGGAAAAATATAAACTTTCAGGACAAAAGGGAGGGTGCGCACCCCTGCACACACACACCACACCACACATCCCACCCCCCCTCTGGATCCGCCTATGGTGAGTTTTACGTTGCTTTTAGCAATATTCCAGCAGGGGACCAGACATGAGCTTCACACATTGTACCGAGGATCCTGAAGGAACTGCATGGATAATCGGCCCCTTACGTCAACTGCATCACACAGCCCTCGTCATCAGCTGGCGGACATGTCTCCACTTACCATTCTCCCATAGATGAGTATAGGCAGGGTACACTTCTCACAGCAGTGTATCAGGGGATCCACCACCTTCTCACCAATCAGCTTCACCTGAAACAAGGTGGCATAAAGTCATGCTTTAAAGTTTACACCATTTCTTTCATGCTGATTGGCTGAATGGGCATCTGATCTGAGATCACACAGACAGTTAATTCACACAATGTGAACAATCTTTTCTGGAACTGATCATGTGAACTGTCGTTAGAAGTACATTCGAGGGTTTTCCAGAACTCATGGTGTCTACAATCAACGTGACTGTCTACTAAAATATTTAATTCTTATTCCCTGCATTTACTGTATCAGCTTTATAATTGATTTCGTAAAATGACTGACAAACAGAAATCCCAAACTCAAAGCAACTCATAGGTCATTTGATGTCCTAAGAACTTTGTCAGTGAGACAAATGAGTGAGTGAGTGAGTTTTTACACCGCTTTTAGCAATATTCAAGCCATATTACAGAAGGGGACACCAGAAATGGGCTTCACACATTGTACCCATGTGGGGAATTTAACCCGGGTCTTCGGCGTGACAAGAGGACGCTTTAACCACTAGGTAACCCAACCACCCTAAAGAACTTAGTCAAGTAGCAGCCAGCAGTATGATCTGAATTAAATGAGATAATCATGGGACGATACCCAGAAATGATGCAGGTGATAGATATTTAACACTTTGGTGAATTCAGTGTCTTGACCACGTTGACTAGTGGCCGACCAGTAACCAATCGAAACAATCAGCTGACCTTGTGATCCCAGCGCAGCCTCTGACTCTGGTGCATTGGCTCAACAGCGTAGGCCGACTTGAAGATGACAAGATCTGGGGTGACCAATTCTTCCTCTGAAATGGTCACAATACACACATCATGTCGAGAAACTATGGCAACCAACTTTGTATTGTATGAACATTTTAGTCACTTAACACTATTCAGGCGGACAGATAGATGGACATGCTTATGGATATGTCTCTGTTTTACAAACAGGGGGTGGAAATAACCCATTGCCCGACGCCCGAGTTCAGTGTTTTTTCTGTTGGGCAAGCAAATTTGTATATCACACTGTACCGGTGTCCAGTTGACTTTCCAATATTAATTATGTTGTTTATTTAAAAAATCAACAAGAAAACGGCCGGTATAGAGGAAAAATTATCAGGTCAAGTAATTTTACATGTGCCACTGTACCGGAGTACACTAGCAATTTTAAAGTTATTTCCACCCCTGAAACAGGGTTGATACCATAGTCTAAGGATGTCTAACATCCTTATATTATTTCCTGCAGTTCATGGGTAAATTTACAATCCACACGATCAATAAAAATCAGCAAATAATTTAGAACAGACAAGTAAAATAAGAATAGACGTTTGCTTGTCAGTTACTTTCAGCATAATTACATCACAGGTTGATGGGATACAAAGAATTATCCAGGATGCTGACGGCAGAAAAAATCATTGTTTTTGTGCAAAAGTGAGAATTTTCTGAATCTTGAACCTGCTGAGGTAACCACCCTATTTCCTGCAGCAGTAGTATGATCAGACAGGTCTCGTTTATGTTGAACGTTACACCTACCCTGCATGGCAGCTGGAGGGGGAGGGGGTGGGGGTGGTGACCCTTCAACTTCAGGTTCTGGGTCTGGTTCACGTGCCTGGGCTCCTTTACGACCTCTACCTCGGCCACGACCCCTACCCCTTCCACGACCTCGACCTTTACCAGTCGTCTTACGTCGTAGGCCACTCTCTGCTTCCAAATCAAGATCTGGTAACAGTAGATAATTATTAATGTCACAAAAACTCAAGCAAATCATGCTAACTATGGAAATGTAAATACTCCTAACCATGTCCTTTTAATTAATAAGTATTGGCATGTTGCAACATTTGAATGCACAATGCCATTTATGGAAAGCGGTCAAATGTAACATATATTACGGGATTACACGTTCTCAGTTAAGTACAGATTTTAGTACTTTTGTCCCAGCCGGGATTCGAACCCACACTCTCTTGGACTGACTGACTGAGTTTTGGTTTTACGCCGCTTTTAGCAATATTCCAGCAACACCACGGCGGGGGACACCAGAAATGGGCTTCACACATTGTACCCATGTGGGGATTCGAACCCGGGTCTTCGGCGCGACAAGCCAATGATTTAACCACTAGGCTACCCCACCGCCCCTCACTCTCTTGGAAGCGGCAGTGGCTGAGTGGGTTATATCAGTATTATCACCAACTTTGTGTGCTGGCGCTTAGGTCCCTGAATCTGAGAGTGTGGGTTTGAATCCTGGATGGGACACAACGAAGCAAAAGTACTAGAATCTGTATTTTACTGAGACAGTGAAATCAAAAATATAACATATGATACATTTTGAACATTTCACACGAACACTGCAAAAATGATACATGCATATGAAGATGATGACTGTCATGATTTTATACATTACAACCATGATAACATGAAATTGAGTCAGGTTTCAAGCCAGCAATAGTCCAGCAATATGGCCCAGGACACCAGAGCGAGTGAGTTTGGTTTTACGCAACATTTAGCAACATTCCAACAATATCGTGGCGGGGACACCAGAAATGGGCTTCACATATTGTACCCATGTGGGAAATTGATCCTGGGTCTTTGGCATGATGAGTGGATGCTTTAACCACTAGGCTACCCCACTGCCCCCCATGACACCAGAAATGGAATTCATACAATTACCCATGCGGACAATACAGCCCAAATCTTTGACAAGACCAGCAAAGACATTAACCACTTGTTCCTCCCACCACCTCAAAAACATCATACAAACTGTAATCATTTTATTGTTTAAAACTTAAATACATTAAACTAGACACTTGGAGACACAGATTTCTTAAAATTGAGAAAATGTCAAAATAAATAAAAATATAATGATAATAGCCAACCTGACAAAAAAAACTAATACATTACTTATCTGTCAAATTTGCATTATACATACAATATCGGATGAATATCCTGTTAATGACCATAGAGTATAAGGTTTTTCAGTTACTTGAGCCAGTAGAAGTGCACAGTGCTCCAACATGAGGTGGTGCTGGGTTTGTTTTCAACATACAGCAATGAGGTATGCTTGTTTGAATGTTTGATTTACTCGGACCAAGGATTCAGAAGCCCAACTTATGATAAAACAATGAGAAAGTTCACCTGCCACAACCTCTTAACTTGCACATATATATTGTATTGGAACTGATTCTAAGGAGATAAGTCTGAGAGAGGCCAGTCATTTCTCACAAAATGAACAAGCATCAGATCTCAGAAACTATTCTGCACTTTGATGGTGCGGCATCAAGTGAAGTGAGTGCATGCACAAATGAGGGAGTGTATAAGTGCATCGGTGAGTTAGGTATTATGCTGAGTTTAGCAATATCTCAGCAATATCATGACGCAGGACATCAAAACTTGGCTTCACACATTGTACCAACATAGGGAATCAAACCCAGGTCTGTGGGTGGGCAACCAAATGCATTAACCCCATCTCCAGTTCTTCTATATGACCATGAGCATAGTTGCTTTTTTAAAACATAAATTGATAACCGACAATATGATGACTATCAAGTATAGTATTAGTTAAGATGCAGTTAATTAAAATAAAAAAAGAAATTGAGACAAACATATGCTGAAGTTAAAAAAGAAACGCTTTCAAAAGTTGGAAGATAGATAAGTTAAACAAGCGATAAGAAAATTTAACCTTTAGAGAATAAGTTGATAAGAAAATAAATTCACACTGAAACATGACCACCATTTTATACTAGTATGTCAATGAATCTGGTGATAATGATTTGTCCTGATTACCAGTTTACCTGACTACAAGCACATTACCAGAAAGTTGCAGACTATTCTGACTTATCTATCACATTTACTAAAAGTGGAAAGTAAAGAAAGGGAGGATTAAACCTTGAAAAAAAGCATTGGAACAGTTGAACAGTTCAAACTACAATGAAATGATGAAATACATCACCAAGAAAATGTCATCTGATTAAGACTTGCAAAGCTGGAAAAAAATAACCCTACATGAAATGCAATTGAGTAATTAAAAGTGATATAAAAATAATATAAAAAACAAATTAAAAAACCTAATATCTGAGGTATTAAATGCACCAATATATCTGATACTGGAACAAATATTTTGAATTCAAGCAGCATATGTTTTATTGAATCAAGTTACTCCAACAACTGCCCACTGGATGAAGGGAGATAACTTGAAGCACATTTTCAACATGTGACAGCTTGAGACACCAACAATGAGGCTCACACATTGCTGAGGAGTATGATAATTCAACAACTTTTCAATGGATCAAAAAGCATCTGTGCCACTATAAGAATATGGTATCAACAGGACATATTGATACAAAACTCATAAAGAATACATATGACTTGTATATAGTTACTTATCAGGATACAGGGCTCCAGATAAGGGCCGTATCGACGTATGTACGGATAAAAAATATGCACGATACGGTAGGAAATAATTTTGAAAACGTAGCAGATATGCACCACAGCAATGGTGTACGAATCATTTACAGACGTATTTATATGAAAAAGTATTGTTTTATTGTTTACTGACCTGTTTACACAAGAGTAGCAATGTTGTGGTGCACATAACAAACGAAACACAAGAATACTGATTACTAATTTCCATTCAGTACTCTAAATGTACTCTTAAGTTTTTCCAGTACTCCTATATTGAAAAAATAAGGAGTACGTACTCCTGATGTTGAAAAATTATCTGGAGCCCTGAGGATACTTTTACTCATCCTGAACCTGTAATTGACATGTAAGCTAAATAAAGACCCAAGATATATACCATTTGGGATTAACATTAATAACAAACCAAGAATCGTCATTATAAGACCAAATCTTGATTTGTACCAATCATCATAGAATTCTGAAACAACTTTGTGATCAATTCTGTATACAGATTTTAGACATTAAGAAAAATGTGCCATGCTTGTCCTTTATGACACATCGAGGATACTCATTAGTTTGAACCAGGCTTATGAACCTTTAGCCAAGAAGATCCTGGAGGATAAGAGGACCGCCTCCGTTGTGTAGTGATTAGAGCGTCTACCCGGAGAGCAGAAGGTCGCGGGTTCGATCCCCGACCGCGTCATACCAAAAGACGTTAAAATATGGTACATGTTGGTCCCTGCCTGGCGCTCAGCATTAATGGGTACAACAAGGACTGGTCGGCTCGGAGTCAGTATAATGTGTCTGAGTGGGGTATTCATGCTTCACTGCGGCATGGTATCTCAGTGAGCTAGCACTATAAAACCTAGTAGAAGCAGCCGCACATACACATACACACGCATGCACGTCGTCATATGAGCGAAATATTCTCAAGCACGACGTTAAACCCAATTTCACCTCACCTCACCTGGAGGATAAGGGACATTGCTCTTCACCATGTTCACTTCAGACCATATACACAACCACCCTAAATTGGTAAACTGAATACCTTAATTTCATATGACCAGAACAAAGTGTCCGTTTACAATAATCAGGTATGTCCTGTAATCATAGGATAACAAAAATGGTATAACTGTAAAAAGGTTCGTCATTACCCCAGTTATATCCTGATGAATAGTTCGATAAAGGCAGTTCGTTTGAAATACTTGGTCAAATCAAATGCATAATTATAATGCATAAACTTTGAGCTTTCAAGAAAGTTACGGAATGCTAAGACACGCAGTGACAGGCCTCAACATTGAAAGCATACCAACATATGAAAATGTAGCGATTCCAAAGACTACTATTGTGGATATTATGTGCGGTATTATGTGCCTACAGCCTAGGCTTGCGTTTATGTTTATTGTCGACAGATACTTAAAACTAAGCTATTTATCCATGTATGAAACGTAAACTGCAGAGTTAAGTGCATTGGTGTTATTGGGAGGGGATGTAATCACATCTAATCCAAAGTTAATGTTCTAAGCACTGAAGCCGAGTTGCCAAGATTTCAAAGTTGGACATGGACATCACTGCATAATCTGTGGCAGATCAATATCTATCGTGTATTTCCACTTAGAGAGACATAGACGTAGTCATTGTCAATTACACGATTAATTTGCCAATGGAACAGTCTGAATGACACCGTTATATGTAGATTTGATTCCGAAAAACACGCACCTTCGTCCATGATGAATATGATCAAGTTTGTAAGTACAATGTTGATTGGTCAATCCACACTTCCGTTGTAAATGACGCGCTTTTTCATTTGCCGATGGGTAGATAGAACAGAGTTACCTTCTCTTGACAGCGACAGGAATCTCATTCCATGTGCAATCTTTGTCAACGAAACGTGACTTGTCATCTTTGATATTGTTACGGGTACAGTTGTTCATTTGATTTTGAAGATAATTTGTCTTCAACTTCAAAAATAGAGCAACAACTTAGAAAACGAAAGCACACTGACTCGGTGTGCAGGTCGTCTATTCCGACCATGGCGTCTCCAAACAATGATGATCAGGGACAGGGAAGAGAAAAAGAAACAAAACGAAAGAAAGATTGTGACACAGGTCAAGAAATAAAATCTGTGGGTAAGATATCTCATATGATAATAATTTTCAAACAAAGTATAGAATCATCACCAAAAAAAATCTTTTCTTAGTGCAGTGATCAGTCATAATGAAGAAGGCTTGATGTTTATGTTGTGCTAAGGATCACTTTTAGAATACAGCACCACACCTTCTGGTGAGGACGTTCTCTGCTGTTGGTCACGTGCCACTGAGACAGACAACATGTTTTGTGAGAATTCATCAGATGTGAACTCACGACTTTTGGATTGTTAGCCGACAGCTAACCAACTGAGCTACGTCCACACTGTTAAACCATGTGTAAATTTATCTTAATTATCTTAAACAATTACAATAGCATCGCATGATTTTAATCTACGGAATATTTATGAATGATCGCAGTGCTATCTGGCACACCAGTCCCATTCCGTAATCTACAAGATAACGAGTGGTGTGGAATGAGCCGATATGGCGCGAACTGAAAATGGCCGTATACATCAAGTGTCAACATTGAAATGATGGTATGCATGAATAACATTCTTTCACAAAATTCGTGGTAAATTCGTGACCGAAAAATGGCTATGTTTAACACACAAACTCCCAACAGCGCGCTGGGCTTATTCAGTGACAATGCATAAGAGATGAACACTGACAGGAACTTAAGCACACTCAGTAACCTAGCAAAAGTTTGACATCACAGAGCATTGTTTGGGGTCACAAATTACATCAAAAGGTATTATGACAGAATTTGTAAAGTTTATGGTGCTATATTCTAAAGGTAGGCAATTATATTAATAGCAGAGCTAGAAATTAAGGAGCATCTTTAGAATAAAGTAACGACAAATGTCTCTGTCAGAGTTCATGCACCTTAGGGAAGTTACATGTTTCGTGAGATTCAATCAAGCTAACCAACTGTTCAACACTGTCAATGATCCAGTTGGTAATATGGATTTCTGGTAATTCATTTATCTTCTCATGCCTATGTAGCAGGGTGTGGAGTCATCCCATAGATGACATCCTTACCTCGTCAGCTACCTCATTGGCCATGTGGACAAGGTGTCCATCTTCAGATCAGAAGGTCCATGGTTCAAATCCCAGCACATGAATCAGAAGTTTTATGTCCGCCTCACCTGAAAGGTTATGAAAATGAAACCTCCAAGTCACCTTGGTTTCTTTTTATCTGACATCAGTAGATGGACATTTGCATGTGGTTGCTGTGCCACTCTCATCCAGTAATCTACACACAATGTCATGGTAAAGAATGAATCAGTATGACATGAACTGAATTTGGCAGCAGATGTCTTATAGTGATTTCCAGTCTAAGTAAACTTAGCCTCAGTATAATTCGTTACACTGCTATACTGAGTCAAACAAACCCTAGTAGAAGGTTGCGTCAGCTAACCTTTGAGCAACCTATGACTGTCCAATCAAACGTGAGACAGCTGAATGGATTTAACCAATCAAACAACGGCTACTTGTTAGGGTTCGGCGGGACTTACAAAGCGGTTTTTTGGATTTTCTCTTCCTTGGTCACTGACACTGAACTATCAACAAACGAAAATCCGCATAAAGCACAGATATTTGACCTGCAGTATATACACTTAGGGGTTTCTAATGACATGGTTACTATTAGCTTATATTTCCGAAAGATGACATCCTGGAATAGTGATGAAATACAATATTTTCAGCGACTGTTTACTCATTGCGTCCTCCTTGTGTATTACTCGGAAGCGATTGTGCGGAAAATAGCATTCGGAATCGTTCGAGTATTTTGGGTAAAGGTTCAAACAGTATTTGCGAATGTTAACTTTCGCGATTTGGTAAGCTGTGTTCTGATTCGTTAGTCCAAAAGGTTAGCTGACGCGACCTACTACTAGGGTTTGTTAGACTCAGTATAGCAATGTAACGAATAATACTGAGCCTAAGTTTACTTAGACTGAGTGATTTTAAGAGTAGGCATGACTGGAAGGGTATTTAATGATTTGATGGATGATTTTGGTACCCAAAAGTGAAGGATGGAAAACCGAGACCAATGGCATTGCTACTGATGCCACAAGGGTGAGTCAGATTTAAAATTATATCTGAGCAAAGGTAGCACGTGATACTGAAAGTGGCTTGATTTAATGTTCCATGCCATTACATTCAAAATCAGATCATGTCATTTTGCTGTCTGGATATGTTTGTGGGAAATAAAATGAAAATTTCAAAACAATGAGATGATAAGTGCATTAGTTTGAACCTTTTGTCTCCCTTGTGGGGACATGAATATCCCATAAGTTAACACAATCAAATGTCCTTAAAGCAGGTCTGTCGCTGTTTTTAACATGATGAATCCAGAGTGGTAGACTGAGCGATTTTTTAAATTAAAATAAAATACAATTCCTGAAACTGGTAATGTAGACTTGCCACGCATTGTAGACTTGCATGGGCTGCATTGGGTATATTTGTTTCAGGGTCTGTATGAATCACTACCAAAGTAGTAATGGAATATGGTGTCTGCAAACAGATGTCTAATCCAGTTTCCAAAAAGATAAGATCCATATCAGGTCTAAAAGGCCTCAGTTCACCGTCTTGTCCATCCTTAGGCCCAACCAGCCTTGAAGAAACTGCCCCATGCCAGAACGTCTCCAATGATCAAGCCTACAAACAACCAGGCTCCGATTACCCTAAACTAATCACAGCCACCTTTATTCGATATTTTGCTCCCACTGTTTACTACCACAGACATGTCTACGAAAGTAGATGGGTGCTATATAGTGTTGAGAATTGGTTAAAATCTCATAATTGATGATTGCTTCATTGCAACCGATCAATCATCGAAAATAATTGGTTAGCGTCATTTATGAAATTTTCCTGGTTATTTTTGTTAATGCACAAAAACATAAAGAAAAAAACATGTAGTTCTTGGGAGGTTTTTTTTGCAAATTTCACATCTTGAAAGGATGTCTAGTATGTTAGGAACATAAATTTCGTGGGGTCTTTAAGATAAATTCAATCATGACTTGGAATGAGCTTGTAGTGCTCAGGAAATGTAACTGACAAAACCAACCTTGTGAAAAATATTGTTAATGCAAAAAAATGTTCCAGAATTGTTTGTGTTCGATTATGAGAAAACATGATCGATTGCTTGGTCGTTTAGTCACTGCGACCAATCTTCGATTCTTTCAATTAATTGGACCACCACTAGTGCTATACTTGCGATGTTCTTGTGCAACACAACAATCAGCAATATTCAAAACCATATGGCGGCAGTCTGTAAATCCAGTTTGGACCAGACAATCCAGTGATCAATATCATGAGCATTGAACTACGCAGTTGGGATACAATGATGTGTCAACCAAGTCAGCAAGCCTGACCACCTAAACTTGTTAGCTGCCTCTTACGACAAACATGGGTTGAAGACCAATTCTAACCCGGATCTTGACAGGCCGCTAAACTTTTGAAAATGAGTGACGTACATGTGTATAATTCTTGTTATATCTGTTAACTACAAGACATGTGCCTTACGTTTGTCTGTTTCTTTCCAGATTATGACATTTCTTGGACACAGACATACAGTGATGTTTCTGCAGTCTTCAAGTTTAAATCCAAAATTGAGAGAGCAAATGAAATTGATGTCCAGTTTGAGGAAAACTTGATAAAAGCTGTTTTCCCAAGTGAGTATTCCGTACCGAAAGTACTGTCAGAAATAGAAAAAAAAGAAGTTTTTAGGCTATTCCTCTGTATCATCTGTATCCCTAAGATTTACACAACTGCAAATAGCATGTGTCGAAATAACCCACATCGGCCTAACTGGGCGTTCAGTGGGATGCGTAATAGGGTATCCAGAAAAGCATGTTTACTCGTAAAATCGGGCAAATACTTACATAAATGTTTATTTTCATACTGTCTGATGTTCAACATATGCCTAAAATGAAATGATAGTTGGAAATCCTTCGGTAACGGATACACAGATCAGCCTGCTGGTATAAATATTAATAAACTAGTAAGTTGTAAAGAGAATTATATTCTTAATCTTATTACTTGTATTTATGTTAACTATGGTAAATTTGATGTTTTTAATTACAAATCATCTATATCATGAATAAGTTGAACACTAAAAATAGAATTTGTGATAAATACCCTAGTATGTGACATATCTCTGTGTAGTGTACTCATTCAATCGCTCTTGGGATGATTTAACATGCACGTGCGTTTGGTCGGGAAAAATAAAATTTTCGTGCATTATACATTCCTATACTTTTGATATCTTAAAATACATATTATGAGGATTACAAAGCAGAAGAGTTCGCTTTTATTGCAATTTGTTCTAGGTTGAGCTGTATATGAGCTAGGATGACTGGACTAATGGTCTGTTCCAAATAAGTTGATTCTTGCTCTGTCATCAGGTAAATCTGTCATATAAAAGTCGTATTAAGAATAAAAAGAAGTTGTTATCCATAAAACATGTCATGTATTCATTTTCATCCAACTTCTAAATGCCTTTCAAGAACTACTGTTATAGAATAATTTGCCAGAAAAAAAATTAAATCCATGATTAGGGTTTCAATGTGATCAAAATTCATATTACATGTTTTTCAAAACTTTGTTTTCTCTTATTGTTAACCCTATCTGAAATGACTAATTAAGTTGGCCATACATATTTTTGTTGGTATAATTACTGATGTATAATCTCTGAGTAATGTAGGGGTGGTAGCTTAGTGGTTAAAGCATTCGCTCGCCACGCTGAAGACCCGGGTTCGAAGGAATAGTGCTATAAGTGGTGTAAAACTAAACTCATTCACTCTATCTGTTTCCTTTGATGATGGTATATATCTCCTGGCGTGACAGGACCACCGCCATGGTTCAGTAGATTGAGCGTCTGCCTGGAGAGCAATGTGTCACACTGTCAGTGGTTTGATCCCTGGCTGCATCATTCAAAATAATGTTCAAATTTAGAAGCTGTTTGTATCCTGCCAGACACTCGGCATGAGGGCATTCAGGGAATTACCATGAGTCCTGTTTTTGAGGGTCCCTGGGACTCATACTCTTAAGTTTCAGGGGTCCAGACAATTAAATATTATTATCATTAGTGTTATTGTCTTGTGTATCATGATCATCACATTATTTGTTACAGTAATTGAATCGCAAATGATACCATAACCCGGCTAGTAGCAAACTCTTTGATAACTTTTTGTTACTTGATTGGAATTTTGACAAAAAGTATTTGGACTTCTTCTGCGTCCCTGTGGATGCGGTTATAAATTTTGTTGCTTCCATTGTCAATTTTTATGCATATAGGACGCAGGGCCCCTATTCTCGAAAGGATCCTATCCCTAGGATATCCTAACTTTGATCCTAGGGTCTAGGATAGGTGTACTACCTTATTCTCGAAAAGTATCCTTTTTAATCACAACATTGCTCTTTCCAGTCACATTGCCGTGAATTGTCAATGTCAAGGCCAACTTGATAGGGGAAGTAACTCCGATCCTCTTTATTTCCTAGGTGAATTTTTCATTTTGTGAGATGATGCATAATGAGAGTTCAAATGATGATTTTCATTTAAAAAAAAATACAATTAAATTATTTTTTGCACATATCTTTAATATCCTTATTGTTATTTGGCAGACTTTCAAACTCTGAAGTAAAAAATGTTATCACCTTGTCAAAAATTGAATTTTCAAAAACTTCAAAACTACTATGTAATGTGATGAAAAGATCGAATAATTTCTTCTAGATCTACTAAGCCCATCAAATGCTGAATATCATCATATTTTGTGTTTTTTATGAAATCATGGGTAATATTTAGGGGAATCCCCAACTTAATGAGGGGTTTTCTATCTCATCTACTGAAGAACTCTCATTCCTAGCTAGGATAGGTACCACAAGTTAGGACAGGGATAGGATCATTTCGAGAATGGGTCTTATCCTAACGGTAGGCTGTCTTAACTACTTAGGATCTGTCTTAGCTGGGACACTTTCGAGAATAGGGGCCCAGGAATTTACGTCCTGTAAATCCCTGAGGCATAAAACAAGGAGTGGTGAAAACAGTGTCAGTTTACTGTCAGTGTTTGCTGTGTGAAGTTGGGTGTGTAGAATGGAGTATGATATCACAGTGATCTAAAAACAGGATGAGTGTGGAGTACCTCATACAGAGGTACAGATAAGCTGTAAATAAGCTGTGTAAATTACGCAAATATTTATGTGAAAACTCAATTCATATTAAGTCTATTGCGTACTGGTACGCTTAAATTTTTGTAAATGCTCAATAAATGTGATATCTTACACGCGTACACACAAAAATGTTAAATCTTAGCTTGTGTACAGGTGGATAGATAAATAACTGCAGTATATTGAGAGGTTCTATTTCAGGACATGAACTTGGCAACTTGCAGTCTTTCTTATCATTTCTCATATTACAGATCAAATATAAATAAGAAACACTAACATTTAAATTTTATATTTTTAAAATTGATGGAAAATGGCAAAATACCCAATTGAGTTTCAGTGAGGTGAGTACAATATATTTGGTTACTCAAAGGAAAATTAGGATACCCAATTGAGATAACACAAGCAAGTACATAACCCAGTGGTCAAAAAAGTTATCTGTAGTACTGCTCATAGTAGAGGAAGCCACACCATGACATGCATGTCGCTATAATCTGGAGGGCGGTGGGGTAGCCTAGTGGTTAAAGCGTCCCATCGTCACACCGAAGACCTGGGTTCAATTCCCCACATGGGTACAATGTGTGGAGCTCAATCTGGTGTCCCTGCCGTGATATTGCTGGAATACCTCACCTCACCTCACCTCACCTCACCTCACCTCACCTCACCTCACCTCACCTCACCTCACCTCACCTAGTTTTGTCACTATGGTGACAAAGCGTATTATTGCAAGTCATCTACAATGATGGTCGTTAAACTAAAAAATCCAATACTGCTTCAACATATTGTTGAGGGGCGGCTGGGTACCCTAATGCTAAAGCGTTTGTTCGTCACACTGAAGACCCAGGTTCGATTACCCACATGGGTACAGTGTGTGCAGCCCATCTCTGGTGTCCCCCACCATGATATTGCTGGAATAGTGCTAAAAGTGGCGTAATACCATACTCATACATTATAGTGTTGATGTTGTATTTGTATTAAGGGGGCGGTGGGGTAGCCTAGTGTTTAAAGCATTGGCTCGTCACGCCGAAGACCCGGGTTCGAATCCCTACATGGGTACAATGTGTGAAGCCCATTTCTGGTGTCCCCCGCCGTGATGTTGCTGGAATATTGCTAAAAGCGGCGTAAAACCAAAACTCAGTCAGTCAGTCAGTATTTGTATTAAGTATGAACAAATGATGAATCTGTTTCAATACAAGTATATTTAAAACACAGAGGGAGGCTCCTGGTCCTATCGATTGTTTGGAGAAGTCAGGAAAGAAAAGAGTCGAGTGATAGTGAAAGGGTCACGAATGGAACTGAAGATGGTGAAGAAGATTGCTCAGAACTGGCCGACATATCAGGTAGATAAAATATTTCACACCTTATTATGTAAACCCTGCAGCTGTGGTATACAAACACTTGATTATGTTATCATTGCTTATTTCATGAGTTCTTGTAGTGGTAAAAAATGACAATACATGTATGTATAAGATTGATAAACATAATAAAGATAGTCGTAACCTTGTTCAGTACCAACACATGGCATTGAGAAAACATAAGTTCGAAATCTATATTGATCCAGTTTTGATGGTGATAGATGTTTCTAAGCCTGTTCTGATGTTTGGCAAAAACTGATGTGTTCTTTAGGAGGTAACACCCAAGAAAGAGGAGCCGTATGCTAGTGCTGGTCCCTCTGATCTCCAAACAGGTCCTGAAGGTCACACAGGGGACGAAGACAGCAAGGAGAAAATAGAAAAAAGATGAAGGTCAGTTATTTTACATTTCATTCAAGTACAGACTTGAATGATAAGCTGCACTTGAAATATATGTGTAGCTCATGTATCCTACTGGTTGGTGGGATAGGTTGGTTATGATGATTCCTGTTGTGTACACTCTTGATTTCCTGTGATTTTTAATGTTCATCCTTCTTGTTTATAATTCTTCACAGAAAGGGTTATGTGAATTTATGTCATTGTTGTCATCTGTAGAATTTGTGTTTTCAAATCGTCTATGAAACTGTTAGTGTTAAACCATAAGGCTTAATTTGCATGGGTGGTGCTCACAGACTCCTGATCCAGTTTCACACCTAGATACTATACAGTTTATGTATAGGAATACATTTAATGTAAGTTGGTATGTTAATGTACAGTGCGTATGTCCAAGTGAAGTTGTATTCAGGGACTTACCTTGAGTCCTGTTTTTGAGGGTCCCTGGGACTCATACTCTTAAATTTTAGGGGTCCTGGACAACAAAATGGGGGTCCAGACAATTAAATATTATTATCATTAGTGTTATTGTCTTGTGTATCATGATCATCACATTATTTGTTACAGTAATTGAATTGCAAATGATACCATAACCTGGCTAGTTGCAAACTCTTTGATAACTTTTTGTTACTTGATTGGAATTTTTACAAAATGTATTTGGACTTCTTCTGCGTCCCTGTGGATGCGGTTATAAATTTTGTTGCATCCATTGTCCATTTTTATGCGTATAGGACGCATGAATTCACATCCTGTAAATGCCTGTGTATTGCAGTGTATGAAACTCATCAAAACATTGGACCACACCACAGGGCTAATAACTTTTAAGACCTACCAGCCCCACATTAAACCAACCAGCCCTATCAACATTGTCTAAAATGTTATCAATTATGTAAAACCAAAGAAAAGGTGTGTTTGCTTACCTTTATTTAAATCCACAAATTCCACAAGCTGATAACTTTAGATATATTGGACCCACGTGAAGTTTATGAATTTATTCATCATAGTGTCATTGAGGGTAAAGTCCAGAGATATTTTTGTTTAATTATTAACCTGTCCGTTGGTTAGGAAACTGAATTTGAATTAAGTGCGATAATCTAGCACCTGACATCAGTCCCCATTTCTCCTCACCTCACTTCCTTGATAGGCCTCTGTTATTTTCTTGATGAAGTCAACATAATCAGTTCCTGTTTCATTTTGATTGTGATTAATGTGGTTTCTAGCTTTGAAAAATAATTTCCTTAAATGTCAATGCGTTTCCTTTTAAAAGTTAATGGTGTGACACTTCTTTGCCATGCTTGTAGTGTCCATGTTTGAATAGGTTAGATTATGTTTTCTGAGCTTTTAGGTTGTTGGGGTAGCCTAGTGGTTAAATCGTTTGCTTGTCACGGCAAAGACCTGGGTTCGATTCCCCCACATGGGTACAATGTGTGAAGCCCATTTCTGATGTCCCCTGCCATGATATTGCTGGAATATTGCTAAAAGCGGCATAAAACTAAAGTAACTTTTGAGTTTTCAGTGTTAGCTTAATGGTTACAGTGTTTACTTATTCTGCTGATGACCCAGGTTTGATTCCCTACGAGTGTTCAAGGTGTGAAGCCCATTTTTTTGTGTCATCCTCCAGGATATATCTGATATCTTGCTAAAAGTGGCATGTATCCATTCAAACTCTGTTACAAATCACTGTCATGTTTTTGTTTTGTTTCCAGAGCCCATCTTCTACATCAACCACATCAAGCATGACTTCTTTGAAAGGGTGAGTCTGAGTTTGAATTTGGTTTATGTCAAAGAAATATTGTACTTAGTAGTAATTGAAACACTCTTCAAAAGCAGTTGGGGTTTTATTCTCAGTATAATTAGTAGCTTGGTCAATTGCAACATATGTTGAACTTGGAGTAACACTTTCTCAGTAAAGTACACATTTTATTACTTTTTTGGGTTGAGTCCCACCCGGGATTCGAACCCACTCTGTCAGAGTGAGGCGTCTAATTGCAGCACATAGTCAACTCTCTAACCCAGGGGTGGAAAAAACTTTAAAATTGCTAGTGTACTCATGTACAGTGGCACATGTAAAATCACTTGCCCTGATCATTTTTCCACTATACCGGCCGTTTTTCTTGTTGATTTTTTAAATAAACAACATAATTAACATTGGAAAGTCAACTGGACACCGGTACAGTGTGATATACAAATTTGCTTGCCCGACAGAAAAAAACACTGGACTCGGACGTCGGGCAATGAGTCCACCCCTGTGACCCACTTGGCCATTGTTGATTCCACAAAAATGGCCTACTGGTATTCTAGATCATGTATTTTCTGTTCCAATCTGATAATTTGTGGTTTCATGAATAGGGGGCACAAATTACTGCTGTGAACAAGCAATGATTTCTAAGTGTGTCTCTTACTGTAACTCTGCCATTATGATCCTTACCTTGCCAAAAAATAGGAATTTCATACCTTGTGGTGTATCTCAGCTGGCGTGTAGAATGATGTTCAGCATAATATGCCACTCACTCACGCTGTAGCTGGTGGTGTAGCCTAGTGGTTTAAGCATACGCTTGTCACGCCAAAGAATCTGGTTTGATTCCCCACATGGGGACAGTGTGAGAAGGCCATTTGTGGTGACATCTGCCATGATATTGCTGGAATATTGTTAAAAGTGACATAAACTAAAGACACTCACTCACTCACTCACTCTGTTTCAGGATGACAAGTTTGTTCTGCACATTTATGTGAAAGGCACCAACAAGGATGCAGTCAATGTGGTCTTCGAGAAAAGTGCGTTCCTTGTCAAGTTCCACACACAGTAAGTTGGTTGATGGATAGACATATTATTTGGTTTGTTAGGGAGACAACGAGGTTCTTTTTCAATAAGTGATATGAGGCTGTGCTTCAATAAAGGAGTGAGACTGCTTCATTAAGCGAATGACTGCTAAAATAAGTCAATGAAACTGCCTCAAAGGGTTAATAAGACTTTCAATAAATAATAAGACTGTGCTTCAATAGTTACATGAGGTACTGCTTCAATAAGTGAATAAGAAAGTGTTCCAATTAGTGAATGAGATAATACTTTAATAGAGGCCTGAGATAATGCTTCAAGAACTGAATAAGAAAGTGTTCCAATTAGTGAATGAGATAATGCTTCAATAGAGGCCTGAGATAATGCTTCAATAACTGAATGAGACAGTGTTCCAATTAGTGAATGAGATAATGCTTCAATAGCAACATGAGATTATGCTTCAATAAGTGAATGAGACAGTGTTCCAATTAGTGAATGAGATAATGCTTCAATAGGTGCCTGAGATACTGCTTCAATAAGTGAATGAGACAGTGTTCCAATTAGTGAATGACATAATGCTTCAATAGGTGCATGAGAATCTGCTTTAAGGAGTGCATTGTATACTGCTTCAATAAGCGCATGAGATACTGCTTCAATAAGTGGATAAGACACTGCTGCAATAAGTGGATTAGCTGGTAACGCCACAGATATGGGTTTGATTCCCTACAGGTGTCAATGTCTGGGTGCTGTATGCCTTGGGTGTTTTGGTAACGTTTTGTGTGGCAGACTTATTATGTAGTTTTAATGTCGTGAATTTGTACCTCCACAGTATCAACATAGTATACAGACATCAACACAGTATCATCATAGTATACAGACATCAACAAAACATAGTATACAGACATCAACACAGTATCAACATAGTATACAGACATCAACACAGTATCAACATAGTATACAGACATCAACACAGTATCAACATAGTATACAGACATCAACACAGTATCAACACAGTATCAACATAGTATACAGACATCAACACAGTATCAACATAGTATATAGACATCAACACAGTATCAACATAGTATACATACATCAACACAGTATCAACATAGTATGCAGACATCAACACAGTATCAACATAGTATACAGACATCAACACAGTATCATCATAGTATACAGACATCAACACAGTATCAACATAGTATACAGACATCAACACAGTATCAACATAGTATACAGACATCAACACAGTATCAACATAGTATACAGACATCAACATAGTATCATCATAGTATACAGACATCAACACAGTATCATCATAGAATGCATCCTACAAACATTCATATCCAGATCCACAATTGCATCCTCAGGTAATAGTTTCATCAAGAGTTTGGATTTTGTTTTCTAGGGATGTTAAATTCCTGAAGCTACATGAAGGCACTTCAGAAGACACTGCATTCTGCTGGAAGGTGAAACTGAGGTGAGGAGCACATTTAACATTGTTTTTAAGTATCATTTTTTACAGCTGAAAATATGGTTAATATTCGTCCAAAAGAGTTATCAGGAAATACAGAAAACAAATCTGTCCGTCCATCAGGGTTTGTTCCCAGAACTGATCTTGAAAAACATACATTATCCAAACATGGCACAGTGATAGATCTAGAGAAGAACTGATGCCTTTGATAATCTGGGATTTAAACAAAATTAAGTTCCATGACAACAGCTGTGACTTAGGCAGGTGGTGGTGCTTGTTTCCACATCAGATTTTGAAACCATATAATATTTCTCCACCAAACCTGGGATATGGATAGGTCTGGTGATGAACTGGAGCCTTGTGATATTTGGGGATTTTATTCAAATTTATGTTTTTAAAATTTTTATATCTCACATTGTGCACATTCTCTTGACGTTTGACATTAGAGTGGAAACGTCCTTGACCAAAGTTTCAAGCCTCTAGTACTACCTCATACAGGCATACTCTTGCTTCAGCTGTTGTAGGCGGTCACACGAAGTCCGTCTGAAGTGTGCGTCTTGCTTTGGTTGACCAGGTGACTCCCTACTTAAGTCTGCTCGGTTACTCACTTACTTACCTGCGAAGATCCGGGTTAGAATATTGATCTCCAGTAACCCATGCTTGTCGCAAGAGGCGACTAACAGGATCGGGTGGTCAGGCTCGCTGACTTGGTTGATACATGTGATTGGTTCCCAATTGCGCAGATCAATGCTCATGCTGTTGATCACTGGATTGTCTGGTCCAGACTCGATTATTAACAGACTGCCGCGTTATAGCTGGAATATTGCTGAGTGCGGCGTAAAACTAGACTCACTCACTTACTATTTTGAGTGGTATGTAGCTTTGTATGTACAATGATTTTACTTTTTCTTCAGAAAGGACATTAAGCCCGAGATGAGTACATACAAGATTACTGGCACATACATAGAGCTTGTCCTGAAGAAACTGTCAACCGAACGCTGGGGGTCCTTGGAGGCTCCACAGAGGAAAGGTAAATGTTTTATCAATCATGGCATTAGTGAAGCCATAAGCAATATCGGCAGTATCATCCAGTAATACACCTTGGTTTCCTGTCGACCTTCAATGCACCTTGGTTAAAGCTCGTACTTCAATCATAGAAACACAATCGCTCATTCTATATAAGGGTTTTTGTTACATTGTCAACGATTGGTGCTTTTGTTCTTCAGAGTCATGTCTGAAATATTACCAAACACCAGTTATTTAATTTAGTCACCATGACTGTCACGTGAATAAGGGAGTTAACTCTGTAACACGTACCCTGGTCAGGACGGGTAATACTACTTGGGACCGACATTTCTACCTCTCCCAGTCCTGTCCCAGTCCTAATGCATGGTACTTGTAGTATTACATTAATAATCTGGGACTGTCGGGTAGACTAATGGTAAAAGCTTAAGTCTGGGCCAGCCAGCTGTCATAATATTGCTGGAGCTGCTACCAAAAGCTGCATGAAACCATACTCACCTCTCCATCACTAAAAATCAGATAATGTGTTTCCACATGAATACGTGCAAACACCTAGTCGCAGGTACAGCAACATGCAGTAGAACTTGGACGGAGTACTCTGACTATGTGTCCCAGTCCACCCACCTTGTAAGGATGGAAAAGCCTAGTGGCTTCACAAGTTGTATGCTCCATAGGGAGTTGAGATCCAAAATATGATGTACCGTTGAGATTGACATCCAATGATCAAGGGAAACAAAGCGCTTTGAACATGCTTGTGAGATGGACTATAGCGCTATATAAATATCCATGTAATAATGAGAATTGCAAGTAACAATGGTAACGTCGAATTCTCATTCAGATGGTAAAGTTGAGGTGATTGTTACGATTGTAGAGACTGAAAGTGCAAAGTCCGATTCCTGGATATCAACGAAGAAACCAACAAGCACAGGCAACACAGGACTGGCCTTTGATGAGATGAGTGATGTGAACGTAGACAAGTGCCAGGCGAGCGTGTCAGCGGACAACAGTGACAGGGAGGAGAGGGCTGCAGTGTCAAATACAAATGAAAATAGCAAGGTACGGGAAATTTGTTTGTTGTGAAATGCTGCACTCAGCAATATTCTATCCACAATCGAGTCTGGACCAGGCAATTACGTGATTGACATCATGAGCATTTATCGATACGATGACATGCATAGGGCAAGTCAGTCTCCTTATGACATTGCTGAAAACCCTATGATGTTCTGTGGGCTAAAATAAATCAATAAATGCCTCAGATTGAAAAGTGTAGAGCATTGTAGGGTAAATGTTATTTATAATACTGTTATTGATATAACACTATCAGCTGTGATCCATCTTGGTGAGACTCACTGACAAGTTTGTGTATGTTATTCAGAAACCAACCTGCAAAGTCCAGCCTCTCAACAAGCTGGATGGTCAGCAAATGGTCAGTCCGGGCTACACCGGCTTGGACAACCTTGGCAACACCTGCTTCATGAACAGCGTTCTGCAGGCACTTGCTAACACAAGGGAGTTCCCGAGACTTCTTCCTAGGTGAGCTGTGTGCATGTGTGACTAGTGTCGTTCAGTAGAGGTGTGGAGGTTCAAGCATTCTCTCGTCATGATGAAGACCTTTCCCACATGAGTACAGTGTATGAGTGAGTGAGTGAGTTTAGTTTTACGCCGCACTCAGAAATATTCCAGCTATATGGCTGCGGTCTGTAAATAACTATCTGGTGATCAACAGCATGAGCATCGATCTGCACAATTGGGAACCGATGGAATGTGTCAACCAAGTCAGCGAGCCTGACCACCTGATTTGGATTCAGATCATTTGCCTACCAATCAGCTGTTCTATGGAATTCTCTGCCTGAAGCCCCAAGCCTGCACTCCTTCAAAACTCTCCTCAAAACGTTTTTATTTAAGAAGTACTTTGTCTAGACTCTCACCCAAATAACTTTACTTGTAGCGCCATGAGCATACCAGCTGGCGTGGAGATTGGTGCGCTACAAATTCACTCATTATTATTATTATTATTATGTACAGTGTATGAGGCCCACTATAAAACAGGGATTAATCCGCATTAAAGCAGACACATACACACATGCATCCAGGTACCATATAGGTGTGATGATCTTGGACTTTGAACGCCATTCACTCGACCAATTATAGTATACGCAGCTATGATTATCCTGAAATATTGCTGAAACAATGGTGTAAATCCAGGTCTTGAGCAATGAAATTCAAGACTCAAAAATCTGGCTATGTTTGAAGCTACCATTCCCTGAGCCACTGGTAGCATAACCCAGACTATTTATTGCCTTTTAAATACACACGCTCCAGAATATGCTCACTTCTTACCTTGTGTCCTGGATCTATGAGGGTCCCGGTAAAGTAATGAAATGGTGTAGTTTACAGAATCTTAAGAGTTAGTAAATATTTTAATTACAGCAACCTTTTATTTCTTGTTAAGAATTTGGAACAATGAATATTATTGTGCATGCCTTTCGATGCAATATGTGTTTTTCTGTGTCCATTCTATATGTGCTTACTGAAGGCATATTTTCTAAATTCTGTATACATCACTACAGCTTCCGTTTCTGAAATAACATCCCCCATGCCTATCACTAACATTGAATATCTCGGACTCATGAGATCCTATTAACTCATTAAGCCCGAGAGCCCCATCACTACTCAACACCTGGAAGCCTTCGCTGATTGCCCACTCTCTGTGCCGAGACTAATTAGTGCTTGTCACACCTGATTTCCCTGGCAGGTTTCGGGGATCACAGGAAAGTGTCTAGTCGTACAAACAAGTCCTGATTGTTTAATTGTGTCGTAAAGATATATGTTGAAAGAAATCAGGTGTGAATACATGTCGTGTATTGCAAGCTTTATGTAATTTTATTGCAAGTTTCTCTTGTAGACCTTTTGTCGGCTTGTACATTTATATTTTATCACAATATGCATACACATGTATTCTTTGTATGTAACAGATGAGACACACGTTAACAAATTCTCTCTCTTATATCATTGTGTGAGGTTTAAATTTACAAAACATCTATGACAATGACATACTGTAAAGAAGAATTTACTTTCATACTTTATAATCTTCAACGAAAATAGCCGTTTTGCCGATACATTTCTAGTGTTTACTTAATTATTTTAATGAAAGTACTATAACGCTAGTCTGTGACTAGCACAAAGCACATTCATAGCATTGCACTTTATTTCATACAGATTTAATGCAGAAAACATATGTGACCATACAAACATACATATACAAAATGTATACTACATATTCCTTGCATAGACATAAAACAAAGAGTCACATGATAGGGTGCCATCAAATTTCCTGAATAGAACGTTCGGTTTCTCAACTGTTCAATGTAGTGGCTGGTCATATGTTCTCTTCACCAATTGTATCATGAGATACCTGTCACAGAGGAAAGGACAGGTGATGGGGCTGGGAGAAATTTCTGAAGAGCACGTTTGGTCACTCAGCAGCTTGATAGAGATTGGTTATTGGCTATATCCTTGACCAGTCGATATGCTGGGTTTCGGGCTTTATCAACTCAAGCTATCATGTAACAGTTTGTGTATTGTAAACATACACACTGGTATCTCAACTGTTCAGTATAGTGGCTGGTCATATGTTATCTGCGACCAATTGTATCATGAGATACCTGTCACAGAGGAAAGGACAGTGATGGGGCCGGGCTTAAATTTCTGAAGAGCATGTTTGGTCACTCAGCAGCTTGGATAGAGATTGGTTATTGGCTATATCCTTGACCAGTCGATATGCTGGGTTTCGGCTTTATCAACTCAAGCTATCATGTAACAGTTTGTGTATTGTAAACATACACACTGGTAACGATGTATGAAATATACACATAAGACAAATAGGAGTAGATAGACACTTTGGCGAGTTTATTTGTCCTCATTTTAGTGTTTTTCGATAAGTAAAACAAAGCGATTGAAATCCAACCACTGAGTAGAGGTAGTATTTATTTTCATATACATTTTATGCACACAACTAGTACATAAAACATAATGGTTTGCTGTACATGTAAATATAATCTTCACCTTGAACGAATGACTATCCAAACTAGAGTACACGCATTACAGAATTCGAGGTGACACTATACTGAATTATTATAGTGTATAAATTTGCAGTTGACACCCCCACCCCAATATTTATGAAGGTGGGCGTGCCTATATCTTTACTGAATGCAAACGAGGTTCATAAGATTACAGATGTGCATGCATGTATAAACATCACAGAGAGGGGCTTGACTCCATAAAGCAAGATGTCCAATGATATAACAGCATCTGTTTATTTTACACTTGTCACGGGACAAACCTTTCAACAAGGACGTAACTACATATGCATTCTACCGAGGCTGTTATTTCAAGGTCGAAAAGAGGCGTTCAATTATCTCATTACTGTAATCTGCTTGAATGATTATAACGCGATGTGTATCGATACCGTGAACTGATATACTATCCAGCTTTTATTGAAGATGGATCAATAGAGACTGAGTTGATTGATACGTGATAATTGCACGGATTTGATGATTACACAGATCAAATACAAACGTTTTACAGAATGCTCATGTAAATTGCATAGAAAACTGACAATTCAAATCAACATGAAACTTTCAACAGCTTGAACAAAAATGCTTGAAATACCTTTGTATGGCTTACATGTAATAACTTATGATATTACTTCTGTCCATGTGTGACAATGTTTTGAATTACCAACTTACTGTCATTTGTAACAAACGTAGTAAAACATTTCATTGTTGTAAGAACACTGACATGTATATATGTATTCGATGCAAAGGCACGACTTATCACTTTATATTCGCTTAGGTAACATTACGAACTTTAGATTATGGAAAACAACTAGTTACAATTCAGTAAATTTCAAATTAGTACCGTAAGTTCAATTATGTTTAATCTATTCGAGCTTGGATGTATCATTACTTGTGTTTATACATTATGTTTCAGTATATGAAACATGACAACGTAATGATGCCTAAAAAGTAAATTCAAACTATTCTATTGTGTTTGAATTCTTTGTATGTCCTTGAAATTTCTTATATTGTTTCCTATTTATTAGGTAGTTGAAGGAAATATAATTTTTAGTAACCTCTAAACCATTACATCTAATTCAATCAAGGTGCATACGAAGTATTTTAGTATCCATTCCCGAGGAAGAGTACCAGGCACTTACCTCTGTAAAAACATCATAATCCCCTTTCTCGCCGACATGCATTCATTTGCTAAACGCTGTACAAGCCTATGATAATGATTAGCAATTTTTATCAAAACACTTAAAATACTTCTTCTGATTGATACTAAAGGTGGGATCTCTCGTAAGAAAAGCTAACATTTGCTCAGTACTGCTAAATTGGTTGAAATAATAGGTACAGTGCGATTTTTAAAAGTACAACACACATGTGCGTCTCTCGCTGAATAAGAGGTGCTTTCTGTTGACGACTGTATGTGGCTCTCGCTGTGAGAAACTGCTAATTACCTGCCCCATAAACACGTCACTCGCTGTGAGGAACTGATTAATTTGCCCCATATATGCGTCTCTCGGCCTTCATGAGTTAATAGGATGACTTGTAGTGTTCAGCTCATAAATACTCTAAAAGCAAGGTATAGTGCAAATGGGTACATGGTATTTATTGTAATTGAGGATGTGCAGTGAGTCCTTAGCCGTGGTGTTGTGTGTCTTCAGATGGGCGGTTCCAGCAAGAGATCAATCAAGACAACCCACTCGGGACTGGAGGTAATCTGGCAGTGTCCTTTGCTGTTCTGCTCAAGAGCATGTGGTCGGGGAAGAAGTACTCTGTGGCGCCGGGCAAACTCAAGGTCAGGGATGTCATCCTGCCGTCCTTTATCATTCCTAGAAATACTGGAGTAGCTAGTCTGAACCTTCCAGAGGCATAGGGTAGATTAGGACCCTGGCCTGCTTGTTGTAAGAGGCTGAACTGAAGCCAATGGCCATGTACAATGACATGGCTAATAGTGTATCACTGTATCCCGTCAGCATGGGGTGTTGTTCATCATGTCCACTGGCTGGCTCTCAGTCTGTTATTTACAGACTGGATAACTACATGTGCACAAACAAGTCTAAGCCTGCATTTCAATAAGATTTTGCTTCCTTTGCAAAGTGTCCTGTAAAGATTTTAGTCTTTTGATCTTTTTGGGGGTGTGTGGGGTGTGTGTGTGTGTCTGTTTGGGTTGGTCACATACTGCTAGCGTAGACATTGCAGTGGGTTGAATGGTCTCTGCACATCTGCAATTGTCTGTGTGGAGTTGCCTCCCTTAGGTGTACCAGAATCCTATGATCGTGGTTTGAATCGAAGTTTCAACTTCATTATGTTTCTGGGTTGTCAGTACCATACCTGTGCTACCTGTTCCACCAAACTTTTGAACAATTGATACCTTTGTCACTTGGGACTTTCCTTCTTACTCAAGTAACACCTCATCATGACAAAAACAATATTAAAAATGGGATTTACAAGACCCACTGGTATGGATTGAAGCCTGGCTTGCCTGCTCCACATGGTGTTGATCTTATTGAAAATGCTTACATATTTAGTTGATACCATAGTCAGACTGAAATATGGATGACAGTCTTTCATGAAAGGATGTTTGTTCACAGGACATTGTGTCGAAGAAGGCCAGTCAGTTCACGGGATTTGCTCAACATGATGCACAAGAGTTCATGGCATTCCTCCTGGATGGTCTACATGAAGTGAGTCTCTCTCAATAATTCAGTTATCACTGACAGGGTCAGAGCCAGTGATATTTTATTTATAGCCAATCGGATAGCAGGCGGTTTTTACTGCTGAGTAGGTCAGGGCTAAGGTCGTGAAAGCCAAATGGGCACAAAACAACTACTTGCGATTTTAATACCTTATTTCAGTTAGGTGTAGGTGTCTCGGGAAAAATGGTGATAGCGTGTTGACAGATGCCATCAATTCAGGGCAGCATTAAACCACAAATATACACATGCAAAATCCAGATCCTATTCTATAAATATTCCACTGTACAACACACATGGCTAAATTAAAGGGATTTAAAGATCTGCAGTGGTTGAGTCTGTTTCCTTGCAGGACCTGAACCGAGTGAAGAAGAAGCCATACACCGAGACAGTGGACTCCGATGGCAGACTAGATGAGGTAGAGTTAATCTCTGATACTGTTGTGGGGATCCTTGAGTTCAATTTGTCCATAGCAACAGATGCTGGTTTTACGAGGAAACATTATGTATTGGGTGTTCAGAATTCAGAATTGCATGTCATTGTAGCCTACAGTTGGATAGATGCTCATAACATCCATCACTGGTTTGTGTGGTTCACACTTGAATATAACCAGGCCACCATGATGTAGCTGGAGTAATCCTGAGTTCAGCATTAAACAGGAAACATTAACATTTATCGTGGCCTGTTATGTTGTTTTACCTTACCTGATACTACACAGTGCTTTAGTTGTAAGGGACCGTTCATAATTTATGGCTAGGGTGATGATGATGATTTTTTTTATTTATTATTATTCCATTATTTTTTTTTTGGGGGTCAATATTTTTTTTGTACACATACTAGGGGGTCAGCAATTTTGTACATAAAAATATGTTTAAAATTATGCTTAGAAATTATGGGAAGGGGAGGAGGTCATTGATTTTGTACATGACATGCAGAGGGGGGTCACTTACTTTGTACATAAATTTGGGGGTCATCCACATTGTACATGCTTCTCCATGAAAATCATCATTTATCATGAAAACACATAATGTCAGTGGCATCAATCATCATCATCATCATCATCATGGCGTCAACTTGCAGGTTGTGGGAGTGGGATGTGTACAAGAAGCGGAACGATTCAGCGATTGTGGACCTGTTTCAAGGACAGTACAAGTCTACGTTGGTGTGTCCTGTGTGCAGCAAGGTAAGCTGCCTTGTACCATCACTGTATCAGATGTGTCCTGTGTGCAGCAAGGTAAGCTGCCTTGTACCATCACTGTATCAGATGTGTCTTGTGTGCAGCAAGGTAAGCTGCCTTGTACCATCACTGTATCAGTGGAGAAAACATTCACCTTCACAACCAGCTTGTGTCGACTGCGAATAGTGTTAGTTCAAAAGATGACATTATGCTTTGAAAACACAATGCCTTTAAGAACGTGGTCTTATGTAAAGTACGTGGTCTAAACTACCAGCTCCCAGTCAGGCTTCAGTTTTGTGGAGACTGCTGTGGTGGCTGAGTGGGTTAGATCACTGACTTTTTGTGCTGGTGATTAGGTGCCTGAATCTGAGAGTGAGGGATCGAATTCTGGATGGGACTCAACCCGAAAAGTAATAGAAACTGTACAGAGGAAGTGTCTTCCCAGATATAACATATGATACATGTTGAACATTTGACATGAACTCTGCAACAATGATACTCTCTTGGAAGGCACTGTGGCTGAGTGGGTTAGATTGCTGACTTTGTGTGCTGGCGATTACCGTATATGACCGTCTATAAGCCGAATTTTGAGGACCAAAAAAAGCAGTCTGTAGAAGGGGGTCGTCTTATCCATGGGTTACGCTTTCGTCAAACTTTTTTCCAGGGGTAAGAAAACAACATCGTATCACTTCGCGTGGACAAACAACAGAAGACGACTTTGTCAGTAGAGACGTCAAATTTGCAATTAAACATCACTAGACAAGATTATTCACCTTTTAAGTTATAAGTTGTTTTGCTGGGCATTGTATTATTTGCAGGGATTAAGATTACCGTGCGTATTTGTCTCGTACACAAAGCCGGAAATAGCAGTCAGCTGTGCACACGTTTCCCGGCGAACAAGTTCAAACATGCACAATAATATAACGGGACGAATTCTGACGCAGTCATCAGTAAAATATAATACAGAATACCGTTATTTAACCCAAAGAAATATATCCTAGCATTGTGTAATTTTAGTTACAGTTTTTGCTCTATTAATTAATGAAGATTACCGTGCGTATTTGTCTCGTACACAAAGCCGGAAATAGCAATCAGCTGTGCACACGTTCCCCCGCGAACAAGTTCAAACATGCACAATAATATAACGGGATGAATTCTATTGATTGAATACTATTATTTAACCCAAAGAAATATATCCTAGCATTGTGTAATAGTTTTTATGTAAAATATATATAATCAACACTAAGGTTATACGGACCCTCGTGAACGTGGTAAGCACGTGGAATGGGGTAAAATACGGAAGCCATTTAAATTCACACATTTTTACCGATGTTATTGTAAACTAGCAGTCAATGGAAAACGAGGCGGTAATCAGTTCGTGATTGTTGAATGGGGTAAAATAAGCAAGCCAGTTTGTTGCTTCAATAAATATGATATTTAGAGAATCTATATTATGCATTTTCTGTCAACTACACTTCGTTTCGATCCGTGAGTAGACACAATATATATGATTGTGAATTCTTTGAATAATGTGGACCAAAGTTATTATTATTGGTAACTGCCAGTTGTCTGTGTTTGCCGCGATTCGGACCCCATCGCGGGGGATCGACTTATGCACGAAACATACCATTTTGACACTGATTTTAAGGGTCAAGTTTGGGGGTCGTCTTATCCATGGGGTCGTCTTATAGACGGTCATATACGGTAGGTGCCCCACCCTGAGAGTGTGGGTTGGAATGTTGGAAGTACGAGAATCTGTACTTTACTGAGACAGTGTAATATGTTGAATTATGCTTAATGTTCATATGTTACAAAACTAAGGACTACAACTTTGCTGTGGAATTAAGCCTTTTACTATGTTGAAATGAACTTAAACTGGGTGAGCTCCGTGGTATTACTTATTACACTTACAGTGAGGTGCAATCTGAGCCAGGCAGTCTACTACTGGACAACCGCCTTATTAGCGTGTAAAGCAGATAGCAGGGATTAGTTTGGGACAAATGTCATGATTTCTACTTTTGACAGAACTTTGCCACATTACCAAAATGTGAAAACAATCTTTATCTTCACTGACAATATGTCTTTATTGACATTATCTCTTAGAACAACTCGCACTTTCATTTGAACAAAATGACCTGTTGGAGTTGGTTTAGTAATTCCCCTAATGATGTATATTATGTTTGATAGCTGGAGAAATTACTGTTTGAAAACAAATTAAATAAATTGGTATTGATGCAAATAGACTAGTTCAAGGGCATGTGTCTTTGTTTTTCCAGGTGTCGATCACATTCGACCCCTTCTTGTATTTGTCGGTTCCACTGCCAAAGAAGTGTCGACAGCTGCCTGTCATTTTCATGTGGAAGGATCCCTTTGGAAGGAAACCAGTCCGGGTAGGTGAATTGTCTTCGGGTGTACAGAGAGCGTGTGGGTGGTTAAAGTATTCGCCTACTATCATTTAGTCAAAACACATCTAGGATACTCATATGAAATTGACACCATTTAACAGCCATTTCTTGTTCGGGTCTGTACTTTCTTTGGTTTGGGGTAAGGAACTAGTCTTCAGCAACCGTAAGAGGCGACTAATGGGATCATATGGTCAGGCTCGCTGACTTGGTTGAGACATGTCATCATATCCCATTTGCGTAGACTGATGCTCATGCTGTCGATCACTGGATTGTCTGTTCCAGAATCGATTATTTACAGATCGCCGTCATATTGCGAAGTGCAGCGTTAAACCACAAACAAGTCAAAAGTTGTTTAACTATTAAGATGTTAAATGCTGGGTTGTCTTCGATTGTACATTGACCGCTGCCATATAGCTGGAATATTGACGAGTGCACAACAAATAAACAAACCAACCAAACTGTTTTAGCCATGTTAGAGTACTGGATAACTGATTCAAAACAAAACTTGGTAACTTGAGGTTTGAAATGTTGGATTGAGCTTCATCTTAAAATTGTCCTGTTACTCACATGTATCATATCTCTGTTTCAGTACTCAGTTCGCCTACCAAAAGACGCCCGTGTTGAACAACTAAAGGATGACCTCAGCAAAAAGACAGGGGTCAAACCAAAAGATGTGAGTTGTTAAAGCTTATGAGTGAGTGAGTGTGTACGGTTTTATGCTACTTTTAGCAATATTCCAGCAATATCACGGCAGAAATATGTCTCACACATTGTAGCCATGTGGGGAATCGAACCCAGTCTTAGGCATGACAAGCAAACGCTTTAACCCCACAGCTACCCCACCACCCTGTTAAAGATTATGATCACCGCCAGTGCTAAATACAGGTATTGTGAAATGATAGTTCATAGAAATACACACAGTTGTATGTAACGATTGACCGAGGAATAAAATAATTTTCGAGTGCACACGAGAACATGTCTTCACATTGATGTAACAAAATCTCTCAGGTATATATGTTCGTCATCATATCCCAATTGCGTAGATTGATGCTCATGATGTTGATCACTGGATTGTCTGGTCCAGACTCCATTATTTACAGACCGCTGTCATATAGCTGGAATATTGCTGGGTGTGGCGTTAAATTGTAAACCAACTGTATATGATACTGGCGTTTCTGGTGTTCAGAAACGCTTGTGGATCTCCTTGTAGTGTTTTTGATACACAGTACTAGCCTACTGAGACAATATGCCGCAGGTTGAGTTGGCTAGTCCACTCAGACACAGTATACCGGCGTCGAACTGGAGTATCTGGTTCAGCCTCAGTTACTTACAGGCCGCTATCAAACAGCTGGAACCCGGGAAGGTCCGGGTTAGAATGAACCTACAATAACCCATGCTTGTCGTATGAGGCAACTAACGGGATCGGGTGGTCAGGCTCGCTGACTTGGTTGACACATGTCATCAGTTCCCCATTATGCAGATCGATGCTCATACTGTTGATCACTGGATTGTCTGGTCCAGACTCCATTATTTACAGACCGCTGCCATATAGCTGGAATATTGCTGTGTGTGGCGTAAAACTGAACTCACTCACTCATGCAGCTGGAGCTTCCATACACACTCGCACATGCATTCATGCATGCAGACACATACGTACACACACAATGTGCATTTCACTGACTTTTGTCATAAAAATATCTTTTACTCTTACTTCTGTTATTCAGTGGATGTTTACAATTTATCAGCTTCTACTCTAACATTTTTCAGATGTGTGTGTTTGAGGCGTACCGTGGGAAGATCCTTAAGGTCTTTACACGTCGTGCAAGTCTGTCTAGTGTCCAGTTCAACGACACCATTGTTGTGTAAGTACCAGGGTTTTACCTCGACTCTAATGCAAGTCTGTCTAGTGTCCAGTTCAATGACACCATTGTTGTGTAAGTACCAGGGTTTTACCTCAACTCTAATGCAAGTCTGTCTAGTGTCCAGTTCAACGACACCATTGTTGTGTAAGTACTAGGGTTTTACCTCGACTCTCATGCAAGTCTGTCTAGTGTCCAGTTCAACGACACCATTGTTGTGTAAGTACCAGGGTTTTACCTCGACTCTAATGCAAGTCTGTCTAGTGTCCAGTTCAATGACACCATTGTTGTGTAAGTACCAGGGTTTTACCTCGACTCTAATGCAAGTCTGTCTAGTGTCCAGTTCAAGCGACACCATTGTTTGTGTAAGTACCAGGGTTTTACCTCGACTCTAATGCAAGTCTGTCTAGTGTCCAGTTCAATGACACCATTGTTGTGTAAGTACCAGGGTTTTACCTCGACTCTAATGCAAGTCTGTCTAGTGTCCAGTTCAATGACACCATTGTGGTGTAAGTACCAGGGTTTTACCTCGACTCTCATGCAAGTCTGTCTAGTGTCCAGTTCAATGACACCATTGTTGTGTAAGTACTAGGGTTTTACCTCGACTCTCATGCAAGTCTGTCTAGTGTCCAGTTCAACGACACCATTGTTGTGTAAGTACTAGGGTTTTACCTCGACTCTCATGCAAGTCTGTCTAGTGTCCAGTTCAATGACACCATTGTTGTGTAAGTACTAGGGTTTTACCTCGACTCTCATGCAAGTCTGTCTAGTGTCCAGTTCAATGACACCATTGTTGTGTAAGTACTAGGGTTTTACCTCGACTCTCATGCAAGTCTGTCTAGTGTCCAGTTCAATGACACCATTGTTGTGTAAGTACCAGGGTTTTACCTCGACTCTCATGCAAGTCTGTCTAGTGTCCAGTTCAATGACACCATTGTGGTGTCAGTACCAGGGTTTTACCTCGACTCTCATGCAAGTCTGTCTAGTGTCCAGTTCAATGACACCATTGTTGTGTAAGTACTAGGGTTTTACCTCGACTCTCATGCAAGTCTGTCTAGTGTCCAGTTCAATGACACCATTGTTGTGTAAGTACTAGGGTTTTACCTCGACTCTAATGCAAGTCTGTCTAGTGTCCAGTTCAATGACACCATTGTTGTGTAAGTACTAGGGTTTTACCTCGACTCTCATGCAAGTCTGTCTAGTGTCCAGTTCAATGACACCATTGTTGTGTAAGTACTAGGGTTTTACCTCGACTCTAATGCAAGTCTGTCTAGTGTCCAGTTCAACGACACCATTGTTGTGTAAGTACTAGGGTTTTACCTCGACTCTCATGCAAGTCTGTCTAGTGTCCAGTTCAATGACACCATTGTTGTGTAAGTACTAGGGTTTTACCTCGACTCTCATGCAAGTCTGTCTAGTGTCCAGTTCAATGACACCATTGTTGTGTAAGTACTAGGGTTTTACCTCGACTCTCATGCAAGTCTGTCTAGTGTCCAGTTCAATGACACCATTGTTGTGTAAGTACTAGGGTTTTACCTCGACTCTCATGCAAGTCTGTCTAGTGTCCAGTTCAATGACACTATTGTTGTGTAAGTACTAGGGTTTTACCTCGACTCTAATGCAAGTCTGTCTAGTGTCCAGTTCAATGACACCATTGTTGTGTAAGTACTAGGGTTTTACCTCGACTCTCATGCAAGTCTGTCTAGTGTCCAGTTCAATGACACCATTGTTGTGTGTAAGTACTAGGGGTTTTACCTCGACTCTAATGCAAGTCTGTCTAGTGTCCAGTTCAACGACACCATTGTTGTGTAAGTACTAGGGTTTTACCTCGACTCTCATGCAAGTCTGTCTAGTGTCCAGTTCAATGACACCATTGTTGTGTAAGTACCAGGGTTTTACCCGACTCTAATGCAAGTCTGTCTAGTGTCCAGTTCAATGACACCATTGTTGTGTAAGTACTAGGGTTTTACCTCGACTCTAATGCAAGTCTGTCTAGTGTCCAGTTCAACGACACCATTGTTGTGTAAGTACCAGGGTTTTACCTCGACTCTCATGCAAGTCTGTCTAGTGTCCAGTTCAATGACACCATTGTTGTGTAAGTACTAGGGTTTTACCTCGACTCTCATGCAAGTCTGTCTAGTGTCCAGTTCAATGACACCATTGTTGTGTAAGTACCAGGGTTTTACCTCGACTCTCATGCAAGTCTGTCTAGTGTCCAGTTCAATGACACCATTGTTGTGTAAGTACCAGGGTTTTACCTCGACTCTAATGCAAGTCTGTCTAGTGTCCAGTTCAATGACACCATTGTTGTGTAAGTACCAGGGTTTTACCTCGACTCTCATGCAAGTCTGTCTAGTGTCCAGTTCAATGACACCATTGTTGTGTAAGTACTAGGGTTTTACCTCGACTCTCATGCAAGTCTGTCTAGTGTCCAGTTCAATGACACCATTGTTGTGTAAGTACCAGGGTTTTACCTCGACTCTCATGCAAGTCTGTCTAGTGTCCAGTTCAATGACACCATTGTTGTGTAAGTACTAGGGTTTTACCTCGACTCTCATGCAAGTCTGTCTAGTGTCCAGTTCAATGACACCATTGTTGTGTAAGTACCAGGGTTTTACCTCGACTCTCATGCAAGTCTGTCTAGTGTCCAGTTCAATGACACCATTGTTGTGTAAGTACCAGGGTTTTACCTCTCGACTCTAATGCAAGTCTGTCTAGTGTCCAGTTCAATGACACCATTGTTGTGTAAGTACCAGGGTTTTACCTCGACTCTCATGCAAGTCTGTCTAGTGTCCAGTTCAATGACACCATTGTTGTGTAAGTACCAGGGTTTTACCGACTCTCATGCAAGTCTGTCTAGTGTCCAGTTCAATGACACCATTGTTGTGTAAGTACTAGGGTTTTACCTCAACTCTAATGCAAGTCTGTCTAGTGTCCAGTTCAATGACACCATTGTTGTGTAAGTACTAGGGTTTTACCTCGACTCTCATGCAAGTCTGTCTAGTGTCCAGTTCAATGACACCATTGTTGTGTAAGTACCAGGGTTTTACCTCGACACTCATGCAAGTCTGTCTAGTGTCCAGTTCAATGACACCATTGTTGTGTAAGTACTAGGGTTTTACCTCGACTCTAATGCAAGTCTGTCTAGTGTCCAGTTCAACAACACCATTGTTGTGTAAGTACCAGGGTTTTACCTCGACTCTCATGCAAGTCTGTCTAGTGTCCAGTTCAATGACACCATTGTTGTGTAAGTACTAGGGTTTTACCTCAACTCTAATGCAAGTCTGTCTAGTGTCCAGTTCAATGACACCATTGTTGTGTAAGTACTAGGGTTTTACCTCGACTCTCATGCAAGTCTGTCTAGTGTCCAGTTCAATGACACCATTGTTGTGTAAGTACTAGGGTTTTACCCGACTCTCATGCAAGTCTGTCTAGTGTCCAGTTCAATGACACCATTGTTGTGTAAGTACTAGGTTTTACCACCGACTCTCATGCAAGTCTGTCTAGTGTCCAGTTCAATGACACCATTGTTGTGTAAGTACTAGGGTTTTACCTCGACTCTCATGCAAGTCTGTCTAGTGTCCAGTTCAATGACACCATTGTTGTGTAAGTACCAGGGTTTTACCTCGACTCTCATGCAAGTCTGTCTAGTGTCCAGTTCAATGACACCATTGTTGTGTAAGTACTAGGGTTTTACCTCGACTCTCATGCAAGTCTGTCTAGTGTCCAGTTCAATGACACCATTGTTGTGTAAGTACTAGGGTTTTACCTCGACTCTCATGCAAGTCTGTCTAGTGTCCAGTTCAATGACACCATTGTTGTGTAAGTACTAGGGTTTTACCTCGACTCTCATGCAAGTCTGTCTAGTGTCCAGTTCAATGACACCATTGTTGTGTAAGTACTAGGGTTTTACCTCGACTCTCATGCAAGTCTGTCTAGTGTCCAGTTCAATGACACCATTGTTGTGTAAGTACTAGGGTTTTACCTCGACTCTCATGCAAGTCTGTCTAGTGTCCAGTTCAATGACACCATTGTTGTGTAAGTACTAGGGTTTTACCTCGACTCTCATGCAAGTCTGTCTAGTGTCCAGTTCAATGACACCATTGTTGTGTAAGTACTAGGGTTTTACCTCGACTCTCATGCAAGTCTGTCTAGTGTCCAGTTCAATGACACCATTGTTGTGTAAGTACTAGGGTTTTACCTCGAGTCTAGTGTCCAGTTCAACGACACCATTGTGGTGTAAGTACTAGGGTTTTACCTCGACTCTCATGCAAGTCTGTCTAGTGTCCAGTTCAACGACACCATTGTGGTGTAAGTACTAGGGTTTTACCTCGACTCTCATGCAAGTCTGTCTAGTGTCCAGTTCAATGACACCATTGTTGTGTAAGTACTAGGGTTTTACCTCGACTCTCATGCAAGTCTGTCTAGTGTCCAGTTCAATGACACCATTGTTGTGTAAGTACTAGGGTTTTACCTCAACTCTAATGCAAGTCTGTCTAGTGTCCAGTTCAATGACACCATTGTTGTGTAAGTACTAGGGTTTTACCTCGACTCTCATGCAAGTCTGTCTAGTGTCCAGTTCAACGACACCATTGTGGTGTAAGTACTAGGGTTTTACCTCGACTCTCATGCAAGTCTGTCTAGTGTCCAGTTCAACGACACCATTGTGGTGTAAGTACTAGGGTTTTACCTCGACTCTCATGCAAGTCTGTCTAGTGTCCAGTTCAACGACACCATTGTTGTGTAAGTACTAGGGTTTTACCTCAACTCTCATGCAAGTCTGTCTAGTGTCCAGTTCAATGACACCATTGTTGTGTAAGTACTAGGGTTTTACCTCGACTCTCATGCAAGTCTGTCTAGTGTCCAGTTCAATGACACCATTGTTGTGTAAGTACTAGGGTTTTACCTCGACTCTCATGCAAGTCTGTCTAGTGTCCAGTTCAATGACACCATTGTTGTGTAAGTACTAGGGTTTTACCTCGACTCTCATGCAAGTCTGTCTAGTGTCCAGTTCAACGACACCATTGTGGTGTAAGTACTAGGGTTTTACCTCGACTCTCATGCAAGTCTGTCTAGTGTCCAGTTCAACGACACCATTGTTGTGTAAGTACTAGGGTTTACCTCGACTCTCATGCAAGTCTGTCTAGTGTCCAGTTCAAGCGACACCATTGTGGTGTAAGTACTAGGGTTTTACCTCGACTCTCATGCAAGTCTGTCTAGTGTCCAGTTCAACGACACCATTGTGGTGTAAGTACTAGGGTTTTACCTCGACTCTCATGCAAGTCTGTCTAGTGTCCAGTTCAATGACACCATTGTTGTGTAAGTACTAGGGTTTTATCGACTCTCATGCAAGTCTGTCTAGTGTCCAGTTCAATGACACCATTGTTGTGTAAGTACTAGGGTTTTACCTCAACTCTAATGCAAGTCTGTCTAGTGTCCAGTTCAATGACACCATTGTTGTGTAAGTACTAGGGTTTTACCTCAACTCTAATGCAAGTCTGTCTAGTGTCCAGTTCAATGACACCATTGTTGTGTAAGTACTAGGGTTTTACCTCGACTCTCATGCAAGTCTGTCTAGTGTCCAGTTCAACGACACCATTGTGGTGTAAGTACTAGGGTTTTACCTCAACTCTTATGCAAGTCTGTCTAGTGTCCAGTTCAATGACACCATTGTTGTGTAAGTACTAGGGTTTTACCTCGACTCTCATGAAAGTCTGTCTAGTGTCCAGTTCAATGACACCATTGTTGTGTAAGTACTAGGGTTTTACCTCGACTCTCATGCAAGTCTGTCTAGTGTCCAGTTCAATGACACCATTGTTGTGTAAGTACTAGGGTTTTACCTCGACTCTCATGCAAGTCTGTCTAGTGTCCAGTTCAATGACACCATTGTTGTGTAAGTACTAGGGTTTTACCTCGACTCTCATGCAAGTCTGTCTAGTGTCCAGTTCAAGCGACACCATTGTTGTGTAAGTACTAGGGTTTTACCCCGACTCTCATGCAAGTCTGTCTAGTGTCCAGTTCAACGACACCATTGTTGTGTAAGTACTAGGGTTTTACTCGACTCTCATGCAAGTCTGTCTAGTGTCCAGTTCAAGCGACACCATTGTTGTGTAAGTACTAGGGTTTTACCTCGACTCTCATGCAAGTCTGTCTAGTGTCCAGTTCAATGACACCATTGTTGTGTAAGTACTAGGGTTTTACCTCGACTCTCATGCAAGTCTGTCTAGTGTCCAGTTCAACGACACCATTGTTGTGTAAGTACTAGGGTTTACCTCGACTCTCATGCAAGTCTGTCTAGTGTCCAGTTCAATGACACCATTGTTGTGTGTAAGTACTAGGGTTTTACCCTCGACTCTCATGCAAGTCTGTCTAGTGTCCAGTTCAATGACACCATTGTTGTGTAAGTACTAGGGTTTTACCTCGACTCTCATGCAAGTCTGTCTAGTGTCCAGTTCAACAACACCATTGTTGTGTAAGTACCAGGGTTTTACCTCGACTCTCATGCAAGTCTGTCTAGTGTCCAGTTCAATGACACCATTGTTGTGTAAGTACTAGGGTTTTACCTCGACTCTCATGCAAGTCTGTCTAGTGTCCAGTTCAATGACACCATTGTTGTGTAAGTACCAGGGTTTTACCTCGACTCTAATGCAAGTCTGTCTAGTGTCCAGTTCAATGACACCATTCTTGTGTAAGTACTAGGGTTTTACCTCGACTCTCATGCAAGTCTGTCTAGTGTCCAGTTCAATGACACCATTCTTGTGTAAGTACTAGGGTTTTACCTCGACTCTCATGCATATTAATAAGTCAATAGAGAGTTATATGAAGATGAAGTAGTTTCTGTCTTTTATCTTCTTAACACTGACACATATTGATGGATTAGGATAGAAATCAGGTACTTGTCAAAACATGAGTTGTCATTAAGAATATACGAGCAGTTGAGCTTGTTTCACAGGGTTGTTCTTTGATTTGTTACATAACTACATGTTCTTCCATATCATGTCCATATTTTCAGTGCTGAAGTATTATCAGAAGAAGTGGCAGGAGAAGCCGTTTACGAAATACCTGTGATACAGGTGAGTGTCAGATGTTTGAAGTACCTGTGATACAGGTGAGTGTGAGATGTGTGATACAGGTGAGCGTCAGATGTTTGAAGTACCTGTGATACAGGTGAGTGTGAGATGTGTGATACAGGTGAGTGTCAGATGTTTGAAGTACCTGTGATACAGGTGAGTGTGAGATGTGTGATACAGGTGAGTGTCAGATGTTTGAAGTACCTGTGATACAGGTGAGTGTGAGATGTGTGATACAGGTGAGTGTCAGATGTTTGAAGTACCTGTGATACAGGTGAGTGTGAGATGTGTGATACAGGTGAGTGTCAGATGTTTGAAGTACCTGTGATACAGGTGAGTGTGAGATGTGTGATACAGGTGAGTGTCAGATGTTTGAAGTATCTGTGATACAGGTGAGTGTGAGATGTGTGATACAGGTGAGTGTGAGATGTGTGATACAGGTGAGTGTCAGATGTTTGAAGTACCTGTGATACAGGTGAGTGTGAGATGTGTGATACAGGTGAGTGTCAGATGTTTGAAGTACCTGTGATACAGGTGAGTGTGAGATGTGTGATGTACCTGTGATACAGGTGAGCATCAGATGTGTGATCTACCTGTGATACATGTGCGTGTGAGATAAGTGATACATTTGCATGTGAGATATGTGACACAGGTGGGTGTCATATATGTAAAGTACCTGTGATATAGGTGTTTGTCTGAGGCGGAAGTACCTGTGATAAGGTGAGCGTCAGCTGTATAAAGCACCTGTTTTACTAGATGACAATGAATGACACACTGACAATGCCTTAACTGATGCTTGACATGATGTGTCATTCAGAGAACGCTGATGCCCAACCAGGCACCATTGAGGTGTTCTCACTGCCGGAAGCCAGCTGCTGCAGGGATGAAGCTCAAGAGATGCACCAAATGTTTCAAAGTTGGATACTGTGATCAGTGAGTTACCCTCCATACAACCAAAAAAATACAGTGATGCTTTCTTAGAACTGATCCCTGCAATCCATGTTAGCTGTAAAACACAAAAAAGTTTTGAATAGTCAATCTTTGTGACCTAGTTGAATGAATGGAGTGGATTGGTGTTAATATCAATCACTGGATTGTCTGGTCCTGACTCAAGTACTCACTGTTCACTGTCTTATTACTGAGTGCAGTGGTAAACAACAAAGAAAGAAACACAATATATTTATATTACTTAAAAGAAATTCAAGAACACATTTATTTCCAATGACTGTAGTTAATCCGTTGTGGCAGGTTGGTATTGTGCATAGCCAGCTATGTAGATTTTCTAACCCCTTTTGACCGCCTCCGTGGTATAGTAGTTAGAGCATCCCGCAGAGAGCCGGAAGGTTATGGTTCGATCCCCAGACGCGCGTCATACCAAAAGAGCGTTAAAATATGGTACTTGTTGGTCCCTGCCTGGCGCTCGGCATTAATGGGTACAACAAGGACTGGTTGCCTCGGAGTCAGTATAATGTGTCTGAGTGGGGTATTCATGCTTAACTGCGGCATGTTATCTCAGTGGGCTAGCACTATAAAACCAGCTTCAGTCTGGGCTAGTACAAGCAGCCGCACATACACATACACACACATGCACGTCGTCATATGAGCAAAATATTCTCAAGCACGTCGTTAAAACCAATTTCACCTCACCTCACCCCTAACCCCTTTTAAGTAGTATATTCTAATTAATTCAAGTGTCCTGCAGATGTTAGATTATAGTACCCAAAACCATAATGCCAGACCCCACTTTCACAACATAACACTACAACATATCACCTTACCCTGAAGATCCGAGTTAGAATTGATCTTCGATAACCCTTGCTTGTCGTAAGAGGCGACTAACGGGATCAGGTGGTCAGGCTCGCTGACTTGGTTGACACATGTCATCGTATCCCAATTGCGTAGATCGATGCTCATGTTGTTGATCACTGGATTGTCTAGTCCAGACTCGATTATTTACAGACCGCCGCCATATAGCTGGAATATTGCTGAGTGCGGTGTAAAACTAAACTCGCTCACTCACTCACATATCTTAGGCATACAATGGGAGTGGCATTACAGTCCATTGTGATATGGGCAATATTGCATCCAACCAACTCACTCACTCTATTTGTGTTGACAGTGAAGGGGCGGTGGGCTAGCCTAATGGTTAAAGCTGTGGCTAGTCACGCTGAAGACCCGGGTTCGAATCCCCATATGGGTACAATGTGTGAAGCCCATTTCTGGTGTCCCCTGCCGTGATGTTGCTGGAATATTGTTAAAAGCAGCGTAAAACCAAACTCAGTCAGTCAGTTGACAGTGAGCACTAACATGGTGTTACTTCCAGAGCCTGTCAGCGATCTCACTGGCAAGTACACAAGTCAAGCTGCAATGTGATCCCGGACCCCGTCGGCTGCCCATTCATCATCAGTATACCAGAATCTCGGGCCACCTTCTCACGTCTAGGGAAACTCATGGAAGCATATTCAAGGTTGGTCTGATTACACGATCCGGAGTGAAACATTCTTCAATTTCAAACATACCAAACATTTTGTATCAGACATTTCATAGAGGGCCAGTTATACTGGGGTAAACCTGGAACCAACCATGACTGTATCATTTTGAGATGTATTTTCAACAAAATTACCTGATTAGTAAATGCAGATTGCCAAATCTCAGAATGCTGCGGTTTATGTATTAATAAATAGCTGCACCCACATTTGGTGTGGACCTTAAGAACAAAACTTAACTAAAACGTAAATAAAGATATGCATAGATGGTTAAAGATTTGGTGTGACGACTCTCCAGTGTTTACATTGATTTGGATAGCCCCCTATACTGGAGTGAGATGCAGCGAAATGGATGAGATGGTCATGTCACTTCTTTCATTTGTGTGTTGCCCTCCATTGCTAATCATAAGAGACAAATGAAATGGGAACCTGTGTGATTTACATTTAGAATAAGTTACAAAGGAATAAATGGTGGAAGTGGCGATAATCTATCAAGTGGCCAGTCTTGGTGACTTGGTTCATTGTGTGCTGTCCTTGTGTTACTATTTGGTCTGATGATATACCTCTGTCCCAGGTACTCCGTGGATGTCTTCCAACCCCCTGTCCAGGCCGTGCCGCCCACAAAGCTGTCCAGCCACCCTTCCACCTCCAACCTCAGTTCCTCCTCCAGCAGCCAATCAAGTGGCAGCCTCAACAGCCTCGACAGCCAATCATCATCAGCCAGCACTCACACACTCACGGCAGATGCTGAGCAGGCCTTGGACGACGAGTGTGACACCGGCATAGACAGCAGCAGCACCACAGCATTAGCAGGGAGCGCCACATCGCTGGAGGAGGATCCAAATGTCAACCCCATGCCTCCTACCAGTGACAGTTTTGGTAATGATGAAGTACCTGAGTGTCCCTCCCTGGATCAAAGTGCATCAAGGAACTTCACTGTGGGAAGTTCAGGACAAGCTGATGAGATCCTGTCTCCGGATCAGACCAAGGGCGGGTCCAGATCCATCCCCACCAACCCAGTCCTGGGAATCCAGACGGAGGAGTCTGAGAGGGCCATGCCTTTGTTCCACATCAAGCCGGTCAATAATGACGGGTTTGGACTGAAGGGTCCTGATGGGGAGAGGCTCGAAGATAAGGGGGATGTACCCCTGGACTTGACCAGTCGCCGTTTTCTTTCCATGGATTGGAGAAACAACGACAAGCTTGCTTCCTATGTTCTGGTTCAGTCTAAGGAGCTGGTGAGTTAATGAATTGATGATCTCTGTCAATGTCACAGGAAATTATGCTGTTTTTACATTACTCTATATCTCTAGAGCTGTCACACTTGGGCGTTCGTTGAATCAAGAAAGTGAACAATGGGATTTTCTTGGAATTTCCCTCATATGCAATTTGGGGATAAATGATGAAAATTTGCTTAAATTGTTTAAATAGAAGTCACTTAATGACATCATCATCATGGGCCCTTGAGCATAGAGCCCATGATGATACAACTGATTGATACAGACATCATGGGCCCTTGAGCATAGACCCCTGATGATACAACTGATTGATACAGACATCATGGGCCCATGAGCATAGACCCCTGATGATACAACTGATTGATACAGACATCATGGGCCCTTGAGCATAGACCCCTGATGATACAACTGATTGATATGGACATCATCATGGGCCCTTGAGCATAGAGCCCTGATGATACAACTGATTGATACAGACATCATGGGCCCTTGAGCATAGACCCCTGATGATACAACTGATTGACGTAGACATCTTCATAGGCCCTTGAGCATAGACCCCTGATAATACAACTGATTGATACAGACATCATCATGGGCCCTTGAGCATAGACCCCTGATAATACAACTGATTGATACAGACATCATCATGGGCCCTTGAGCATAGACCCCTGATGATACAACTGATTGACGTACACATCATCATAGGCCCTTGAGCATAGACCCCTGATGATACAACTGATTGATGACAACATCATAGGCCCTTGAGCATAGACCCCTGATGATACAACTGATTGATGTAGATATCATCATGGGCCCTTGAGCATAGACCCCTGATGATACAACTGATTGATACAGACATCATCATGGGCCCTTGAGCATAGACCCCTGATGATACAACTGATTGACGTACACATCATCATAGGCCCTTGAGCATAGACCCCTGATGATACAACTGATTGATGACATCATCATAGGCCCTTGAGCATAGACCCCTGATGATACAACTGATTGATGTAGATATCATCATGGGCCCTTGAGCATTGACCCCTGATGATACAACTGATTGATACAGACATCATCATGGGCCCTTGAGCATAGACCCCTGATGATACAACTGATTGATATAGACATCATGGACCCTTGAGCATAGACCCCATAAAATACAACTGATTGATATAGACATCATGGACCCTTGAGCATAGACCCCTGATAATACAACTGATTGATATAGACATCATGGACCCTTGAGCATAGACCCTTGATGATACTATAAGGGTAATGCTATTTTTGAGGGCATTATCATTTGCAGAAGCCCGCAGTCTTCCATTAACTTCAAAAAGACCGAGGGCTTCTGCAAATGATAATGCCCTCAAAAATAGCATTACCGTTATTATTGCTAAAATACATGGAATTTGTGTTGAAAAGAAAAAGGAAACAATGAAGGAATTTGACTGTAAGTTTACTCAAAACCAACTTCTGACGGGGTTTTCTGCCCGAATGCAATTACGTATTCGAACAATTCTAGTGACGTCACAACAGAAAGTGACGATATTCGACCTTGGCCTTTGACAAGACCATAGCCTGCAACATGCCAAACCATGTCAGTGTTCAGTTTTGGTCCATCAACAGCCTTAATAGTGCATTTGTTAAGGTTAGCACCAGCAAGAAAGCCAATATTACCGCTATTTAACGGGGGAATTCGGGTTGCTTTGACTTGTTTGACCCAGAATATCTGCCAGTCCAAAGCCAACGTCGAATGAACCGACGCACCCACTATGACGTCACTTGACAACAGAACTGATAGTGGCCCGTCGTTAAGGTTGAGCGGTCCAATATCATTTGCAGCGGCCCGCAAATTTCTGATAATAGGAGGGCCGTTTCATAATAATTCCATGTGTTTTAGCTATAAAACTGATTGATGTAGACATCATGGACCCTTGAGCATAGGTCCCTGATGATACAACTGATTGATATAGACATCATGGACCCTTGAGCATAGGTCCCTGATGATACAACTGATTGATATAGACATCATGGACCCTTGAGCATAGGTCCCTGATGATACAACTGATTGATGTTGACCTCAGAACTAACTTCCTGTTCAACTTCCATTTTCAGGATGCGGATGATGATGAAAGCATGCAGACAGCACAGTCTGATGGTAAGTGTCATACTTTTGTTTCAAACTATGTTTCTGATTACTACATATCTGAGTCACATTTCCTAATCCGCCTACCTCTTTTGAAATAGTTAGGGAAATATCTCCATATTTGAAGTGTTGTGTTCCAGACTACTCCGTCATCACCCTGGACCAGTGTCTGGACGTCTTCACGGAACCCGAGATGCTCAGCCCAGACGAAGCTTGGTGAGGAGCAAGTTATAGACGATGTCCTAAATAGTGATCTCTGAATAACCTGAATGTTTCTCTATTTTACTTCCTTAGAAGTGTTGATTGGGCCTTGAAAAGCTCCTTAAAAGGGCTTAAATTTTGATGGCTGATAATCTGTATGAACCTGTGTTGGGTATATATTCTCCTGTGCAGGTACTGTCCACGCTGTAAGAAGCACCAGGAAGCCACAAAGCAGATGTCAATATGGCGTCTGCCTCATCTGCTCATCATCCAGCTGAAGAGGTTCTCCTTCAGGAACTTCATCTTTCGGGACAAGATCGACAAAATGGTGGAATTCCCTACAAGGTACTGCTGTGTGACTGGTTATCATGTGGTGGAAACTGCTTTTGACTCAGTGCCTATGAACTCATAGCAGGTGCTTCTTAGCATCAGATTGTCTGGTCCAGACTATTTGCTGGAATATTGCCAAGTGCAGAGTTAAAAGAACAAACAAACAAATCAACTCACAACTTCAGCAACCCATGCTTGTCATAAGAAGCGACTAATGGGATCGGGTGGTCAGGCTAGCTGACTTGGTTGACACTTGTCATCATATCTAATTGTGTAGATGAATGTTCATGATGTTGATCACTGGATCTTCAGGTCCAGACTCGATTATTTACAAACTAACCTCATATAGCTGGAAATTGCTAAGTGCAGGTTAAACAACGAACAAGGAAACAAAGCATATATTTAAGTCTTGTGTGGTGTGACGTGACACTTCTTCTTTCTCCCAGCTAGCCTGTTTGTGTTCTGCTTCAGAGGTCTGGACCTGTCCAAGTTCATCCTGGGGAAGACGCCCTCGGTACAGCAGCATCCTGTGTATGATCTCTACGGCGTCATCAACCATCATGGGGGTATCCTGGGCGGCCATTACACCTCCTACGTACGCTGCACAGACACTGTTGACCCTCTGAAGAATGAAGTTGGTACGGGGGGAACCATTATCGCATACTGACACTAAATATTATTAATAGTATCAAGAATTTAAAACCTGCTTTTATGATTTCGTACATGTGAAGGTCCGGGTTAGAATATTGATCTTCAGTAGCCCATGCTTGTCGTAAGAGGCGACTAGCAGGATAGGGTGGTCAGGCTGGCTGACTTGGTTGACACATGTCATCGGTTCCCAAATTGCAGATCGATGCTCATGCTGTTGATCACAGGATTGTCTGGTCCAGACTCGATTATTTACAGACCGCCGCCATATAGCTGGAATATTGCTGAGTGCCGCGTAAAACTAAACTCACTCACTCACTGTTATCATTTTACTTGGTCATAGTTCATCACAAAATGGCAAAATGTAGCTAGTATGTCACTTCTTTTCATTTCTTTTCAACACAGGTATTCTGGTCAAACTAAACTTATTCATCCTTTTCATGTGTTGTTTTACTCACAAGTACTTTACAACTCGAGTTATCAAATGTAATTTTCACCTGCCTTGTTGATGTTCAGATTGGCGCCTGTGTGACGACAGTCGTGTGTCATCTATCAGCAACGAAAAGAATGTAGTAACAAGAGCCGCCTATCTCCTGTTTTACCGCAAACGAACAAACGAACCAATTCTTCCTCCTGTGTCAAGCGAGTCATCCGAGGAGGAACAAACCCCTCAACAAAGCAAACTTGTCACAGACTCAAATGTCAAAGTATCGGCTGTCGCCACTGGCATCACCACCAAACATTCTCAGAATTTGTTGGAGAAGGGGTCCAGTGACAGTGATGACGCTGGGGAAACAAGGGGAGACAACCAGGACAATCGCACCACCTACAGGGACCTGGGTTACACAGACATGGATGCCGTTGACTAAGACATCATCCACTTATTTATAACATCATGCATCTTCCATCGTGGATAATTGCCATATTTATTCAGATCAATTGTCATGTGTCTTTATGTTTTATAAGTTGAGTTTCATTTGCTGCATGCGGATGAGTGAATGAGTGAGAAAATTTTTGTTTGTTTTGTTGTTTTTTCATACACTCAGCAATATTCTAGCTATATGGGCAGGGGTAGAAATAACTTTAAAATTGCTAGTGTACACCGGTACAGTGTAAAATCACTTGCCCTGAAAATTTTCTCCTATACCGGCCGATTTTCTTGTTGATTTTTTAAATAAACAACATAAATAACATTGGAAAGTCAACTGGACATTGGTACAGCGTGATATACAAATTTGCTTGCCCGACTGGAAAAAAACATTGGACTGGGACATCGGGCAATGGGATATTTCCAACCCTGATGGGATCTGTATAAAATCAGGACTGGGCCAGACAGTCCAGTGATCAACAGCAGGGTCACTTATCTACGCAACTGGGATACAAGTACTGATGATGCTCATCATAACGTTGTACTAGGCAGAAAATGTCGTGCATTCACAGGCCGCTGCCACATAGCTGGTATATTGCTGAGTGCTGCATTAAACAACAGACAAACAAGCTTACATATTTGTATGAAATGTCACCCGTGAATACATATGGTTGTTGAGAAGCATCTGTATTTATACACAGGTGACAGAGGAATGGTTGGCTAGCTGGATTTCAGGGATATTGATTAGTGTGAGTTGCTGCGTGTTGAGATTTGTGTCATGGTATCTAACAGGGTCAGATTATACAGCTTTAGCTCATCATGACATCGTCATTATGAGTGCATGTTATCAGCCTTTGTGTTATCCTTTGTGTTATCCTCAATTAAATTCTCTTTAAGGTTGTGAAACATTAACAGAACAAACGTGTAAATTGAGCAAATATATGGTGGAACACTGAATTTATAGACCATCTTTAAAACAAGATTTGAGTTCAGACTTCATGTTTTCTAAGTAAAGAATGACAACCAGGTTTGAACTGTTGTCTTAACCATTGTTACATTGATATTAAACTTGTCAGTTTTGTCATGTGTTGAGTATTTTTGTATGAGATAACAGCTGCGTCCACCATACTCTGATATTCTTACAACAAACTCGAGATTAATAATAATAATAATAATGTGTCTATTTATATAGCGCCAAACTCCACACCAGGTACGCTCATAGCCCTAGCAATCAAAGCACAGCACATCATTACCCCGGATATAACCCAGGCTGCTTGTTAGATGCTGGAAGGTTATAGTCACATGATTTATCCCTCCGGGTACCCATTTTCTGCTGGGTTAACACATGTATGTGGAGTATCATGTATAGAGTTACAACCTGATGTGAAAGGCTTTAGAGGTAATCACTTTGCTACTCTTGTAACTGAAACCCTCTGTCCAGTTTGTATCAGTACTATAAAGAATAATCTTTAAAACATAATAATGATTACATTTATAAAATGCAATAATTTCCAAATTTCCATCCACTGAAGAAAGGTGAGCTTCTGTACCTGCTACTCTAGTTACTAAAACATTTTAAAATGTTTTACGAGTCTCAAGTGTAATGACAATGTTTGGTTAAATATGGCATTATCCATAGAAATACACATGTACAATTCATTTGAAGTGTCATCTTTCTCTGCTCCAAGGAACAGTAGCTTTGACTTTATACCATGTACTCTCTATTTGACTTTTACAATGTGTAAAATGTTCACATTCTGTTGTTTCTTCATGTAAGTCTGTGATGGCTATTTGCACAAGAGTGAAAATACTGTGGCAACTGGCAAAACCGGGTACTGTACTTGAACGACAACAATTCTTTAGTGATATGCATCCTCTTTATTCAGTCCTCACATATCAGTAAACTGACACTAACCCCCGGATCCATTCCGCAATGTTCTTGTGATCTAAAATTATCCATTTTTTAACAAAGGGGGAGGGAAGTGTACAAAAAGACACTTTTGAAGGCTTTCTCTTGTGGGTCGGTCAATTTTCAATACTGAATTTTTGGCAAATTCTATCGTGATCAATAGACCTGGCAGCCATATTGTTGGTATTATTAATCCTGGTTGGATATAATTTGCATTCTGATAAGCCCGCTAGACTGCATAGCATTGCCAATCAAACTGGCTTATGAAAATGAAGGGCAGGTAACTCCAGAAAGCAAAAAACACAGGAATGGATCCAGGACACTAAGAGATGAATGAGATGTTAACAGATCAAAATCTGCAGCCACATTTGACACAAACAGCCTCCAAACACAAATGGAAGCAGTTGTGTCCTTAGCGTCATCATCCCAACTTCTCGACTGAGGAATGATCCTTAGACTTCACACAAAGTTTACAAGTTTTATCTCTTTTATGTCATTTGGGGGAAAAAAATTGGGGACACTTTGTGGTGGGGAAATATCTTGCATTTACAGATTGCAGTTAATATGACATGAATATCTGCAAAATTATGGATATGGCAATATTTACTCACTTGCTAACTCATATCAATAAACGTGGATATCCAAACTTGTTTACTCAAGTTTCACTGGATCTAAACGCATACAACCAGCTTATCCTTTTTAAGAACCTTATTGCAGTGTGCTTTTAGAGGCATTTCAAGATGTGTTATATCTACTGTTAAATTAATAAATGTTGTTGCTTGATCCTGTTTACACACTTCTTTTCACACAAGTAAACAGGCCAAGAAATACACTGTGAGAGATGGCCCCCTGAGACAGCACTGCCTTACTGTCTTGTTGAACTTTGATCACTACGGCCCCCTAAATGTGTTTTCCTTTGATTGCTACACAAAACCTTTGATATAGATATCGTTCTTCCACGAACTTCTTCAAATAGCCCTTGGGAATTCATCTGGTTTATCAAGAAAACGTCGACAAGGTCAAGGTCACAATATACAAATATATTTGGAAGTGGTTACACTTTCTCAGAAAGTAACTGTGCATTCATCATTATACTTTGGCATACCTTCTCAGACATGGGGAACTGCTTTGATAAGGTTTGGGAAAAGGTAGGTGAAAGGTCAAGGTCAGCATTCAGCTTTTGTGAAAAGTTAAGTTTTGATTGGTATGTGAGGCATGTTTAACTATTCAGCTTTGTAAGTTCATGTTTGCACATACCTCTACAGTGCAACCACACCTAAGTTGGTGCTTACAGGTCAAGGTCACGGTCATCATTGAGATTAGTTTGTGAAGCATGGTAATAACATTGACAGTTTCTTAGGCAGGGTTAACCCTTCAGGCATGAACCTTCATAACTACACATATCTCTAAAGGGGCATGTCTCATGTTCTCAGACTGACAAAGATTAATGTTGTGTTTAGACTTTTACAAGGAAGGGCCTAGATTTTATAAAACCATCTTAGCTTTGATTAATCATAAGAAGTTGCGTTATAAAATAAGACATCTTCACTTTAAGAAAGGATACTTTTTCAAACTTGTTGTTAACCTGTTACAGATCGCACAAAAATACAATAAACCCTTGACAGAGAATTGATTTGCATTTGAGACTGAAAAAGCTGTGTGTTTCCCAATATCAATGCAGTAATGTAGAGAAGTAACCCAACATTCAGGATCACATTGTCAGGTCACTGTGTTTAACAGGGCGGTGGGGTAGCCTAGTGGTTAAAGCGTTCGCTCGTCATGTCGATGACCTGGGTTTGATTCCCCACATGGGTACAATGTGTGAAGCTCATTTGTGGGGTCGCCCACCGTGATATTGCTGGAATATTGCTAAAAGCAGAGTAAAGCCATACTCACTCACTGTGTTTAATATGCATCTGTGACTTTCTGCACAATCCTACATGTAGACAATTGTTCATATGGTAACGGATGCTATGACAACCCTGAAACAATAAAATACAGGTCCCAAAGACAAGGCATTTTTCAAGCACAAGAAATGTTATAAAATGTAAAGTGTTAAACATCATTGCCATTAGAACTACAATAATGCCAAATGGTACTTCATTATTTTCCCAATCAAGTTAACCACTGTGTCAAAGATTTCCATTCTACATTAATCAGTCAATTTCAATGACCAGTCGTTTACTGAATTAAATTGACAGTGTTACATTTTAATGGTGCTTTAATCCCCAAAGAGTATAGGAACCCATTTTGTATTTCATTTTTTAATCACCATTCTTGAAAGTAGTGATTTCTAAGAACTTCATTTTGTTTTGAATTATGATGTCAGCATTATAATATGTTATTCATTTCAATGGAATAAATATCTGCCATTAATCTAGGAAGCGATCTGTCTTTTAAACTAAGTAATTTGTCAACAGATTAGAATATGATTATCAAATATTAAACATGGGGATCACTATCACAGCTGAATTAACAATATTTCTGATGTCAAATATTTTATGTCTTCATGTCTTCAAGGGTCAATTAACAACATGAACTGTAAAATTTTCAATGTTAAACAGATTATTTAATATCTATTTCAAAGAATGATGCCATCTTGGATGAAGATAACTCAAACTTACGACAGATCTGAAGCTATCTTAGGTTTAAGACATTCTTACAATATCTTAGGTCTACGATAGTTTTGAAAATATGCTACAACAGTTGATTTCCTTACGATAACTTCAGAGCTAGGATCATTACCATACTCTCAAACTTATATAATTGTGGAATCTTGCAAAGTTGTGTTGATCCAGGTCAACATCTGTTTTTAACTGGAAGTGTATAGTGCTACTTTATAACTTGAGAAACTTTGAGGAAATGGCAGTATGGGGGCTGACTTCTTTGATTGGCATTCTGAAGTTGGGAAGATGAAGAATGAGGACTATTTTTATGGATATACAACTTCTTTATTCTATATAGGCGACGTTTCAACATAGATTCTAATGTCGTTGTCACCACTTGCTTGACAACGACATTAGAATCTATGTCGGAACGTCGCCTATATAGAATAAAGAAGTTGTATATCCATAAAAATAGTCCTCATTCTTCAGTATGGGGGCTGCTTCTTGTTTTGCTTGTACTTGCACACACCTCTAGTTGTACGCCTTGACCAAAAACCTCCAGTACACAGTACAATTTCCTGTGATACATTTCGTTACTTTTATTGTTGAATTGTAAAGTTTGTAAATTACATAAGATAATCTATGTCAGTGGCAATGAAGGAAACAGAGTACCGGTATGTGTTTTAGATATCGAGGCCACAGTTTTCATATATTTTGGTCTACATGTTTGGTTGTGAAAAGTGTTAGGAGGATCAATAATACAAATGAAGTGAGATATGTTTAGTAATTCCTATAAAGGATTTATGATTATGTTGAATGGATACAATGTTTCTTCAGTAATAAAGAGAATGTTATGGATGTCAACTTCTACATTATAAGGAGCACAACGTTTCAGAGTACATACTTACTCCTTTATCCGGTGAATGATGAAGGAGGAAGGATATACTCTGAAATGTTCTGCTCCACGTAATAAAGAAGTTGACATCCATAAAAGGGTCTCTTCCTCATGTGTATCACTTGTAAATGTCATTCAAACACCTGTTTCTTCAGTAGTATTCTGTTTTGTGGTTCAATCAGTTTTATATTTTTAAAATATTTTTGGGGTTCTAAATTTTAAAAAGGTGTTTTTCAAATTTTCCTTTTCTTCCCACTTCATTGTTTTAGGATTCAGTGATCCGCAAACCGATATATTTGAAAAGTGTTGCCTCTGTGTGAAATGTTTTCCTGTTTCATCATGGATGAAACATTGCTAGCTTGAAGCAGTTCACGATCTCATTTTTGAAATGTTTGATGCTTTCTAAGAATTTTTATTAATTTCACATGTTGGACCAGTTTCTTGTATTATAGATGTTTCTGGCCAATGTTCTGAGAGGCAGACGTCGTAAATATAAGGATCATGTCGGCCGGGGGAGGTCAACTTCCCAGACAAATTGTGAAATTAAAGTCTTGACCAAAATATAAACTATAAAACAACAGTCCCTTTTTGTTGTCTGTTCTTGTGTAATTTAATGTTCCTTTCTGTGGGTTTGAATTCCTGTTCGCCATGATTATGTATCTTGGTTTGCCGGCACCATACCCATGCTTGTGCGTTTCACCAATTCGGTTAACGTCTGAGACCAGTATCACATCAGGCTTCCTCCTACATGAAGCAGACATGGTGTGATGTAACTGAAATACTCTTCAAATTGGCATTAAACCCAAATCATTAATATAAAATATGATGAAATTAGGTTATAAGATTTATATGGTATGGGTAGCCCAGTGGTTAGTGCTGCAGCTTGTTATGGGACACCTCGTGATTCCTTACAGGGTCTCACATCTCTTTTTGTCTTGATGTCCTGAGCCCATTAACACTTCGATGTTACTAAAAGTAGGTAAATATTTTCTCACTTACACAAGCAGTTTCTCTTTTGGATTACGATGTTCGTTGTTTTTAGTTAGTGTTTGTTTTAAGAAAAACATTTCAACAAGTGATGATGTCCAAGGAAGATTGGGGAAATGCTGTTATTGGGTTTCACCTTGATCCAATTCTCAGTCCTCAAGGTTATTGCACTATTTCAGGTCCTCTTACCCGTGAAGATCCAGGTGAGAATTGGTCTTCAGCAACCCATGCTTCTGGTAAGAGGTGACTAACGGGATCGAGTAGTCGGGCTCATTGACTTGGTTGACACATGTCATCGTATCCCAATTGCATAGATCGATGCTCATGCTGTTGATCACTGGATTGTCTATTCCAGACTCATGTATTTACAGACCACCGGCATATAGCTTGAATATTGCTGAGTGCGGTGTAAAACAACAACCCAACCAACCAACTATGAATCGTATTAATGCTTTGTAGCTATTAAACACACAACATTTTATGTTTATTCATGAGCCACTTCTAAATGATGTCGAGAACAATGTTTTTGTTAGTGATCTATGCACTAACTTGCCACTACTCCAATTGTCTTGAAATATGTTGATTTCTTTTGGACTTTTTTGCCTTTTGGCTCAAAATTTCTTCTTTCATGTTCATTAATAATCGATAGATATTTATTAAGGATTATCAGTCTATGATCTGTGGCAAGAGCCAGCCCTAGTTGACATTGTTAAGTGTTGCATTCCTTCAGCATCCCAATAACATTGACTCAGACTCTCCTCTGATGTCAAGCTGACATGCTATGATATAACTGATGGCATTTAAGCATTGAAGTGGCTTTTAACCTCACTCACTCACTGTTTTTCTCCTGCTGATGATGCCATGCTGTCCTGGGCCCTGTTTCTTAAAGCGATCGTAGCGCTACGACAGTCGTAAGTCTGTGTTAAAGTATAGGACTTACGATCACCCTAGCGCTACGATTGCTTTGAGGAACGGGCCCCTGGGCCCAGTTGCACGAAGCTGTCTCAGTTCTATGTTATAACCCTTAGCCAATGTTGAAGTATGGGAGTTGTGATCACTTATCGCTGAGATACCTTTGTGTGGCAGGACCCAGATCTGAGGGTTATCTACGACCATATTTGAAGTTGTTGACCATGTGATACTGAATGTGTGTTTCACGCAGATGTATGTACTCGTGTGAGCTGATTGTATTTATTAGTTAACTATATGTGTGTTTTGTACTGTTTTCTTTGAAGATATAAATTCATACTGAAGTGACTTGGTTGTCCATTATTTCTAGTCGATATAGATCACAGAGATCAATAACCGTTAACTAAATATCGATTATTGATAAATATCGGAGAAGTAACTGAATTAAAATGCCAAAAAAGTCCGAAAGAAATTACAATAATTCACATCACTGGTGAGTGGTGACATGTTTATACATGGAGGACTAACAAGGCAGCATCCTAAATATGATTTAAAGGCATAACTTTGTGAACTGTGTAGCACTTGTTTGTGTACGATATTAAAGATTAAAAATTATTTTTAAAAAGATACCAAAAAAATGTTCAAAAAAATACATATATAAAAGATGACTCAAAAATCATTACTAATCTTTCCAATCAACGATATTTCCTGTTATCGATCTGTTTAGCCAGCCCTAATTATTTCTGTATCAAGTCTCTGCTCCAACAGTTGGTACATCTGTTTGGACAGATGCTGTCATCCCTGGTAACATCCTTTTGTTGAAATGTGACTTTCTGATATTGTCATGTGCACATGTGTGATAATATCCTTGCTGATAATATCAGTTCCATTCACTCAGTTTCTACATGGTAGTAATTACTGATCTTAAATTGGTTCAACAACACATACTTGTCGTAAGATGCTACTAACCAGATTGGGTGGTGGGGTAGCCTTGTGGTTAAAGCGTTCGCTCGTCAGGTCGAAGACCCGGGTTCGATTCCGACAGGGGTACAATGTGTGAAGCCCATTTCTGTGTCCTCCGCTGTGATATTGCTGGAATATTGCTAAAATCGGCATTAAACCATACTCACTCACTCACTAACCAGATTGAGTGGTGAGGCTCACTGAATCGGGTGATGCATGTCATTATATCCCAGTTGGGTAGATTTATCATGGTATCAGTCACTGTAACCTCTGGTCCAGATCTAATTATTTACAGAGAACCGTCATACAGCAGCCATATATACAAAGCCTGATAATTCAATGCTGACAAGGGGCGGTGGGGTAGCCTAATGGTTAAAGCGTTGGCTCGTCACGCCGATGACCTGGGTTCGAATCCCCACATTTGCACAATGTGTGAAGCCGATTTCTGGTGTTCTCCGCCGTGATGTTGCTGGAATATTGCTAAAAGCGGCATAAAAACCAAACTCAGGCCGTCAGTCAATGCTGACCAAACCTATGCATTTGTGGCATATATTTAATCATTTTAAATAGATTGGGGCATTTTGACTACTATTTGACCAAAATTGCTGGGGCATGTTGTAGCTGGGGCAATTCGACGGGTACCCTTACAGGGCTCAATTAGTGCTTTGTTAACCTAGTTATTTGTCTAACTTGCACCAGGTGCAAGTCAATTTTTGAAAGGTAAATGAACAATGAATATAACATCATAAGATTTATTATGTCAGTTAAATTTTCTTCTAAACTTTGAATAATTCAATAGCATATTTCTTTCATTACATATTGCAAAAAGAGCAGTGCAGCCGGAATTTGGCAGGTGCAATTAGTTTTTTATCTCAGGTTACACCTGGTGCAAGCAGGTTAAAATCTCTTAAATCGAGCCCTGCCTTACGTCCAATCAGTTCCAGACTATATGGAACCGACTCAGGGAGCACAACATCCATTCCCCACTCCCTGCAATATGTCCAATCTTGCTCGAACGTCACCGACAGGCTCGTCTTGCCTGGTGCAGACAGTATCTACAGTACAGGAGACAAGATCGAGATGGTGTTTTGTTCACTGACAAGTCAAGATTTCATCTGGACAGCTCACATGGCAAGGTAAACGGTTTGCTTATGCGAGTGTTGTTCAATGCCGACTGTTTGGTAGCTGGAGCATTATTTTATAGGGAGACATCAAATGTCATAGTCGGACACAATTTGTCATTGTCAATAGCAATCTGACAGGTCTGCGATACAGGGATGAGATGATTGGGCCTCATGTGCAGCCGTTCATTCAAGGACAAAGACATAAATTCACTCTTCAAGATAATGCCCGTCCAAATGTCGCTAGTGTTGTTACAGATTTCCTGAGACAGCTGAACATTCAAGTACTTCCCTGGCCAGCTGTTTCTCCAGACCTGGGTCTAGATTTGTGAAGCTCTCTTAGCGTTAAGATAGTCGTAAGTGCCATACATTAACATTAATTTACGGCTATCTTAGCACTAAGAGAGCTTTGAAAATCTAGGCCCTGTCACTAATCGAGCACGCTTGAGATGAAATGGAGCGACCTTTACGTCCAGCCCAGAATCAGCCATTGACGATCAGGACAAGCGTTAGTTCAGACATGGAACAATATTTTCCCAAGCTTTTTTCAATCGCTTAGTGTCATTAATGATGGTTGGATCTATCATCTTTCATGCATATGTATAGAATACCATATTAATTTAGCTTGATAAAAACTCACTAGATTTCAGATTGAAGGTAAATTGGACACCAAAATGAACTACAACCTTGAGGCAGTATCTCACTAATATCCTGAATTTCAGGGTCTTTGACACTGTCAGGATCAATCCCTCCATTCTCAATGATTAAAACATCAATTGAGTTCAGCCAAATTTGAAAATATACTTTGAATAGCTCATATCATTGTCTCCTTCTGATGGTAGCAGTGTCAAAGGACAAAGTCAGTATCAAAGAACAAGGTCAAGGTCAATGCAAGTGCTAGGATCAATTTTTCCACTATCAATTATTTAAACATCAATGAGTCAAGGTAATTTGAGCACCTATCAATGCCCTAAGATGGAATACATAAGGCAACTGTTCTGTCAAAAAAAGAACATTTGAGAGAATATAGCTTTGTCTTCACATGACACTTTTGGAAGGTGACACATAATCATATAAATCACTATGAAACAAATTCAAAGTAGAATTCAAAATACTTTTCATTTATGTTTAGTTACTAGTCGATTTTAATGTTTCTTACTTTTCCCAAATGTATACATTTCGTTCCATTTGAGTTCAGACTTTCGTAGCATCCATCTGAGAAAACATGGCTGCGCCCAGTCGGCGTTTGTGCACGCTGATTCGATTGCAAGGAAATTCACACGTGCCCTTGATATGTAATTCATGTATAAGGTATACATTGCCTCCGAAATAACATTATTGTACCCATTCTAAATTTGCTATACGTTATATTACACCGTAGAAGAATTTCACAATCGAAAACAGCAGGTATTTTAATTGTCCAGTTTTCGATCACGCGATCTCTGACAAACCAAACAGTCTGTTAGGCAATGCATACAAGTTAGGATGCAAAATACATGCGAATAATCCAACGCAGTGGTAACTACCTAGTTTCTACATCATTCCCATGTTATACAGTGGTAGAATATTTGTCAATGGAAATATACTCGCAAATATTATGCATAAATTTATCATATGACGGTCGTCATGATTATTATGATTATGGCATACATGTTCATACATATGAATCATTGTTGCATGAAATGTATTTGGCAGATACATTATATTGTATTTTACAGTCAGTAGTAGTCATTTAACTGTTTTATATGGATATTCGTGCATTAACAGCTACTTACAGAATTATGTCACGAATGTCATAAGAAAGCTTATTCTATCAACAGGTCTGGTTATTTTGAAACTGACTATGCTCATCTTAACAAAAGTGTATTATTAGCTATATAGTCAGTTTCATTCTAGTTTAATCAAGGGTGATTAGGTTGGGTCACCACATTATTATGGACACTGATTAATCACATCTGATTGTAACATTCAAACTCTTGCCCTATTTTCCTAATTTCACTCTTTGCACCAAGAAGATGCTTGTCATGTGTGAAATCACTATGATACCTCACATATTATTGATTGGATTGGTGAGACTATTTCTGCAGCCTAGGACCATACACCAAAGTGCGTTCTTACACAGGGAGGGGTGGTTGGGTAGCCCAGTGGTTAAAGTGTCTGCTCGTCATGCTGAAGGCACAAGTTCAATTCCCTACGTGGGTACAATGTGTGAAGCCCATTTCTGGTGTCCCCTGCAATGATATTGCTGGAATATTGCTGAGTGCAGCGAAAAACTAAACTCACTCACTCACTTTGACCTCATATGAGTTTGGAAGAGATGACAAATGATGAAAAGATAAATAACAAATATATGAGCCACTGTCTGCTTTTATAGGAGGTTCCTTTTAAGAGTATACATAACATACTGTTTTCACTCAACATGTATTGCCATTCAGCCACTTTGAATTGCTGTTTTTCTGATATTTTATGAGATTTGCTATGTAGAGTTGCATCCCCTGGTCATGCCACAGACCTATTATTGTGGGTTCAAATTCCGGTTCACCAGAATTATATTTCTAGGTTTGTTAGCACCACACACATGCTCATGAAATTCACCAAAGGGATAAATTCTGAGACATGCATACATTCATGCTTTACACTTCCACATTACACTGACACACAGTGATGTAACTGGAATATGCGGGCGTGGTGAGCAAGCTGTCTAAGGCACCAGGCTACTGATCTGGAGGTGCCAGGATCAAGCCAACTTGTGACCAGGTGTAGAAAAACCTTGGAGTCAACTTTGTGTGCAGACTCTTCCAGTGTTGTCACAACCCATTGTGTACAGTACACAACCCTGTGCACTTTAAAGAACCCACGAATCTGTTGGTAAATGACCAGATGGTGGCCACATGAATACGTGCAAACACCTAGTTGCAGGTACAGCAACATGTAGTAAACTTGTACAAAGTTCTGTGACTATGTGTCCCAGTCCGCCCAGCTGTGAATAGGTACCTCGAAAGGATGGGAAAGTCACATTAACTATTGGCAGCAAGAGCTGTATGGTCCCCCAGGGAGTTGAGAGATGTGTCAATGATAACTACCTGCCTGTATAGTAGAATGTGGAAATAAAGCTAAAGTGAGGTTGTTCTGATAAATATTGATAAAACTTTTAATCAATCTGATATCTAACCCATCGATCTACGGGATACAATGACGTGTGTCAACCAAGTCAGTTTGGGAGATTTAAGGAGTCCTTTTCACAGTTTCATTATTATTTGAATATTTATGTTTCTTGCCGTGCTCACCAGAGACCATTTCAGGGCAGAATAGGTTTCTAGAAATGACATACCAGTAATTTTACTTAGATATTGCAGCTTTTATTACATATGATATTTTTTCTACTTTACGTTCTTTATTCCAGATATATGTCAGCAAATCCTCCTGACGGACACGTGTCTCCTCCCGGATTCATTAAGAGGTACATTGTTGACCACATCGTCAACTTTGTGTCTAAGAGAACAGAGAAGCTAGAACGGAGATATCCCAAAGTGTTTGAAATCTACAGAACATTTAGATCAGGTGAAATCAGATGTTTTTCAGTGGCTTGTTTTTGGTTTTTATTATGTTGAAAAGTTTATTCTATTAATGTAGGTCATTGTAGGGCAGGCCGCCATATAGCTGGAATATTGCTGAGTGTGGCATAAAACTAAACTCGCTCATTGTAGGGCAGATTTATGTCAATGGAGATAATTTTGTCAACTGTTGGAGCAAACATTTACCCCAATGATGGTTCAGATGCGTGGTTGAAACCCATGACCAGCTGATCCAAGCAGCAACTGAGCCCAGTTGGCCACCTGTGCTCCTCCTGCTCTACATGATGGACAACTTCACCTTTTGGCGGCACATCAATATATAAGGGCAGTAATCTTGACCATGACACTAAGCCCTTTATTGACCTCACCTCACGGTGGGGTAGCCTAATGGTTAAAGCGTTGGCTCGTCACGCCGAAAACCCGGCCGGGTTCGAATCCCCACATGGGTACAATGTGTGAAGCCCATTTCTGGTGTCCCCCGCCGTGATGTTGCTGGAATATTGCTAAAAGCGGCATAAAACCAAACTCAGTCAGTCAGGCAGTCACCTCACCTCACTATATCTCACCGGACTATATCTCACTGGACCCTCATCTCTACATTGTCTGTGTCTGTTTGTTGATTATTGTATTAAGCATCTGACCCGTGAAGGTCCGGGTTAGAATGAATCTTCAGTAACCCATGCTTATCGTAACAGGCGACTAACGGGATCGGGTGGTCAGGGTTGCTGACTTGGTTGACACATGTCATCAGTTCCCAATTGCGCAGATCGATGCTCATGCTATTGATCACTGGATTGTCTGGTCCAAACTCGATTATTTACAGGCCGCTGCCATATAGCTGGAATATTGCTGAGTGTGGCGTAAAACCCACCACTCACTCACTATTAAGCATCTAATTTTCAAACTCCACCTGGAGGTGAGGTGAGGTGAAAATGGGTTTAACGTCATGCTTGAGAATATTTCGCTCATATGACGACGTGCATGCGTGTGTATGTGTATTTGCGGCTGCTTGTACTAGTTCAGACTGAAGCTGATTTTATAGTGCTAGCCCACTGAGATACCATGCCGCAGTGAAGCATGAATACCCCACTCAGACACATTATACTGACTCCGAGCCGACCAGTCCTTGTTGTACCCATTAATGCCAACTCCACCTGGAAGGGATGGTGAGGTATGGTTGAACCTTCCTTATGACCCCTTTGGATTCCAGGTGAGAATCTATTCCAGCAGCCCTTGCTATCTGTACAGGATGGCCCAGTGGATCAGGTTGTTAGGTTCAGTGCCTGGGCTGATTACATGTGGAATGTTGCTCACTTTGTCACACTGGATTGTCTGGTCCAGTATTTCCAGACCACAGTCATATAGCTGTGATGTTGCTGATTCCAGCATTAAACAACAAAGACAGATGTTTTCACAATTCAGTAAGAGCAGTCATTGTCCTGATATCTTCCAGGCAGTTCCACATTTGTGAGTGAGACCAAGGACTACTACAATGTCACCACAGAGTTGTGGGGAGGTCGCACTCTCGGAACCTTCTCCAGACATCAACTAGAAGTCTACAAACAGGTGGGTCCACTGGTCGGAGTCATCATGTGGGAGGGTAGCCTTGTGGTTAAAACTACCGTGTCAACACAGAGTTGTGGGGAGCTCGCACTCTTGGAACTGTCATCATTTACGCATGATTTAGATGTTAGCTGTTTGGGGAGGGTAGCCTTCTGGTTGAAACATGGAATGCATCGCCTGGTTTAACTCCCCACATGAGTACAACATGTGCAAAACATTTCTGATGACCCTCCACTTGTACATGGTTCGAATGGTGCCAAAAGTCATGAAAAACCTGGTTCAGGGCCAAAACTGAAAGTCATGATATGTATATCATGATATTGAGGTAATATTGTTTTTTAAAAGAATTTAAACATTAAGAATTTTATGTGTTTTCAGAGTCATTGTGTTATTGAGAAACTATGTGTTATTCAGTGACAACTATTTTGATGTCTCTTGCCATGAAGGAATGCCAGTGGAAATTAAGACAAGACTTTCCTACAGCTGACTTGATGCACCTAATGATCAGGCTCACCTACCATGAATGTGTGAATTGTTGGTCATAATAGCAGCCACCAGTCCATACTCCATTTTATTACATTCAACAGCGAAAATATCAATTTGAGGACTTCGGTAATAAATAGAACATTATATTTGTGCCCATATCATCATGATCATACTATGTTTACGACACTCGTGCCTAAATATCAGTATGTATCTCGCTCTCGCCGCTCGGGAAATGCCAACATTTAGGCACTTGTGTCGTAAACATAGTATAACATGGGCACTCATATAATATCCTCTATTTATTTAGGCTGCAGTCACATGATGTATCAGATTTAGTCTATAGCTGGAATATTGCTGAGTACTGCGATAAACGACCAACCAACCAACACCTCTAAACAGACAAAATATCATTTTATTCAAAATAACTGTGTAAAAGCACACCGTAATAGATAACTCTTGATGCAAAGTTTTTGAACCTGTTGTATTAATTCTTCATTTCTGTTTGTAGATTCCAAGGGACCTGTTTCGTATTGCCCCCATACTGCTGATCTCAGTCCTCCCTTGGGGAGGAGCTATTATAGCATTAGCGTGAGTTTGACTTGTACATTTACACCAGGGGCTCCAGGGATATATACAAGTACAGTTACCCACTACTAGGGTTTACCTAGACCTGCTCAGAGGCCAATTTTAGGGACTGTTCATCATTTATTTATTGGTGGGGGGGAAAAGAGAGAGAAGAGGAGGAGGAGAGAGAGAGAGAAAGAAAAGAGAAAAAAGAAAGGAAGGAGGGGAGGAGGAAATGATGATTATTTTTTTAAGGGGGTGTCACCCATTTTTTTCTGGGAGCTAGGGTCATCAATTTTGTACATAAAATTATGTTTACAATTATGCTTAGAAATGGGAAGGGAGAGGGGGTCATTGATTTTGTGCATGACATGCAGGGGGTCACTTATTTTGTACTTAAAATTTTATTTTATTTTTTTATTTTTTTAGGAAGGGGGCGTCATTCACATTGTACATGCTTTCCATAAAAATCACCCCCCAGCCATAAATTATGAACGGTCCCTTAGGCCCCAAGTCTGCTGTGAATGTTGCTAACCAATGCTACATAGGAATGAAAGTTTCCCAGTTTATTTTGGTAAAGCCACCTATATGTTACCCATTTGTAGATGACTTGTATTTCACTGATAACAAAAACTGAAGCAAAAAGGAGGAAGCAGCTATAAATGCAATGAATTTGTGCTCTACCCCATGTTTGTTGAAAGATTCGACATAACTACGAATCAAGTTTATGTCGCCTGGCGCGCTATTGGCGCGTTATTCTCCTTCTGATAGATTTGAAAAATTATAAAATACAAGTACAGAAATCTAACAAATGTAGTTGTTGATATGGAAAATGATGGTTCTCCTAATGCCCGTTATCTGTGCAGGTATCTGTATCCCCGGATCTTTCTGTCACATCACTTCTGGACCCAGAAGCAGAGGGAAAAGTTCTGGAGGCAGACTCTGGAGTCACGTCTGCACCATACCTCGGCCATCTTGGATTGGACCATGCGACAGAGTATCCATGTCCCCAACCAGAAGAAGAGAGATAAACTTGTTCGTCTCATACAGAAGGTGAGGATGGATGAGACAATTTACCTCTCTCATTCGGTATTTACAGGCTCTTTGTTAATATGCTGTAATACCTTGACATTCGGGACCAAGAGGATGAAATCCTTCTTTCCAGACACTTGTTGGTCATGACTCTCTCATATGGATCCATCCAAAATGTGGATTAAAAGGCTGGCTTGCATAGACATATAAGAATATTTGAAATTTTTCTTTTAGTAATCAAACATACCACAGGGCATCCAATAAAATGGTCTGGTGTGATCCTTGGAATCTGTTTTGTGTTCCAGTTGGAGCATGCTGTTCAGCCAAGTATAGAAGAACTCCTGGAGGTGCTGCCTCTGTTTGCCTCATTCCCCTACCAGACAGACAGGATGGCAACTGTGTACATGGTAAGCCCATGACTACTCTCTGTTGTGAAGGTAATTTTAGTCCTGTCATCAGTGCAAAGTCCCAATTGCATAGGTCAATGCTGATGCTGTTGATCACTGGATTGTCTGGTCAAGACTCAATTATTTACAGACCACCACTATATGCGGCGTAAAACAACTAACAAACTAACATCAATGCAGAGGGACCTCCATGGGAAATCTGGGTTCGGATTGGTCCCAAGCAGCATGTGCTTATAGGGAGACCTAATGGAATTAGTTGTTAGGCTGAGTGCTATGACAGTGGATCATTGCTCATAAAATAAGTCACATAATTATCTGATACAGGCTTGATACAAGAATATTGCTGTTTATTACCCACGTGGTCAACGTATGGGTAGTTGCATACTAATCTTGTACGTCACACTAGTGTCGTATCGCGTTGACCTGTGTCGTAACTACTTGACCTGAGATTCTAACGGTTTGATTGGATAACCGATGACCTCTCAATTACGTCACGTTGTGACAGAACTACTTTTTCATTCATAACAAACATGTGAATTCATTCATTCTGCAACTTATATGCATTGTGGGAATGTAAACATTGCGAATGTTGTTGTATCGCTGTTTAATTGTGAGTCAAACTGAGACATTATATGCGTTGAAAAACATAAACGCAAAGTTTCCACAAGTGAGGTTAGCCGAGTGAAGCAGCTGCAAAGTAAGCGATGACAACTGACATGCATCGTGACGTTGGTTCGCTCGGTCAGATACCATAGGAAGGACACTCGTTTTGTATAATTCGTATGTGATGAGACCTCGTGTAGTATTCTCTACATGAGTCACTTGACTTCAAAGAAACAATGCAGTGGAGACAAGGTGTTCGGAGGTGAACTTACCCACTCATCACTTGGCACAGGTGGATCAGCAGTCACAGTTGTCACAAGGATCAACTGGTCCTGGGTTTGAATCTGTTTCTACTTGATAAGTGTTGAAATAAAGAGGGCAGTATGGCCCTTGAGGTTAGTTCCAATAGTAATAATTAGCTCCTCATGCAGCAACAGGGGCGGTGGGGTAACCTAGTGGTTAAAGCGTTCGTTCGTCACACCGAAGACCCAGGTTCGATTCCCCTCATGGGCACAATGTGTGAAGCCCATTTCTGGTGTACCCTGCCGTGGTATTGCTGAAATATTGCTAAAAACGGCATAAAACTAAACTCACTCACTCACTCACTCATGCAGCAACACAACCAGGTCGGGACAAAACTGATTAGGGTGGTTAGACTCAGTGAAATAGTTGCCTACAGTATCATACACTGGATTGTCTAGCCCAGGTTGGATTATGTAAGTTGTGCAGCGTTCAGCAGAGATCAGCAGAGCTGTGTTTGCTTGGTGTACCAGAATCCTCAAGTCCCAGTTCTCTAAGATCTACATCACTTCAGCCTTTCCAGCCATAACAACATGATCCAGCTGATGATGGCACACTGATGTAAATGAATTACTGTACAACCCATTAAACCCATTAAACCCAAGTCACTTCACTCTGTTGGAGGCTATGTGATCTATGTCTATCGTTTCTTGCAGAGACATTTAGCCCGGTGTTTGAACTTCTGGCCATTGCGAGCTCGCCTATACCACGATGCAATGATTCTGTTGTACACCGACCTTGCCATGGCGAGAGAAGGCATTGTCAAAATGGATGATTATGCCCTGGAGAAGGTAGGGCATGTCATCTCTCAGGGTAACCATGGTAACGACATGGCGTCCTTATGTTTGGAATTGGTTAAGATCATTTGTTTCATACGATAATGATAATGCATGATTTATGAGCCTCAATCATGTCAATAAAATGTTTAACTGGACTAATGTGCAAGGAAATCATTTTAACTGGAAAATAAGCAATCTCGGAATTCTTGTCAAGATATAAACTCCTTTTGAAAATGTACCTGTCCTGATAAATGAAGTAGTTGGGGTGTGTTTATTAATGTTTATCTTGCAACACAACATACAAGATATTGGTGTGTAAGTATTCATGATGTCTATGTAATTCATTGATATGGTGATGCACTTAGTAGCTGAATGTGATATCAAAGTTGTTTTGCTCTAGGTAAAAAAATATAGTGTTCATCTGTGTAGCTTGTTTATTCATTCAGTATTATCGTTCTTTGTGTGAGTTCAACGGTGGGTTCCAGAAATCCCAGCAACCACAGGTCTTCATCATATTGATGGAATATTGCTAACTGGAGTGTTACACAATAAAATCTTTCACTGTTTCAGATTGATTGTCGTACTTCTAACATCTTTGTACATCTTTTGTAGGCCTGCTTTCTGAGGAGTCTGAATCCTTTTGGCCTGACAAGAGAAGAAAAAATAGCTTATTTAACAAACTGGACAAGGATCAGCCAAGAAATTGATGGTAATTGTGATATCGACTGTATCAAGTTTATCAAGTTCCAGTTTAGAGTGTAGGTCCCCAGCAACCTGCAGCTGGGTCAGGTGGTCAAGTTGGCTGACTTGATAACATGTCATCGTCTTCCAAGTATATGAATCGATGCTCATGATGTCAATCACTGGATTGTCAGTCCCATGTTTGATAATTTATAGGCTGCGATCATGTATAGTCCGTTTGGCTCAAAAGCGGACCGATGAATTGCAATCTAACTCGAAAACTAATAAACAGAAAATACTCAATGAAACACTGATCATAATCAAAACGTCAGACCAACTCTGTGAGTTTTTTGCAGAATTTATGTCCTAAAAATAAAAAAGTTGTTTAACAAACTATCATTAAAATATTGACACAACAGTTCACTATTTGTTACGAGGGACGAGTGCAGAGAAAGGGACAGCCAGGTGTGCGAGAAAGGATGGCAACGGCACAGCACAGGTTGATGAATCAATAACTTTGTCGGTACTTGTGCACATGCTTCTCTAACACCTGGCTGTCCCTTTCTCGGCACTCCTCCCTCGTAACAAATAGTGAACTGTGTCAATATTTTAATGATAGTTTGTTAAACAACTTTTGTAATTTCAGGACATAAATTCTGCAAACAAATCACAGAGTTGGTCTGATGTTTTAATTATGATCAGCGTTTCATTGAGTATTACATGTTTATTAGTTTTTGAGTTAGATTGCAATTCATCGGTCCGCTTTTGAGCCAAACAGACTATAGCTGGAATACTGCTGAGTGCTGCATTAAACAGAAACAAGGACAAGCATCACTATGCTCGATTCCCAATTAGGTTGTCATGCTTATGACTTAACTACTGTTCAAGGCAGCAACACATTCTTGTTGTAAGAGGCGACAAGCTGGACCAGTGGTAAGACTAGCTGACTTGGTTTAAGCATGTCATCATATCAAAATATAATCCTGTAGATTTATACTCATGACTGCCGTGATATTGCTGGAATATTGCTAAAAGCGGTGTAAAACCAAATTCACTCACTCACTGATGCTCATGATGGCAATCACTAGATTGTCTGATCCAGGCTCAATCATTTACATTTCCTGTCATATAGCTGGAAAATTGAGTGTGGCATTAAACAAGGAACAAACAAACCAAACATGTTCAAGGAATCATTATTCCCTACTCGCTCGTGTTTCAGAATCAAACATCTCTTTCCTACTCCACTGTCCTGCCTTCCTGGGCGGCGTCCATCCCAACAACCTACAACTGCTGGGAGGCAAGAGGTCATTCTGGAGGAAGAAGACCGGGAGATGAGAGCTAGGTGGTCGTGTGACTGTCATGTGATTGTTACAGACTGGCTGTGATATACTGATATATATAACCCATCACCAGCGAACTGTGGGAGGAAAACAGAGTTACTTGGCCAGTGGTCTTGCCATCTGTCAACATGGCTTCCCTTCATGGTTCTATATCAAACAGAAATTATGATTATAATCAAGCACCTGAGAGCAAGACCTTTGTTTTATCTGTCAGTATTCATCTGATTTATGTGGTATGGTACTATCATGGTGCAACTAATAGATAATTTATTCAAAAATTCATTACGACTCCATGATGGTATGTTATGCAGGACTCATAAGATGTATTTATCAAAATACTATAATTGTTGCAGAAGTGTTTTACATGATACGTACCGATAATATACTGAATCACTGAGTTGGTTTTATAGCAATATTCCAGCAATAACACCGCAGGGACACCAGAAAGGGGCCTCACACAATGTTCCCATGTGGGGAATCTAAGCCAGGTCTTCGGTGTGGCAAGCGAACGCTTTAACCTCTAGGTACCCCACCTCCCCATAATATCACAGGCTTAATGTATAATTGAAAGAGATGTAAATATGTTAGAACAGAATCAAATAAGTCTAGATGTGGTGATGAGGTGTTAATGGTCAGCAACAACAATGATGTTAAATATAATCCTGAAGAGACGGATAATGTCAGGGTTAGCAGAGTGCCAGTATAGCATCCCCTAGTACAATGACACATAGTCAACCAATACACATAGTGTGGCCACCAGATCCTCATAAGTAAGGGGTAGATGAGGTGGCCTAGTGGTTAAAGTGTTGACTTGTTGCTCCAAACCTGACTAGCTATTCTTGAAACGTTCGTAGCCCTACGAACTTCTTAAGCCCATTCCTAACACATTGGCTACGATGTTAAGTTAGGAATTCTTAGGGCTACGAACCTTTCGAGAATCAGGGCCCTGGTTCAGATTCCCTTATGAGTTCAGTTAAAGAACACTGGCAGGATACAGCTGGAATGTTGATTCTCACTCACTCACTCACTCACTCTGAGTCACTCACTCAGTCTCACCACTCACTCACCGCAGACATGCTTAACAGGTATTACTATGGGGACGTATCCTTTCCTGTTGCTTCACCAGGTATTCCAAATAAGAACAGATACTCTATACTGGTCAACACAGTGTAATGATTGGAGGGGTTCGCTGATCTGTTTGATTGTGTGTCATGTTACCCCACACTGTAACTGGATTGTCTGGTCCAGAGGCATATACTGTCATTGATGAGAGCTGTGTCGAGTCAACAAGTCTGTACATGAATTAACATGTTAACGGCTACTGACACAAATGTTTTTAACTAACACTACTAACACTACAGCACATACACAGACATGCATGTCGTCATATGAGCAAAATATTCTCAAGCATGAGGTTAAACCCTATTTCACCTCACCTCACCTCACTAACACTACATAATAATGAGCTTTTGATGACCAGTACATCCACAGACATCTGCTCTCAATGCTTTGTAAGGGTTTTTAAAGTGTGTTATTATATTTTAATATAAGAATATATATAAGTAATATATGCCTTGTACAAATATGATTTACACACTTGCACACGAGCATGCCTGCACACTTACACATGCTCGCGTCTGCGCCTGCACACACACACACATACACACATTCCCTCTCCTGTGTGAAGTCACTGGAAATGTTCTCAAGATGAAGACAGACAAATGCAACCCATTCTTGGGGATCCTTGTTCTCCTGTAGCATGTGACATGGTCCTGAAGATAGCGCAAGCAGGAACATCCTTCCTCACTCACTCGCCCAGTTCCTCACTCTTACTACTAGTGTGACCACGTGTTGTCTGGCCCAGAGCAACACATGCTTGTCTTACAAGGTGGCAAAACAGATTAGATGCGAGACTCCTTATTGAGAGCAGTACACCACACCCTAATGGTGTTCATGCCGCTCATAATCACTGGTTTGTCTGGTCCAGGCTTGATATTTACTCTACTGTGACTACTAAGAGTACACATGAGATGGAATTACACAAAAAAGCAAGACAAAAATACTGGGATGATACACTTGGTTCTGTTACTACTCGAATGGAGCACCTGCCCAGAGAGTGGTTTCATTGCCCAGGAAATCCAACATGCAGTACCTAATGTTGTTGTGTCCTTTAGACCTCTGAAACAAATAGACTGTTGCTGATAGATTTATTTTGTTTTTGTTATGTACATGTCCAGATTCTTATTCAAATAAAGACAAGAAAGTGATGAGCCTGTTATGTTGAGATTATAAGCGGGGTACACATGTACTGAAGCAGAAAGTCTTTAATATCCCTGTTTTAGGGGTCACCAGTGGCCCTGTTGGCTGTGGCAGTGTAATTTGCTGTGCAGAGTTGCATCCCTTTGGCAAGCCAGGAAGCTATGACATCAACTGTTTCATTACAACAGACAATTGCTTTCTCAGCTTATTGGCATATACTATAATTATCTCTGTTGCAATGTACAGTGTTATAACTGTATATGCAGACTATACAATGTCTGTTACTAAGTGGTCAAATGTAACCAATATCATGATTGGAATGACTCTTTATTAATGAAATACAAATTCCTGCACTTTTTGGGGTTGTGTCCAATCTGGATTCGAACCCAGACTCTGAGAGTGAGGTACCAAATTGCCAGCGCACAAACACAGGTCCTCGTGTCTTTGCGAGGATTAAAGATTTTTAAAAAATATATAAAAATTTGAGATGACCCCCCGACTTGAAATGCTTCACAGTACAATACATAATGATGTATTTTACTGTGAAGCTTTTTGAGTCGGGGGTCATCTCAAAAACAATAAGTTTTCATTTTTAGTCTTCGCAAGCCAAAAGGCCTGTGCACAAAGTCCTCGATCTAACCCTCCCTGGCAAACTGATGCTTTCACAAAAATGGAAGTCTGACAACTGAGACAACAGGTTATCTGGATCACCTACTCTGTAGCCTACACCTATCTGACAGGTAGGTATGACAGGGTGACCCCATGGGCGAAAGTTTTGAATACACAATGTCTTTTAGAAATCTAAATATCTTGCACATTTATCAAAATGATATCAATAATGTGGATATTTCCAAAAGTTGCAGGGAAGGTCTGGATATTTGAAAATGAATTAACATTTTCTTTCTGGGTACAGACGTGGTCTTCCAACCAAGGTAAGAGCGGTGGGGTAGCCTAATGGTTAAACCGTTCTCTCGTCACGCTAAAGACCCGGGTTACAATCCACTAAGATGGTTTGGGCAAGTGGAGTAGACAATTGTACGGTGATTGTAAAGCTATAATTGTAGGGGCCTAAGATTGATTGTAACTGAGACTGTTCCGTGCAAGTGGACCCTAGTTCGATTCTACACATGGGTACAATGGGTGAAGCCCATTTCTGGAATATTGTTAAAAGCGGCTTAAAACCATACTCAACACTCCAACCAAGGTAGGCTGCGCTTGCGCTACACAAGCCCAGAACCAAGCTGGTTATACATGTATAACGCCATACATTACTTGTGCACGCGGCTATATGTTACTGTAAAAACGATCACAGTATTTGGACTAGTCAACTTCATATAAAGGCCCTACTCTTACTTGAAATTCTACCAACTGCATTAATCGACATTTAGCTTTCTCTTCTGAATTTATCTTGGCGCTATTTGCATATTTGTGTACATGTATATTTGCTAATTGCATTCAACCTAAGGCAATACACTGAAGTAGACTGTGTGTGCCAGTGTTGTCCATCACCTACAATCAGTACCACTGTGAGGTTGAAAACAAACTGTTAACCCGAAATCTGTACGTAATCAAAAAACAAACCCTTGTGTGCCGTAATTTTCTTCTTGGTTCTAATCCTGTGTGCACTATTGTGTGGTCATTGCAGGTGATTCAGCGCCTACAGAGCTCACGGGACAGTGCGGCAGCCACGTAAAGCGTTCGCTCGTCACGCCAAAGATCCGGGTTCAGATCCGGGTTCATATGAACTCAACCGGTGAAACCAATTTCTGGTCTCCCCCAGCCATGATATTGATGAAGCGGCATAAAACCACATTCACCCATTACCGATTACATCAACTCCGGCTGTGTTTGTGGTGGAACCTTGATCTGACCGCTGCCACTCACATTCCTGATACAGAACAAGCCTGATTTGGACCCTGTGTATTCTTGCTTTTCCATGTTACAATGTTTGTCTCTGAGGCACGGCGGAACGAAATGAATCCTGCGTCAATCAAAGTTTAACTCATTGAGTTGCGACCAGTGAATATCCGCGTTAGAATTGGTCTTCAGTAACTCGTGCTTGTCGTAAGAGGCGAGTAACGGGATCGGGTGGTCAGGTTCGCTGACTTGGTTGACACATGTCATCGTATCCCAGTTGTGTAGATGTGTGTTCATGCTATTGATCACTGGATTGTCACGTCCAGACTCAATTATTTAAAGACCGTCGCAATATAGGTGGAATATATCTGATTGTGATGTGAAACAACAACCGAACTAACACATGTCAAGTCCTTATGTTATATTAATAGGTGGATGTACCACACCTTTTAAGGCCACCTGTGTTTGCATGTTGGTGATTGCTGCTCGTTTACGTCTATCAAAGCGTTCATTACTCTCTCATTATATCGAGTGGGCGTTCAGGTAAAGAACTGACTTGCCGTTGCATTTGTTTGTGAGTGAGTGAGTGGGTTGGGTTTTACGCCGCTTTTAGCAATATTCCAGCAGTATCACGGCGGGGGACACCAGAAACGGGCAACACACATTGTGCCCATGTGGAGAATCGAACCCGGGTCTTCAGCGTGACGGGCGGACGCTTTAACCATCAGGCTGCCAAACCGCCCCCATTTGTTTGTAACTAATGACAGAGGTTGGACAACTTTGTTAGTAAATACGACTATAATATCACATGTATTGATTCAACATTCAAAGTGACGTGTGACTGCCTTATAACAGTTATTGCTTTATCCTTTTTGCTTTCCTTACCGAATTAAATATTTAATATAAAACTCTAACTTTCCGTCATAATAGGAAATCTCGGCTTCAATTCCCATTTCACGATCCTGACCGTGGTAGTTTATAAGTCTCGATCAAGGCAAGTGGGTGTATCTGGCGTGCTTCAAAGGTGGCACCCAAACACATGCAAAAGGCATGCCAAGTCTTCATGCCACCAGACGCGAGAACACATGGTACGTAAATCATAAAAAATGTCAATTTGGTCACGAATGATTTCCACATACGGTGACAAAGCGTCTTGGGACTGATTATAACATTACACTTATATAAGAATAATTGAATTTTTAATTTTCAACTAAAAGAACAGCTTAAATCAGGAAATGGTATGAATTATATTTTAAGCATTTATCGGGCGTAACAATAATGAATATGTTTATATGATAACAAGTATCGTAACTCGATGACAATTACGACCACGTGAAAGATTATTACAAACTTAGAAGCAGACTAGTAGAAACAATTTCAACAACATAGCCGTAAAAGCCATAAACAGAACAGTGGCAAATATTGATTCAAAGTCCTCCAACTGCTCAGGATCGTAGAATACTTCCTCCAAATCCACAGACACTGAAGACACGTGACCAGGAGAGACACTGCAGCGCCCCCTGTACACTGTGATCACAGAGTGGTCGACATGCCTGAATAGTTCATCATCTGTATGGGTAAGGGTGGACTTCCTGGACGATGTGACTAGTGAATGACGTTCATCACCAGATGGTTCATCATTTGCATTCAGACTGGTGAAATTCAGAGACAGACGTTGGGATCAGGGACTGACCTTCATCGCATGATAGTTCATCATCTGCATGGGTAATTATAAGGGTGGACTTACAGGACGTTGTGAACAGGGACTGACCTTCATCGCATGATAGTTCATCATCTGCTTGGAGATTGGTGGACTTCCTGGACGTTGTGAACAGGGACTGACCTTCATCGCATGATAGTTCATCATCTGCATGGAGATTGGTGGACTTCCTGGACGTTGTGAACAGGGACTGACCTTCAACACCAGATAGTTCATCATCTGCATCATACTGTACGGACACACAAGAAGACGAATCTCTTGGAAGGCAGCATCTGGATACTGGTCGCGAGTTGTGGAAGGAGGTGAGACTTTACTGCTGACAGAGGACAAGGAATTGCTAGAGTGTGCTTCATAAACTGACATAGATCCTGCACATTTGTCCAAAGATGTGGAATGGTCCATTTGCTACAGCAATCTCACTCCTGGGGTCTGCGGGGCTGTGGGATAGCCTAGTGGTTAAAGCGTTGGTTCGTCACGCCGAAGACCCGGTTTCGATTCCCCACATGGGTACAATGTGTGAAACCCATTTCTGGTGTCCCCTGCCGTGATGTTGCTGGACTATTGCTAAAAGCGGCGTAAAACGAAATTCATTCAGTCAGTTATATTTCAGCGTTATCATATATGATATGAAAATATAATTTTAAGGTGTGATCCTTAGAGTTTTAGATTGTATTTTTTTCACATTTACAGGAAGTTTTTTATGTTTGTTTGACATAAATGTGTTTGGTTTGGAAAATGACTATGATAAAACTCCTATACTTCCTTTCAAATAAAGCAAAAACGATACTGAAGTAACAAAGTATTAAACAAATAAAATGTATATTTCTATTATTCTTATATAACGACCATATAACATTGAAATACTAGTATGGTAATAGCCGTCATAATTAATCATAATAGCAACTGCTTGAAAATGCTCGAATACTTTAATCGACTGTTATAACAGGGTGACTCGAGGACTCAAACACGTTAACGGACAAACACTTTCTGAATGAACCTGTAACATATTGTGCATATTTTCCGGGAAATTCAAATGCATGAGGTGGCTGTGGTCTGTCGGGTTTCGTTTTCGATTTGCATCGGTGTGAATTCTTTAAGAGAACCATTAACTTCCGATTACATGAAGTGTGCTTTAATATATTATGGGGCGATTAAGGAAGAATTTGGCTTATTTGGGTATTTTTCAAACTATGGAGTTCGATGTCAACCAATTGCCAAAAGCCTGATGCTGCTGCCTTGGTAGTATGAATTAATGTTTGTAAATCCAAAACTTCTCGTTATTGCAGTTGCTAGGGTTTTTCGAAACTTTCTGGAGGTAACGAGAAAACATTCGAAGCAACAAGAACATAGTTTAAAAAAACTTGAAATAAGTAGATTAAGCATGATTGTAGAAAAGAATAAATGCGAAACTATAACCGAAGTAACGAGAAAAGACTGGACTGGACTGCATCAAGACCACTACGCATGCAGTGACCTTTAGAACAACTTCAGCTGACAGTGATCAACAGTGGCAGTAAGATGTTGTAGATGCTGCCGTTGTAGTTACAAACAAATTAACTTTGTAAGTACCGTATTGCTCGACCTAGGCATATATTTTCTCGAGATACGCTTTAGCTCAAGTCTTAAGGCCTCGGTTATAAATGTTCCAGCTATATGGCGGCGGTCTGTCAATAATCGAGTCTGGACCAGACAATCCAGCTATCAACAGCATGAGCGTCGATCTTCGCAATTGGGATACGATGACATGTGTCAACCAAGTCAGTGAGCCTGACAACCCGATCCCGTTAGTGGCCTCTTATGACAAGCATGGGTTGCTGAAGACCAATTCCACCCCGGATCTTCAAAGATATAAATTCGGGGGGAATTCTTGCTTAAAAACTACACTGCGGGTAATCGAGACCCGGCATTTATTCAATACACGGCGTTTACGCTGGGTTTAATCGAGAAATACATCTAGTTGCAGTAATCTCTATAATTATACTTTAATCTGTCCGTTAATATCTGATCGATGTCACTGCAGTTGTTCGTGATTTCACGGCAATTATGGCGTCACATATATCACAGTAGGTGTTGCATTTTCAAATCATTTTAACTTTTTTTCACCACTCAATCACTTTCACGAGTGTCGCCCCAGACATGATTGATTGATTGATTGAATAAATCACCTACGTTTGATGGTATTTATTTATTTATTTATTTATTTATTTATTTATTTATTTATGCATCTATTTATTATGTGTGTGTTTGTTTTTATGTTTGTTTGTTTTTATGTTGTTTCAGCGGTGAACCTTTTCTTCCCATTTAAATTCTATTGCTTTTTGTGAGTAAATAATATAACGACTAGTTTCAGTACAATATTCTGAAGTGTAAAATTAATTTAAACTGACGGACAAAATAAAGTGTACACTTACGTTTGATGGTGGTTTACATTGATACAAGGAAGAAATGTATAGTCGATGGTGAGGTATTTAATACGTGTAGCATAGGTGTGTGTTGGACCATCAGTTTCCAGCCTAACTTTGGATTACCCTAGTAATTTTCTATGGGTTAAATCTAATCACCGGGTGTATACTTTCAACTGACTGTATATTCATTTGTGAAAATAACAATAATATCATTAATAAACAATGTTTAGGAGGGCAAACATGACTGAGAGAGATTAGTTTTACGCCGAATTTAGCATTATTCCAGCACTATCAGAAGAGAGGGGGACGCCAGAAATGGGTTTCACATATTGTATATACCCATGTGGGCAGTCGAACCCGCTCCTTAGGAGAGACGAGCGAGCACTTTACCACTAGGCTACCCCCAAGCCCCTGGAGGACAAACGCCCTATAGACGACAGCTTATTATAGTAACAAAAGTAAGGGTTCCTTGTATATAGATATAACTTTGGGTTTGAAGATGTGGGCTATGATATGTACATTCTACAGTCAAACATCTCATCTAAACGGACAATCAGGACTTGCAGTAGTGACTGAGTGAGTTTAGTTTTACGCAACCTTTAGCAATATTCCAGCAATATCACGGCGGGGGACACCAGAAATAGGCTTAACATATTGCGCCCATGCATGTAGGGCATCGAACCGGGGTCATCGCGGCGGGATGAGCGTAAACCCCCAGGCCATGCACCCCACCGCCCCGGGACTGGCAGAAAATAATTATACTAGTCAGAGTACTTCATCCTATTGCATCTTATCATATTTTATTCCTCTATAAAAATCAGTCATAGAATGTATAGATTTAAATTATGTAAACGCCACTGTGTGTTTTGAACTGGTTATAATGCATTGTTTCAGAACGTGCTTTGGGTTAACGTGCATCATTTCAGTAGATCATTGCATTTGCAAATTAGAACTAAATATAATTATATCAATCGGGATATTATAACCCTGACCCTCACAAAGTTTAGCTTGTATAGCTTTATCTGGTATATGGTCTCTGCTTGTACTTGACCATTTAAATACATCTTGTATCTTGCCGAGTATTAATTTTAATGTTTATTTATTTTAATGTTTTGTGAAAGGGGTCACTTATAAACGGGTGTGTCATCTCTGATAACGAGTTTGAACTGTCGCGCGACTTTGAATACATCAATATATCCTTGAATCCTAAATAATCCTCAAATAGGAATTTAACGATCAGTTTTAGACTCTTCGTCCTATTTCATTAGTAAAAATCCTACAATATGTGTGAAAAATTTCAGACAAAAGCATCAAAGTATTTTTAGGTAATATTTCATTCCCTTTACAATAGGACATATGAATCCCGTAATCATTCCCCAAAATGACACTTTATTTATTGGATTATTTCGTTAGATCGTGATTCCGACATCCGCACTATTGTTTTGTAAATTCCACTTCGTCTTTTCACTCTTGAGGATCTTCTTCCGCTTTGTTTATGGTTGAATCCCGGCGAAAACGGCTAGAGAAAATATCGTGACGATTTTCCTTTGTTTCTTTGAAAGGTTGGTAATGATATCATGAAATAATTGCACCCTATATCTCTCATGGAACATATTTGTTTAATTCCGAACATGTATGCAGTTGTACATGTGTTGCATACAGCTAGAACTTAAGAACAAGCAAGATTAGCTAACCGATTTTTCCCGCAAATAAATCACAGCTCAATACCGGGAAGACGAATCTATTGCCGGTGCACTGGTGTTATATCGACCTTTTTCTTTCCTTTGTTTAATTTGATATGAGTTTTTAATATTATCGTGTATTGGTGATCTAGTTACTCTTAATAGAAAGCCTTTTCTTCAGCGAAAACCTCGATAAATGTTGGTTTTTTAAAATAGAGTTCGAAATGCCAATCTTACTTCTGTTCACAGCATTGGTTAAGCTTTGTGATGTTATTTTGCAACGTGAGATATTTCAAGGGATTCTTTTGTCCATATGTACAGACGTCTGTTTGTTTTAATTCCATGAAACGCATAGTGCTCTCAGAATAAGTAGGACCTCTTTTGTTAAATTAATTTTCTACCAACAGCACAGTCCAGCATATAACTAGACGACTTTGCACAATACCAAGGTGTGCTCGATGTAGGCCTTGGCTGGAATACGAGTTTATTCATATGAACTACCAACAGCATAGACTCTTTCTAACTTAGTGAATATGCACTCATTCGACAATACTTTGCCAACTAGCATCCATGTTGTGTGGTGAAAATAATGCATTGTGGGTTGATTTATCATGTTATGGATGAAAACAGTAGCGTGTTCTTTCACCAAGAATCTCACTGTGTGCCATCCATCATCTGTATCAATGGCTGTTGAATGGTTATATTTGATATTGTTTTTATCATCAGACTCTCCATCATTATTAACCCGTGAAGGTCCGGGTTAGAATATTGATCCTCATTCTACCATGACATCAGTAAACACTGGATTGTGATTGGTTAATTAAAGTCATTCAGAGGTATATAATCACGTTATACAGGTCTCTGTTTTCCGTGCGCAATCATACATGGTTTACGGTAATGCACTATTTTTGTCTGCCCACTAACATGGCGGACACCAAACAACCTACCGATGCATCGATAAATTACGGCGATTTTACTGTCGGAAATTACACATATGTCTTTAAAGATGGATTTAGCGATGACGGGCTCGACTCACTACTTGCGTAAATCACAGCAATAGGTGTTTATACATACAAAAGTACTTCTCGAAAGCATGGAAACAAATATTCAGTCGAACAAGATCCAAATATCGTCTGCTTTCAGAATAAAAATTCAGCAAAAACAAATATGTTTACGTTGATTCTATGTTATGTCAGAATAGATCCAGCAATAGACTGCTACATATATAATTTCCGTGTTAAATTTATTATCAGCTGTCGTCAACGATATCGCCACTGATCTTGATCCGTAACGGAGGATGCATTAACATCGAGCCGAAGAAATTTTAATGCCTTCCATCGACATAAATAAACAGTTGGGTTATCAATTCAAACAAAATGATAATTTTGAAATTTGTACTGTTTCAAATTTAGCGGTAGTAAAACACAATTACAGTATCTGCAAACCGTTCTGTTTAGCCCAACATATTTTTTTGCTAAAAGTATAATATCATTGAAAAAGTTATTTAGCTTAGTCATGATCCCTCTTATCCATTACACTGCTTGATCTAAAGTAGTCTATTAAAGTATAATAAATTACCTTACCGTGTTTATGCCAGAGGTACACCCTCATGTCCTGATCCATCCTTTCGAAATATCACCACAAATCTGTCTCTTTGTCAACAGACTCGTGAACATGCCAGCGAATCCGATTCAATTTGAATTCACTACACTTTGAAGCCACTAGGTCACAAAACACTTTCCAAAATGTAGAAAATAATATCCGAAGAATCGAATTTGAGCACAAAGTACACACATGAGTGTGTAAGAGTCATCACAGCTGTCGCGACGCAGACGTAGAGGTGCGATGAAATCGTCAAGTTGACAGGGCTTAAAAATTCAACAGTATCTAAATTCGATTTTTAACACGGACTCCTCGTTACAGCAAAAGCTCCACTCTTAAATTTTGTACCAGTACCAGTAATTAGATATCAAAGACTATCTCAGTCATACAATCAGGTTAACCTTGCGCAAACTGTCAGAGGCTCTCCTGTCGCATTTTTCCAAATTTGCACGTAAATGTAAACAATGACTTCGAGAAAGGTCAAGGCCATGAGGTTGCTGCCATTATTCTGGTGGGGTAAGGGTCTACTGTGGAATTTTCAAATGTGAACCAAGCTTTTAAACTTATTTGAAATATGTTTTCCAACTTATCCGTTAATGATTGGTGATTGATGCATTGAAAAAACAAAAGCGTGATTTGTTATTACTGAATCTGGAGTTTGTTAGTCATTGACGGTTTGCCACCAATCACCCGTTTCGGGCGATGCCACTTGAGATTGGAATGCGAGGTCGCGCTTCACGTATTGACTCGCGTAACCAAAGAAAGAGCTCCACCTGAAATTGTTCATAAAATTGTCATGGTAGAATGGAGATAAACTACTGTGTTGGAAAATCAGAGGTATATATTGAAATTATAATAGCTCTAAATTGTTCATTTAAAACCTCACGCCACGCGTTCGGTTTTAAATGAAATTTAGAGCTATTATAATTTCGTTATATACCTCTGATTTTCCCACACAGTAGGTTTATCTCCTAAGTAACCCATGCTTGTCGTAAGAGGCGACTAACGGGATCGGGTGCAGGGGTGGAAATAACTTTAAGATTGCTAGTGTACTTCGGTACAGTGGCACATGTAAAATCACTTGCCCTGATATTTTTTCCACTATAAAGGCCGATTTTCTTCTTGATTTTTTTAAATAAACAACATAATTAATATTGGAAAGTCAACTGGACACCGGTACAGCATGTTATGCTAATTTGCTTGCCCGACAGAAAAAAACACTGGACTGGGACGTCAGGCAATGGAATATTTCAACCCCTGGGGTGGTCAGGCTCGCTGACTTGGTTGACACATGTCATCGGTTCCCAATTGCGCAGATCAATGCTCATGCTGTTGATCACTGGATTGTCTGGTCCAGACTCGATTATTTACAGACCGCCGCCATATAGCTGGAATATTGCTGAGTGTGGCGTAAAACTAAACTCACTAACTCACTCAATCATTATTGTGATTATACTGACAAAATATTGACATGCACATTGTTTAGTTTGACTAAAATAAATGAGAAAGTTGTCCCATGGTATCTGTCTTCAGTCCAAATAATCACCATTACTCTTTCAAAGAATGATACTTGATAGAGCGCCTCACTGGTGTAGTGGTTAGAGTGTCCGCCCGGAGAGGGGAAGGTAGAAGATTAGATCCCCAGCCACGTCATACCAAAGACGGTACTTGTTGGTCCCTGGCTGTCACTCAGCGTTAATGGGTACAACAAGGACTGGACAGCTCGAAGTCAGTATAATGTGTCTGAGTGGGGTATTCATGCTTAACTGCAGCATATTATCTCAGTGAGCTAGCACTATAAAACCAGCTTAAGTCTGGGCTAGTACAGAGCGAAATATTCTTAAGCACTATGTTAAGCCCCATTTCACCTCACTTCAAAGAATGATATGGATGTTTAAAGTTTTGTACACATTAAATTCCTTAGTCCTATGTGTATTTGAATCATTCTGTGCATTAAACATGATTGTACCATGTGTGTACATTCAATTTAGATATTGCACAGGTTATCAAGAGAATATTTATCACTAACTTGAATAAAATATATTATCACAACATAATTTGTAAAAAGCAAATTAAACAACATGATTTTAAAGTGAACCTATCAGGTACCATTAACTTTCTTTAACTGGACTTCAAATCCAATGAAGTTTAACCTGCTGTGATTTGAAGTCAGTATGTCACGGTATTTCACCGTGTGTTACCTATTCAGTGATTCGGAAAATTGAAACTGTTAAATGAGTATTGAAAGCGTTATTACATCAACAGGACAATGGTATTGCTATTTGTTTATCCTCTATTCAATTGAACTGCTTCTATGAATATTATAAGAAATGTGATTTCTTTTCAGATCTAAAACCAAGTGTGTTATAGATCATGGGTCCCAAGAGAGAAGCACCAGCTGATGATGTGAGTAGAAATGTTGTTTTTTCTGTGAGTGAGTTGGGTTCAGTGCTGCTCAGCAATGATACAACATGTCTGTGTGTAGTGAACAGGTACGAGTTGTTTAAAGGCACTATTTCACACCACACTACTCTAAAATAAAATTTCTCTCAATAATATTATCAGCCATCAGGGAATCAGGGAAGTTACCATATAATTTATTTATTTCTCTCTCTCTCTCTATCTCTCTCCCCAATTACATTATTTAGATTACAATATTAAATTGAAAAATTTGAATGAATTCATGCAATGTTACATTAAATCGACTCTCGCTCCCTCAATCGGCCGAACATTATTTTAATCCAATTCCATAGAGTTATGATCCTTGGAACGCTCTTTACAAATATCCTCTTACTCAGTGAATTGTGCAAAGAACTCAGTGCAAGACAAAATGACGCTTATGTCCGGCGTAAAAACATAAGTGCAACTTGTGACTGAAACCAGTTTGGCAAACACAGACAACACTGTGTGCAACACTAGAGAGTAATTGTTTACATTCCATATACGGCAAGTGTTCTCAGTTTGGAAGCTGTTCACCTCGAAGTTTCAATTATCGATTTCAGGCAAGTCGTAAGGGATGATAAGTCCTTTATTGCATAAATAGGAAGTTAAAGTGAGTTCATATGCCCCCAATATATATAATATAAAAATATTATCAGAAATGTGTGAAATTGTGTCTTGACACACAAAGACAGATCAATTGTTATAGTCGGGGCAAGCCTTGGTAAACCTAATGGAGACGGACTCAGCTAAATGATAAATTACACAGGTCTGCCAGTGTTAATAGTGGTCCACATTATTTTGATACGGCCATCTTATAGCTTGGATACAACTTGTGTGAGACAACAAACTAACAACTTTGGGTCATCTTTTAGCTTGGATACAACTTGTGTGAGACAACAAACTAAAAACTTTGGATTGGTCAATCATAGATTGGTACCCTCCCCTTTACTTCTAACGGCTGCACAAAAAAACATGCCTGCTGAACATGCATCGCACATTGTTCGAAAGATGTATGCTAAATATAGCCTATGTGGTATTTTCCAAAATTGTGGACAGTGACCAAGGCACATCAGAATATGTGGAATTTGAAACAGTTTTGATTCACTATAATGGGTGTACCATCATTGTAACACTCTTCACCATTTTGACCTTATCCTCTTGAAGTCTCCACAAAGTGGGGGTCCTGACCTGTCCTTGTATTTTGGTGTTGATATGAGCGCAAGTTGGGTCTGCCTATTCATATAAATGGTTGAGATGAATAGGTTAACTGAATATCACTTATCAGTCGATTATGGATAAATATTGGAGAAGTAACTTTGGGCAAAAAGGATAAAGAAATATCTGAAAGAAATCAACACATTTCACATGACTTGTGAGCGATGACATATCTAGACTAGGATTAATAAGCAAACACTGTCCTGGGCCCCGTTCCACAAACAATGGTAGCGCTAAGATGATCGGTACTCCTATACTTTGACATGGACTTACAACTGTCGTCACTTTGAGGAATGGGGCCCTGAACATAATTTAGCAGCCGATAAATAAACACCTATCCTTGTGTATTGTCTGTGTAAGTTAAAACTTCATTTCATCACAATAGTGTATGTACGATATTATCGATGACACAATTTTCAGAAACATAATCATATCGAAGATATTTCTTTAGCCTGCCCCTGGCACTAATACCATTCAGTGTCCAACTCTGATGGTGTTCATCACAGTCGCTAAAGATTTTCATGTTTGTCTTCTCAGGGTGCTGGAGACGTAAGTGTCAAGAAAGCAAAGACAGAGGTTTGTTTCCTTGTTACTCTTTTATATGAATAAAACATGATTAACATCTAACTTATTGGCTGATTAGCACATTTGACAAATGTGTACTCACTCAGGGATTTACCTGGAGTGCTGTATTTGAGGGTCCCTGGGGCTCCCACTCGTAATTTTCAGGGGGTACTGGACTACAAAATGGGGGTCCCAGACACTTGAATATTATTATTATTATTGTTATTGTATTGTGTATCATGATCATCACATTGTTACAGTAATTAAATTTCAAATAATACATTAACCCAGCTAGTACCAAACTCAGTTATAACTTATTGTTACTTGATTGGAATTTTTACAAAAAGTATTTGGATTTTTTCTGCATCCCTGTGGATGCGCTAATAAATTTTGTTGCGTCCATTGTCAATTTTTATGAGTATAGGACGCAGGAATTCGCATCCTGTAATCACAGCTCACTGACTGACTGAGGTATGTCTTTTAGCCCTGACTGGATCTGTTAAACTTTGGCTCTCAGTACAGAATTGTGGCCATTAGTTCAGACAGGATCTGCTAAATGTTGAATCACTGTACAGAGTTGAAAGCTTGGTCCTGACAGGATCTGGTAAACGTTGACTCACTGTACAGAGTTATGTGACTTAGTCCTGATCGGATCTGTTGAATTTCAATTATTTGTTTAAAAACAACAACATACAATTGATGGATGCCTGAATATTGAGTAAATTAATTTTGCATTACTCTGCACTTATCAATAGGGCTGTGATGATATATCGTAGTATCGATAATTGTTGTACTTTATCTGACGATAAACATATCAATTTGATTTTATTTTATCGTGACCTTAAATTCGTTAACTTTCACAAGCAATTGATGGTTATGTCAAAATTTACATTGTTACTTGCTATAAAAATATAGTATTTTAAAGAAAATCACTAAAGATAGCATTTTGTGATATGCAACGTATCGTTCCAAGATATCATGATACGTATCATGAAATTTCTGTATCGTCACACCTCTAGTTAACAATATTTTCAGCTAAATCAGATGCTGAATATGGAGTGTATATGAAGCTTGGCCACTAGGGCTGTGTATTGCCCAAAATATCGTATTGCGATATATTGCAATACACTCTTCTGTATTACGATACGTATTGCGATATATTGTGAAAGAACAGTTATTGAGATCTGTCCACTTGGTAATATTCTTTACCTTCAAAATGAATCTTAGTATATGTGAGTAACCATTGTGCATTGTATAGCTTCTTTCAAAGTGAAAAACGGAAAATCCAGAACATTCTTCTGTTTATATTTTTATTTTAAAACAGCAGGGATCGACACTCACTAAAAAAATTAACTGGCCCCCCGGGCTAGTGGATTTTGTATGTCACTAGTTTTTTCCCCAAATTACTAACCCTACGCTTTACTATAAAAAACCTTTCAACAAGTCTTTCTTTTAATTGTAACGGCTGTCCAAAGGAAAGTTAACGTAGATAAATGTATGATTTCTCATTTCATATATATGACAAATTCAACTGAAACTAGCTTACACCATGTCCTCCATCGACCCACCCATACTATTTATATACTTTAACTTCTTTAAACAGCAAAGGATGTTGAATTTCAAATAATTTAAAGAGTTAAAGAATTTACTGGACACATCTGTATTACTCAAGAAAAATTTAACTGAAGTCACAATCATGTGACATGATCTTGAAGTGCACATTCTAATCAAAACGATGATTAATGCACCTTTGTCTTTGAATAAAAGTATTATTAACATTACCTATTTCATGAATGACGTTTGGTACACATTCACATAAAGAGATGATTTAACAAATCAGGTAATGTACACTTTATCAGGTAATGTACACTTTCTTTAGACTGAATAGAATAATGAAAAAAAAAATGAAACATGAGAAACATGACCTTATAAGAAGATAGAAGCCTATGTTTATCAAGAAAAATATCAGCTCGTGAAACATTATTGCTATGTCATACACCATTTAAGCTATGTTTATTATATTATTCAAATAATTTTCGACTTAGATAAATTTATTTCAAATAGTAATACAAATTTACACACTTAAAATGTCCATATAAACCACGAAGGAGACTTTAACTCCCACTATTTTAATCCATTTGTAAGATGACATAATATCCTCTTACCTATTTCTTCTATTTTTCATTTTTACGTAATTAGAAAATTATTATATAAAGATTAATTAAATGATATGTATGGTCGCCTATTTCCCGATAACCGAGTCTTTTCACCCGGTAACATGACACAACATTGGGAAATGCTTCCGTTTTCAAAGCTCCGTATGAACAACAGTGTCAACACTCTAGAACATTCATTTGATGGCCGCTATTCTTCCAAAGCTCTAATCATCAATAATATCACAGTAACCTTGCCAGGAGTATTTTCGCAGTGGTAAGAAGCAATTTTATTGGATAAAGATTGGTTTCTAATGACGCTTTTTCGCCACAGTCTGCTATAAGGTTCGTGATTGGTAAAAATCATGCTCGTAAGCGAATCATATTACAGCAATGGATACCGTCCGCATAAACGAAAACTTTTAGACAAAAGTTTTGGGTACAATAATGCTATTCTGAAGGTGTTAAGCATCATGTCGTCATATATACGTAAATTATGGAACTTATTGGACGTATCGTGAAATTTCTGTATTGTCACACCTCTAAGTATCAATATTTTCAGCTAAGTCAGATGCTGAATATGGTGTGTGTGTATATGAAGCTTGGCCACATATTCTCATTGAGTTCACATGTGATTTCCTTCCCCAGAGTGGAGAGGCTGTAAAATCGAAGAAAGGCAGAGGCAAACCTCGTGTTCAAGAGGAAACCAAGAAAGCGGTAAAATAACTGTTTCGATGAAGAGTTGAAGTTGGTAGAGGAGGGGAAGACATTCTCAGTTGTCCTCTTTGCTGCAAGGTCACTTTTTCTGTGTCATATTGAACCGTGAAGATCCGGGGTAGAATAGGTCTTCATCAACCCATGCTTGCCACAAAAGGCGACTATGCTTGTAAGAAGCACTAACGGGATCGAGTGTTCAGGCTCGCTGACTTGGTTGACACATGACACATGTCATCGGTTCCCAATTGCAAAGATCGATGCTCATGCTGTTGATCACTGGATTGTCTGGTCCAGACTCAATTATTTACAGACCGCTGCCATTTAGCTGGAATATTGCTGAGTGCGGCGAAAACTAAACTCACTCACTCACTCTTTGTCATATCATTTTTCATACTGGCAGAAAATGTACCAGGTCACAGCAAAATTAGGTTTTAATTCTGTAAAATCTGAAATGGTCATCAGCATGTTTTAGCTCGAAAACATTCGAGAGTGATCAGGCAGGTTAAAGTATACAGCCAACGGAGCAATACAGGTTTTGGAGTAATATATTTAATCCATGACACTTAATCTTCAGTGTGCCTGAATACTGTGTGCACAGACATGTGAATATATCATTACATTGTGTATTGAATTTTTATACAAGTGAGTCAGTGAGTGAGTTTAGTTTTACGCCGCTTTTAGCCATATAGCAATATCAAGGCGGGGGAAATGGGCTTCACACATTGTACCCATGAGGGGTATCAAACCCAGGTCTTTGGTGTGACAAGCGAACGCTTTAACCACTAGCCCAAGCCACCACGCCATATTGATACAAAATGATCCATGTTAGTTTAAGCTTTGTATACAAAGAGAGTGCCAAAGAGAATGTTACTTGGTGTGAAAATGCTCGATTCTGTTTGTGTGAGGAAGTCTTTAAATTATTCTTTGATTAAGTGTCAAATTGACCCAAGTTTAACACAAATTTTGTTTTCACAGGCGCCTGTAGACACAGATGTCAAGAAATCCAAGACAGAGGTGCGTTACCATGGTTACATTTATCAGTTTTGGTCCATCATCCACTAGTTCCTCCAGTAGCATTGACTATTAAAGCACTTGTTTAACTATATATACTACCCATCAAAAGTGTAAATATAGCCACTTACTTCAGTCAACTGTTCTAAACTAGATTTTGCAAAATATTCCATACTGTCTAAAGGTACTGTTTACACATGAACTGATGTATTGTAAAACAAATTCGTAACCTTGAAAAGATTATTGTCATGATTTCAATAAATGATGAAAATCAGTGAATATTTGTGAATTCTTAATGAAACTTTACACCAAAATGCATCTGTTCACATGTACGATATTTCACATGCTTTTAAGCAGTTTGATGCATGATCCTCGTGCAATTCATCTGCATAAGGTTTGCAGTTGGTTCCCCCAAGTTAGTGGAGAAATTCATCTTCGATGTAACCATACGTATTTACATAACATATAGTGATTGCTTTAAGTGAGCCTAAACTTTTGATGGGTAGTATAATTTATAAATTTTATGTGATAACTGTGATGGCATACTCTACATCATGTACATGACCCAGCCTAAAAAAGGTCAGGTGTCAATAAGTTATCTTGAAAATGGCCAACCCATCATAATAATTGGCTTATTAGACTCTAAGTAAGGAATTTGTGTGAGAGAGCAGACATTTCTTCTGTCACTGCATTGAAACACACGTCATCGAAAGCACAACATATTCCTTTCTTGGAAACCAGATATGTCATCTGAACCGATTTATCTTTTTACGTGATACCCAAAGATAATATTTTTCCATTGATTTTGTGGAGTGAGTGAGTTTAGTTTAACACCACTTTTAGCAATATTCCTTCAATATCACTTTGGGGGACACTAGAAATGGGCTTCACACATTGTATCCATGTGGGGATTCGAACCCAGGTATTCAGTGTGACAAGCGGACGCTTTACCCACCAGGCTACTCCACCGTTTCTCTTATTTTGTGGAAATGAAAAATAGGACTTTATTCTAGTGATTGGCTTCACAACTAATTTCTCATGTTAGAACATCGGCAAAGGTAGTGGTCACAGTAGTCACCTAGGTGCTGTAAATGTTTGTTCTGAGCTGCAATACCTAAACCAATAATCATGGTTCTGACAAACATTCAAGACGTTCTTGTTGTCTTTCACAGGCGGCTGGAGACACAGATGTGAAGAAAGCCAAAGAGGTACGTTACCATGGTTAATATCTATAAAGAATGTCATTATGAGCAGCTTTTGGCATTGCCCTGATTCGCCCTGATGCCTTGTCAGCGGCGTACCCATTCTCAGGGGTTTCTCTACCCGTGAAGGTCCGGGTTAGAATATTGATCTTCAGTAACCCATGCTTGTCGTAAGAGGCGACTAACGGGATCGGGTGGTCTGACTTGGTTGACACATGTCATCGGTTCCCAATTGCGCAGATCGATGCTCATGCTGCTGATCACTGGATTGTCTGGTCTGGAATATTGCTGAGTGTGGCGTAAAACTAAACTCACTCACTCACTCAGTGGTTTCTCCGAAATGGTACACATCTAAGAAAGGCATCACTTCTGGCTTTCGTCCTATCTCACGTTGACAATGGCAAATACCATTTAAAGTGCTGTTTAAACCGAACTCGTTTTGAAAAGACTCAATCAATAATGATTAAAACTGTTCCCAGAGAAGTGTCCATTAAACAGACAACATTGTTTGGGATGTGCTGTTATGAGATGTTAAAACTAGTGTCCGCACCATCTTTACATCCTTGTTTCAACGAGCCCTGGCACAATGTGTTTGTTTTACAGACTAAAGAACCAGTAAAGAGAGGCCGAGGCCGACCTCGTATCCCTGATGAATTTAAGAAAACGGTAGGTGTCAATACAGCCACGACACCCACACAAGTCACAGGTGTCAACTCCCATTGTCAATACTTTTGCTGAGACATACACTTATTATTCCCCTGGCATGTAGTGGTGGGGGATATAGTCAGTGCCTTGTCTGTCTGTATGTACGTGCATCCGTCCGTAATCATCTTGTTTCCGGAGCATAACTAAAAAAACATTCAATATTTTTCAACAAAACTTGGTACAAATATCCAACAGAACCTGAAGTGGTGCCTTTTGCTATTGGCAGAGTTTTGGCATTTTTAATTTTCTCGGTTTCCATGGAAACAATTGGACTTCAAGTTAAAAATTCAAGTTGGACTTGAAGTAACTGTCAGATGATTTGGTGATTACCCGACGCTGACATGCACCAATTACTTTATGTTTGGTGATTACCTGACATACACTAGTTACCTTATGTTTGGTGATTACTCGAGGATGACATGCACTAATCACCATATGCTTTGCGAGGGGTATTAAAATGGACTCCGTCCGTGCGTGCGCGCATGCGTGTGTGCGTCTGGCACATCTTTTCCGGAGCATAACTCTAAAACCGTTCAATGTTTCTTCACAAAACTTGGCACATAGATAGATCTGGTGGTGAACTGGTGCCTTTTGGTATTTTTGGATTTCTGAATAAAATATTTTTTGCGTTTCCATGGCAACAAGTTTGACTTAGACTGATATTGGTGGTAGTACTCTTTTCCGGAGCAGAACTCTAAAACCGTGCAATGTTTCTTCACCAAACTTGGCACATAGATAGATCTGGTGGTGAACTGGTGCCTTTTGGTAGTATTTTTTTTCGAATTCTGAATAAACAATTTTTGGCGTTTCAATGGCAACAAGTTTGACTAAAACTGATATTGGTGGTTGTGCTGTTTTCCAGAAAGAACTCTAAAACCGTTCAATATTTCTTCACCAAACTTAGCACATACATAGATCTGGTGGTGTACTGGTGCCGTTTGGTAGTTTGGGATTTCTGAATAAAATATTTTTTGCGTTTTCATGACAACAAGTTTGACTTAGACTGAAATTGGTGATAGTGCTCTTTTCTGGAGCAGAACTTTAAAAACCTTTCAGTACTCCTTTCCACTTTTCTATATACATACCTAAATATTTGACATAATCATAAGTCGTAGACATAATCATGAAGAGTATTTTGCCATTGAGGGGGATATTGATGACTTTGTCTTCTTGTTTATGTGGTTTTGATGTGGTTAACAGGGTCAGGTGGTCAGACTCTGGTGGCTGGAAAATTGCTGAGTGCTGAGTGAGGCAAACCTTTGGTGATTATCTGAGGCTTACCTCGTTTTACCTGACGTTTGGTATAGATGCTTATACCGTTTCCAAGCATGAGGTGGTGAATGAGTACAGCAGGATATATATAGGGTATATGAGGGCTAACAAAGACAATGGATGATAAAAACAAGATGATTAACAATGAACACAAGCATAAACATACATAATAAGCCAAATAACAACATGATGAATAGGATAGCAGTGGGAGCGGGGAACTGCTGATTAGGCAAGGGGATTAGTTAGAGAAGCCAGAGAGGGGTGGAGGGATTGGATTGGGTTAATTAGTTTTGGATTAGGTGGTGGTAGGCTGATGGGATGAAATAGCCCTGGTCCCTTTTAAGTTGTTTAAGCACTATACCGAAATGTCGCAATTGTACAATAAAGAAGTTGATCATCCATAAACACTTGTCTTTCCTAAAACAAACACATAAGGGCCAATCACTGGATTGTCTGGCCCGGTTTTGATTATTTACTGACAACTGTCATACAGCTGAAAGCTTTGAGTGCTAACTAACAAACTAACTTCAGGCTGACATACAGTAATCAACCACAGTCAATTTGGTTTCCCTTGTTGCAGGTGAAAAAGGTACCAACCGGAAAGCCGAGGGGTCGTCCACGAAAATATAAATCTACGGTACGTGATTAACCAGCATTTGGGGTCAAGGTGCATGCTGGGTATAAATATGGGAAGAAGTCTGTGGGGATACATATGTGTTGTATATTTTGGCAAGTGTGGCACAGAAAATCTCCTGGAATGCAAGATGATACCATAGGAACCATGGTAATGGTAAAATGATTGTACAGCTGTTACCTGTTGGAGTAGTGTGCAGTTGCCTGATGATGATGATGATGATGATGATGATGATGATGATGATATGAATCATTCTGATTTGAGTTGGGGTCAATGGGGTCGATGTTCCAATCGGGATTGCTTGGTCCAGCCTGCTTGGGACGGTGGGATAACATAGTGGTTAAAGTGTTCGCTCGTCACACCGAAGACCCAGGTTCGAATCCCCACATGGGTACAATGTGTGAAGCCCATTTCTGGTGTCCCCTGCCGTGATATTGCTGGATTATTGCTAAAAGCGGTGTGCAAAACTCACTCACTCACTCTGAATTGAGTGACATGGGCTTGAACTCACAGTGTCAGGGTTTATGACGTAGTAGTGGAATGGAAAAGAAACCTTGACATGTATTCTCTTGCAGGTGGTTCTATGAGAATATAAGTTGATTTGTTGAAGTTCTTTTTTCAGAATAATGAAGTGAAGAGAAATGGAAGTTCAACAGGAAGAGGTCGAGGTCGACCAAAGAAAGTAGGTGCATTACTTTGTCTATGATGTTTAAACTAGTACACACATATTTTATAAGTGTTAACAGACACAGGTTTCCCAAGTCAGCCAGCTATCCCCCGACATGTCAAGTGGTAATGTCAGCTTGGTTTGTTTCAGGTCGCTGTTGAGTCTCAATCTGAGGATGATGAAGAAGAAGATGATTTTGTAGTTGAGGAAGAGAACTCGGCAGGAGAGGAAGAAGCAAGTGAGGTCAAACCTGTAAAGAGCTCCCCCAAAAAGGTGTGTCATATAGGCTACATTGGTTGTTACCTTGCCCTTTGAAACTGGACTGTGAGTAAGTTTAGTTTTAGTGTTTAGTTTTACGCCACTTATATCAATATTCCAGCAATAATACGACAGGGGACACCAGAAATTGTTCTCACACAGTGCACCCATATGGGCAATCAAACCTGGGATTTGGGGCGTGATGAGCGAAAGCTCTAAACACATGGCTACCCCACGGCCCCTCTCATAGTGGTGTAGTGATACGGCGATACAGTGTTGTATACTGGTATTATCATACAATTAATCATTCTTGTCCCTGTGTCATGATACATACAATACATTACATTAAAAGATTATTATAGTGAAACATGTAAATTAACCAAACCTTATTTGTATTTACCTGCAGCAAGTAGCATAGCCTTCACAGTTCCCCCCAGGCTATATATTTCTGCCTGTATATGTCATATGATATATATTTAGTACGCTGTATTGTTACACTTATATAGGGGCAGTGTGGTAGCCTAGTGGTTTAAGGCGTTCGCTTGTAACACTGAAGACCCGGGTTCGAATCCCCACAAGGGTACAATGTGTGAAGCCAATTTCTGGTGTCCCCTGCCATGATGTTGCCGGAATATTGCTAAAAGCGGCATAAAACCAAACTCAGTCAGTCAGTCAGGCGATTCCCCATGAGTACAATATGTGAAGCCCATTTCTGGTGTCCCCCGCCGTGATATTTGCTGAATATTGCTAAAAGCGGCATAAAACTAAACTCACTCACTATCTCACTATCTATCTCTCTCACTCACTCACTCACTCACTCACTCACTCACTCACTCACTCACTCACTCACTCACTCACTCACTCACTCACTCACTCACTCACTCACTCACTCACTCCTCACCTCACTCACTCACTCACTCACTCACTCACTCACTGTTACACTTATACGAGTGGTGACTATTGAAGGGGGAAACAACTATTGCGATAGCAATAGTCTATTGCGACCAACTATTGCAATACTATTGCAATATTTTTTTCTTTCCTTGTATTGTCTCATTTGAAGTCATTTCCCAAATGAATGGATAGCTTATATGAAATATAAACAAGTTGAAATAGTTTCAACCCCTTGTAATAACTAATAAGAAACTTGAAAGCCAGATCGAGTAAACAGTTAAAACATAAACTCAATGAAGCTGCAAGTCTTCACCAAATCTTCCTGTATTTTGCGCTGCACATTTATCAACAGAAACCGGTTACTAAACTATCAATAGTCACACATACCATCAATGCATCGATAGTTTTTCGTTTCTACCATCAATTAGTTGCTTTCGGAGACTCTGAGGTTCGTGTGTCAACCGTCTGATCAACTACCATCGGATGAGTGGGTTTTTTTAAGTGCGCAGGGTTGTATACTGAACACTAGGGGTTGTGACAACACTGAAAGAGCCTGCAAGTATTGTCAGCTCCAAGGTTTTTACACCCAGTCACAAGTGGAGATCGATCCAGGCACCTTCGCTTAGTACCCTCCAGCCTATATATTCCTGCCTGTATATGTCCTATCATATAATTTCAGTCGACTGTATTGTTACACCTATACTCCCTCAGAAGAAATTGGTTTGTTAACACTGGACAAATGTTTTCTTCCATGCCAAATTTGATTCCTGATTCTTTTTCAGAATAATGCAGTGAAGAAAAATGCGACGCCAACAGGAAAGGGTCGAGGTCGACCAAAGAAGGTACATTACTTGATGTTTTGCAGCAGTTTCTTTGTTGACTTTTAAGCTAATCCACTCGTATGTTAAATACGAGGAGTCCCAAACCAGGGCTAGCAATATGAGAAATCCAAAGTTTCGAAAGTGTGTGGCCATTTATTCCATGTTTGTATGTTGTTATAGGTAAATGTGGCATAATGAATCATTTGTACAGTTTAGTTATTGTTGGCACACCTGTACTTTGCAGGCCCCTGTTGCACCTGAACCTAAGGAAGAGGACGAAAAGGACATTGAAACCATTGAAGAGAACTCTGCAGGAGGGGAGGAAGCCAGTGAAGAGGTCAAACCGGTGAAGAGCTCCCCCAAGGTGTGTAGAGTATGCTTCACTGGGTTACTCATGGAACCTTCTTCCTCTGGGGAGTCTGGGTAAAGCTGTCCCTAGCATCCGATGCTTGTCCTCCAAGGCAGTCTCATCAGGGCTGGGTCTCACAAAGCCATCATAGTGCTACAACTGTCATAAGCCTATAATCAATTTGGGGATTTACGTTCGAGCTTCGATCACTATGTGGAACATGATCCAGGGCCTTGTCTCATTGGTGGGTGGTGGCTAGCCTAGTGGTTAAACTAAACGCGTTCACTCGTCACGCCAAAGACCTGGGTTAGATACCCCATATGGGTACAATGTGTGAAACCCATTTCTGGTGTCCCCCCGCTGTGATATTGCTGGAATATTATTGCTAAAAGCGGCGTAAAACCATACTCACTCATTCCAACCAAGATAGGCTGCGCTTGTGCTACACAAGCCCAGAACCAGGCTGGTTGTTCATGTGTACAACAGCATACATCACAGGTCAAAGTGACCCAGGTCACCTTGACCTACTGATCATGTGTACAGACTCCACATCACATTTCCTCTTTGTACAAAGATGCAACATATACACACAATCAAGTTACTGTAATCAACATATTTACTGCCGTGGGAGCAAATTTTATAACTTCCTTTCTTTTTTTAAATCATTAAGCTACGGCATGGCAAAAGCAATGTCATCTCTCAAGATAGGCTGTGCTTTCGCTACACAAGCCCAGAACCAGGCTGGTTGTTCATGTATACAACAGCATACATCACCTTGCAGCAGCTTGAAGTTACACTGTAAAACAAATATCACAGTATCTGGGCTTGTCAACTTTATACAGAGGCCCTACTCTTAATTTCTACCAATTGCATTAATTGACATTCCGCTTTCTCTTCTGAATATTGCTAAAAGAGTCATAAAACTAAACTCACTCACTCACTCCCTCCAAGCAATGCTAGTGCTATGACAGTTGTAAGCCTATATTAAAGTATGGGAGCTAAGTATCTTAGAGCTATGATTACTTTGTGGAACTGTGCCCATTGCTTGATTGCACAAACATATTGTAGTGCTACGACTGCCGTACATCAATGCTGGGGTATAGAAGGTGGCCACAGAAGATATACAAATATCTGCAGAGTATCTTTATTTACTGTGGTAGTACACAGTACAGGTCTAACCCCCTAAACCCCATCACCATATTTTATTTCATGCAGAAGAGAGGTTGACCTTAGTGTTAACAGCCTGAAAAGTTAGGCCTTCTCATCCCCTCTGTTTCCTTGAAACAGAATAGAGGTCTTCTGATCAGGTGTAAAGTTAGAACCCTACACAGCATCTTTCCTTATTTTCAACAGAAGAGAGGTCGACCTAAGAAGAGGGTTTCAGCCAAGAAGCAGGCAGCAGGCAAGAAGCAGGCAGTAGCTGAGTCATCAGAGGAAGGTGAGTAGTCAGACGGTGCTCGTCGGGGTCGTCAGAGGAAGGTGAGTAGTCAGCAGGTGCTTGTCAGGGTCATCAGAGGAAGGTGAGTAGTCAGCAGGTGCTTGTCGGGGTCATCAGAGGAAGGTGAGTAGTCAGCAGGTGCTTGTCAGGGTCATCAGAGGAAGGTGAGTAGTCAGCAGGTGCTTGTCAGGGTCGTCAGAGGAAGATGAGTAGTCAGCAGGTGCTTGTCGGGGTCGTCAGAGGAAGGTGAGTAGTCAGCAGGTGCTTGTCAGGGTCATCAGAGAAAGGTGAGTAGTAAGCAGGTGCTTGTCGGGGTCATGTGAGGAAGGGGAGTAGTCAGCAGGTGCCTGTCGGGATACGCTGGAGATATGTGTTCCCAGCATCCGATGCTTGTTGTGAGAGGAGACTTATTGGGTCAGTGAGTGGTGTTGTGGACCTGGTGGTTGTTTGACGTCATACCTCAATGATGGGATTTCAATCACCGAGTTGTCTGGGACCCGTGAAGATCCGGGTTAGAATAGGTCTTCAGCAACCCATGCTTGTCATGACAGGCAGCTAACAGAATTGATTGGTCAGGCCAGCTGACTTGACACATGTCATTGTAACCCAATTGCGTAGGTCGATGCTCATGATGTTGGTCACTGGATTGTCTGGTACAGACTTGATTTTTTACAACCGCCATATAGCTGGAATATTGCTGAGTGCGGCGTAAAACTAAACTCACTCACTCACTGTACAACTGGCCCATCTGTTGGAGGTGCCACAAATAATCCCAACTCACTGACATCACTGTTTTTGTTTCAGCTGACTCGTGACCTAACACCAATCATCATCTCTCGGATCATCACTGGACTCCCCCTACCATTCACTGCCACAGGTCAAAGTGACACAGGTCACCTTGACCTACTGATCATGTGTACAGACTCCACATCACATTTCCTCTTTGTACAAAGATGCAACATATACACACAATCAAGTTACTGTAATCAACATATTTACTGCCGTGGGAGAAAATTTTATAACTTCCTTTCTTTTTTTAAATCATTAAACTACGGCATGGCAAAAGCAGTGTCGTCTCTCACCACTTGATCTTTTATTAATTTGTTCTGATGTCTTATTCTTTAGCTTTGCTGATTTTGTGGGAAAAAAAAGAAGTCAAGTGTTTGAAGTTTTAACACCACTTTTTACTTCAATCTAAATATGTCGATTATGGTACAATAATACATAGGGCATTGATATATTTTTAAATTTTTAAATAGTATCAGAAGCATTGTGTCCAATGCCACAGCAAATTTGTAGTTCTTTTTGTGATGGAAAGATGAAACCATTACTCATTTTAGACAGAATTAGATTTCCTTTCTGGAATATAGACCAAGAGTTCTGTCTAACCTTACCTGCTTAAAAACATTGCATTTATTCCGAAATGCTCATTTTGTTTTGCCCGAATGGTATTTTGCATTGCACGGAACTTAAATGTCAGTGTATTTCTCATGAAATTCAGTGTTGAAATAATTATGATGGCATATATCACCTGATATATGACTGACATGGAAAGTGTTCTGCAGTAAGTGTAGAAGCTTACTAAACCTAAATATACACCGGGAAAATAATTAAGCACCACTAACTATATTTCCATAAAAAATGACATTGTTACTGTTTCATGGCAGTATTTTTTCACTACACTTTCGGTGTGTTCAGCTTCTTTGCATCGGCCCATTTCTGGTGTCCCCTGCCGTGATATTGCTGGAATATAGCTAAATGCGGCATAAAACCATACTCACTCACTCTCTGCATCAGACTTGACCTTGACCTTGCATTCATCTGGAGTAACTTATGTTACCTTCTTTCCATCAGTGATAGGTTTTCTCCGACATTCGTCAAAAGTAGGCCTATGGCAGATGTAGGTATTTCCAGAAATAGGATATAGATGATATAGGAAAATAGACAAGTGGTGCTTAACTTTCTTCCAACTGTACACATTGTGTTTGTGTTGCATCTTTTATATGCTTAATGCTAGGGCTGGCTAAAAAGATTGATAATTGGAAATGTCAATAATGGGAAAAATTATTAATGATTATCATTTTGATTTTTTTTTCAGTAATATCATACATACAGTATGATAGTGAAATAGAGTTTCAATTTATCCAGACAGTGCACAAAGTCTGTTCATTGGCCGCTTCAAGACAAGGTGTTGTTAGCAATCCAAGTCTAAATATGTTACCACTCAGTAGTGATGTGAAATATGTTGATTTCTTTCAGATTTTGGGGGCAGTTTTGCTCAAAGGTATTTCTCCGATATGTATTGATAATGGATCGATATTCAGTTAACGATCAATAGCCAGCCCTACTTAATGCTGTCCAAACTGTTTTTAGTCACGAACATTTTGTGTGTTGTCATTTATATGTTAAGGAGATCTTAATTGTGCACCTATGTTAATGTAACGTCTCTTCACGGTGTCATGTTTGTCTTTTTCTGCCAGTGTAAGACTTGTGAAGGTCTGTTTAGAACACAATTGGTGCATCGTTCATTGAGCTATTTTGATGTAAACCTTGGTGACAGAAATACTGCTCTTTTGGCAGCTGATTAACATACAAGAAATAACAAAGATATTTATGAAATAATTCAACTTTGACACATTTTTGATACAAAAGTCTGGGATGCATGTTCACCTCGCTTTACTGGTGCAAGTTCAGTTGATTTGGAATGTAAATTACAAGATAGTTTACTTGAAATGTTTCTTCCGAATTCTGAAGTAGAATTTTGTTGGAGACAGAAGGAATAAGCACTAATAGAATATCCCAACCAGAGTCCCGATCCACAAACCGTTCGTAGCACTACGATATTAATACCTATGAGTAGCTATAGAGTTAAACATTTCGTAAAGTTACGATCGCTATGTGGATCAGGACCATGCGTGTTACTGTGTGAAGTATAGAGTCAGTGTGTCATAGTAAACATGGCTATGTTTGTGTGAGGCTTGCGTTGTATAATCAGCTTCTAGACCCATTATTCATGTTATTAACTCCCACATGTCACATGTAGAAAAAAACATAGAGTTTGTTTGGGTTTTTTTTCAGAAAAAGATGTTTGATTATAAGTTTTGGTTTTTCATAGCTGACTAATCAAAATGTCACAGATATCTGTATGCACATGATGCATTTGTCTGCTTTAACCAAAGAACAGCCAAAGTTGTGTCCTCGGTGACCGATTTATCAGTATTTTTCAATGTATCAGCTCCACCATGGCAAGCCAACCATGTAAAATAAACTGAGGCAATTTTAGTAGTTTCTTAACTTTTATTATTATGTGGCAGTCTAAACTAATAATTATTTTCACAAAAAGTATTTACAAGTGTTTTTATACTGAACATTAAAAGTTAGGCATGTTTTTTGTAGTGAAGACTGCGCACACAGTTTCATAAAGATATTCCCCCTAAATATTGACACCTAACTTTTTATGTTCAGTATATGATATGGTGATAAAGGTAGCCATCAAGCGTTCAATCCAAGTGCTGCTTTTCCAGTTTGAGGAAGGAGGGCAGTGGGGTAGCCTAGTGGTTAAAATGTTCACTTGTCACACTGAAGGCCTGGGTTTGATTCCACACATGGGTACAATGTGTGAAGCCCATTTCTGGTGTTCCCCGCTGTGATATTGCTGAAATATTGCTAAAAGCAACGTTAAACCATACTCACTCACTCTTGCCAGATACATTCAATCAAGATGGTGTAGTTATCAATGATGCCTGTGTTGTTTTGAAAGGGGGAATTCTGTTATAATGTATTTTGATTACATGTTATGTTATACCTTCCAGTCTTTGGGAACTGCTTGATAGCTTCCTTTTATGACCATTTCCATGATGTAGCTTAAACAGTGATTATAACAAGAGAGTGTTGTACATATCCACTGCCTTCGTTCGTCATCGACTGTATGAAAATATTCAAGTGATGACCGTAACATACCCAAGTTGTTTTTTCAACATTCATGTTTGTAACTGAAAACCAGCCAGCTCATTTCTGAAGACTAGTCACACTCAAAATATGTTTGTTTTTAACACTTTACTACATTTATAGAGAGTCAGAATCTCAATCCAGCACAGGTTATGTCTCAGATCTAACTGCTTGTCTGCTAAACTTTACCTGGTACTCTTATCAAGTTTGCTTGCCATTGAATATTAATATGTATCTGATCTTTGAAGAGGATGTTGTAAGAAGCAAGTAACAGAGACCATGCCACATCAGTAACAACTAGACCAGCCTCTGTCTGATTATGACAGCCTCTGTTTGAGTATGACAGCCTCTGTCTGATTATGACAGCCTCTGTCTGATTATGTCTGATTATGACAGCCTCGGTCTGATTATGACAGCCTCTGTCTGAGTATGACAACCTGTTTGACATATATCAATCAACATTTGATAAGAAAAGTGTTATGATGTTGGACTACCTAAAACAATTAAAATCACTGTTCTAAACAAAATGTAATTTTGGTATATTAATTGAAGACTAGAACTAAAATTTATTTTGATTTTAAAATTATGCTGATTTCAATATATGGGGTCTGCAGGTACCAATCTTTGGCATGGGAAAACATTTTGTTGTGTTCAGTCTTTGTTCAAATGAATCATGTCATGTACAATCAGAGGAAGAATAATGCCAGAAGATCTGAAGGAGATCTTAGCTTTCAGCATGCGAACCTTCACTAAACCTGCTTTTTTATGCAAATTAGAATTTGCTCTTGCTTGTTGTTGGTTTAGAGTACGGTGATTGAAGGTGTTTTGTTTCTTGAATTGCTGGAGGTTTAGATTGCTTGATTGTGGGTTGTCTTGTGTTTTAGCTTATGTTTGGAGCTGTGTACTGTAATCCATACTGTCATTATTTCAGTCAGTAATAAATTTTTAATACAAAAGTAGCCCATTTTGTTTCACTTTCTTTTGAGTTGATATTTGAGATTGTATTACTTGGATATAAAAATTCAGTGTGTTCGTTGAATACCTCCATGGTCTACTGGATATGATGGGTTGGTTGGTTGGTTGGTTGTTGTTTAACGCCTCACTCAGCAATGTTCCAGCTATATGGCGGCGGTCTGTAAATAATCGAGTCATGACCAGACAATCCAGTGATCAACAGCATGAGCATCGATCTACACAATTGGAACCGATGACATGTGTCAACCAAGTCAGCGAGCCTGACCACCCCATCCTTTTATTCGCCTCTTACAACAAGCATGGGTTGCTGAAGATCAATTCCAACTCGGATCTTCAGGGGTACTGGACATAGTGTGTTGAAGGTCAGGGCCTAGATTTCAAAGCTCTCTTAGAGCTAAGATAGACGTAAGTTAATGTTAATGTATGGCACTTACGACTATCTTAGCGCTAAGAGAGCTTCGAAAATCTAGGCCCTGGGGTTTGATTACTGGCTAGGAGGCTGAATCCTGTATCTGAGTGGGCTATTTATGTTAAAAATATGGTGTGGTAGGTCTCAGTGTGCTAGCAGTATATAGCCAGCATTAGTCATATATACATCCACACTCTCATATCCCTATATCAGTGCTGTAATCTTGAACTTGATGTCACACCCCATTTCATCACCACATGGTGTTTGCAACTCAGTGAGTGAGTGAGGATGGTTTTACACAGCTTTTAGCAGTATTCCAGCAATATCATGAAGGGGGACACCCGAAATGGGCTTCACACATTATTGCAATGCAGGGAATCAACCTGGGTCTTCACAGTGCCGAGTGGACAAGGATACTATACAACCCCTGCGACTTGGTGGGTTCACATTTCTATTGGTAAAGTGGTTCCTCAGGAACCAAAAGCCAGGACCCACCCATTACAGCTTTGTCAAGCCTACTACAGAATCAAACATCACCCCAACCAAACCTGGGATCCCACCCACTCACTCACCCCTAGTGGTTAAAGTGTTCTCTCATCAGGTAGAAGAAACCGGCTCGATTCCCCACGTGGGTACAATATGTGAAGCCCATTTCTGGTGTCCCTGCCCTTGAAATTGCTGGAATATTGCTAAAAGCCGCGTAAAACCATACTCACAACACTATTGATGAGAAAACGAGCTGATGCCAGCATCAACACCTGGGGGAGTTCGGAGCCATGATACTAGTAATTGGTCAATGCTTCATTCTTATAGACTTGTTGTTTGAAACATGTATTTAATTCTTAAAAAATGTAGATCAAACATAACCTAGCAAAAACAAAATATTTACACAGACACAGATTTTAGGGGACACAGGTGACCATGTTTATGTTTCTAAGTTTGCTGGCACCACGCCCATGCTCGTAGATTCACCGAAGTGGTAAACATGTAAGACTTGCAGCACAAGGCTTTTCTCCCAGATCAAGCTCACATACAGTGAGGGCGGTGGGGTAGCCTAGTGGTTAAAGCGTTCGCTCGTCACCCCGAAGGCCCGGGTTCGATTCCCCACATGGGTACGATGTATGAAGCCCATTTCTTGTGTCCCCCGCCGTGATATTGCTGGAATATTGCTAAAAGCAGCGTAAAACTAAATTCACTCACTCATTCATATAAAGTGATATTACTGGATTACCGTTTAACTCAATTCCTTCACTCGCGGTTATATTCGCAACCAAATGTGTTCATCTCAGTGTTTGAGGGAGACTGCAAGCTGTGACCTCAACATGGTTGTCATGGCCACCAGATACAAGATTATTTTTGTTTTCGTATCTTGTTTAACATTACACTCACCAATATGCCACGTGCTTGCTGACTGTAAATACTCGAGTCTGGATAATGGAGTGATAGATAACGAGTGAAGAGCGCGGCAGTATAGACCTGCCTGCAACGACGTCACCAGGCCTGAACACAAGGTTCAATCTGTACTGCGGCGGCGACGTAGCCTTGTGGTTAATGTAAAGTACTGGTATACGCTTGTCAAGATACAGACCCGGGTTCGATTCCCCACATGGGTACACAGTATGATGCCCATTTCTGATGTCCCCCGTCGTGATATTGCTGGAATATTGCAATAAGCGGTGTAAAACTAAACTCACTCACTCAATTCTGTACATTCTTATGACCAGCGTATGCCGCTTGGAATAATTCTAACCCAGAATCCAACAGTGTTGGTTGCTCAATGGAAGTATGAGGTAATGATTGGCTTCAAACTAATTAATGCAATAATAAAAACAAACAAACGTGTCCCAATAGACATTCCACATATTCAGTACATATGAAATGGCATCTTATATGTCTGAAATAGGTCAAATAAGAATATGTTGCTTTGTCGGTCTTGATATACTTGAATATGAATTTTTTAGCCAGCTAAGGGACCGTTCATAATTTATGGCCGGTGCCTCTGTGTGTGTATGTGTCTGTGTGTGTGTGTGTGTGTGAGATGATTTTTTTATGGAGAAGCATGTACAATGTGAATGCCCCCCCCCCCCTAAAATTTATGTACAAAGTAAGTGACCCCCCTGCATGTCATGTACAAATCAATTAACCCCCACCCCTTCCAATATTTTTTTTAAGCACAATTTTTTGCTGACATCCCCTAGAAACATGTGTACAAAATTGATGACCCCCACCTCCCCAGAACAAAATGGGTGACCCCCTTAAAATCATCATCACCCCCCAGCCATAAATTATGAACGGTCCCTAACCTATCATATTTAGATGTAACATTAAAACATATAGGAGCTATTGAATGACAAAGAGCAACTCAGATTCTATATGATGAGGACAAGCGAGATCCAAGCTGATTGAATCAAGTAGAAACATTCTTTTTAACTGTATTCTTAACATCATATCTGCGTGCAGGTGCTTTACCAGACAACAATCAGACAACTTCAGAAATTAGAGTGACCTCCCCTGAATTACACCTGAGTGACGTCACCAGGTAAATGTCCTATTTTCGAAGGACGGGAGATACAAACAAACTATAACGACAATTTGACATGTAAACATCTCATCTGTGCCACAGTCACCTGTATCATAAGGACACACCACCAACCGATCTGAAGAACAGGTGAGAACCTTTGATGTCGCCGACATCGTTGCCGGTAGAAATATTTGGAAGACAATACACGAATCAAGGTGTGTCGTATGCACAGATGAATGTGTCACTGTCAGTGACAGAGGATATGGAGTATTGAGCGGGTCGGCGTGTCATGTTGTAGGACTGTTTATTCGGATACCCTGTGTAAATATTCATGTTATCTCATGTTAAGTCAGTGCATGCTTCTGTTGTACCACTTACGTCTAACGTAAACACACAGAGATTACACCATAGCAGAAAGCCACAACGCAATACAAATCTACACCCTGGTATGCACCGTCCCACTATCAACGAACAAGGTCAAATCCAGGTTTATGAAAATACCAGGTACACTGTACTTAAATCATAAACTATTATTTGTAATCGATTATATATATTAAGAAAATATATCTATACTACCCATCGAAAGTTTAGACTCACTTAAAGCACTCACTATATGTTATGTATATATATGTGGTTACATCGAAGATGAATTTCTCCACCAACTTGGTGGAGCTATTTGAAAACCTTATGCAGATGAATTGCACAAGGATCATGCATCAAATTGCTGAAAGGCATGTGCAAATGTCATGCATGTGAACAGCTGCGTTTTGGTGTAAAGTTTTGTTAAGAATTCGCCAATTTTCACAGATTTTTATCATTTACTGAACTCATGACAATAATCTTTTCAATGTTACGAACTTGTTTACAATACATCAGTTCATGACTAAACAGTACCTTTAGACAGTATGGAATAGTTTGCAAAACCTAGTTTAGAACAGTTGACTGAAGTAAACTTTGGAGTCTAAACTTTTGATGGGTAGTATATGTAGAGATCGCATGGTAGATTTAATTGTTTCGCCAGAAGACACGTGTAGCCTCAACAGTCTGTATGAGAGGGGCGGTGGGGTAGCCTAGTGGGTAAAGCGTTGGTTCGTCACGCCGAAGACCCGGGTTCGAATCCCCACATGGGTACAATGTGTGAAGCCCATTTCTGGTGTCCCCCGCCGTGATGTTCCTGGAATATTGCTAAAAGCGGCGTAAAACCAAACTCGCTCGCTGTATGACACTATTCTATACGTTGATTAGGGGCAAATGTGAATAAATGAGTCTATTGTATCTTAGATTAAGGACCAATTTATGACAGGTGGTATAAGGAACTCAATTGTCTATAGTAAATCTAGGGCCAATGTATGATATCACAATAAACACAGTCTATATGATATTAGATTTAGGGCCAATGTATGATATCACAATAAACACAGTCTATATGATATTAGATTTAGGGCCAATGTATGATATCACTATAAACACAGTCTATATGATATTAGATTTAGGGCCAATGTATGATATCACAATAAACACAGTCTATGTGATTAGATTTAGGCCAATGTATGATATCACTAAACACAGTCTATATTATTAGATTTAGGCTAATGGCCATATAAGAGTCTATATGATATTAGATTTAGGGCCAATGTATGATATCAAACAAATACAGTCTATTTATGATATGTATGATTTCACAAAACATATAAGAGTCTATATGATATTATGATTTACAGGTTAAAATAAGGACCAATGTATGATATCACAATGTAAACACAGTCTATATGATATTAGATTTAGGGCCAATGTATGATATCACAACAAAACACTAAATTATGTCTAGGACCAATGATGATTAGAAATAAATGAGTCTATGATTTAGGGCCAATGTATGATATCACAATAAACACAGTCTATATGATATTAGATTTAGGGCCAATGTATGATATCACAATAAACACAGTCTATGTGATATTAGATTTAGGGCCAATGTATGATATCACCAATGTATGATATATCACAATGTATAAACAGCAAATACAGTCTAAATTATGTTAAAATAAGGACCAATGTATATCACAAGATATTAGTTTAATTTAGGGCCAATGTATGATATCACAATAAACACAGTCTATATGATATTAGATTTAGGGCCAATGTATGATATCACAATAAACACAGTCTATGTGATATTAGATTTAGGGCCAATGTATGATATCACAATAAACACAGTCTATATTATGTTAAATAAGGACCAGTGTATGATTTCACAATGCATACTGGAGTCTAAAATATATCAACTTAGGGACGAATTTATGATTTCACAATAAACAAGGCAGTCTATATATTCTATATAATGGAGCACCAGCATGTGATTACATGATGAATATTGGAGTCAGTGTAAGGTACACTTTGAAAGGGGAGTTATATTAGACCCCAAAAATGAGACGGTTTGTCTAAGAAAATAATTGTTCAGACAATTGTCAGACAAATTGATATCATAGATGAGAAGGCTGGGACACGATACTTCAATAAATGCCGACTAGTTTATAGTGGAATCCCGTTAATCCGGACACGTCACCTAACTCCGGATGTCCTTGGATGATGATTAGAAGGCCAAATTTAACGGACTAGTTTGGAAAACATTGTTATTTTAATATTTGTTAAAACTACCTATTTTATAATGAAGTAATAAACAAATAAACGCCAAAAAACATTATATTTCTATTTCCGTGACTACTTTATACTGAGAGATTTTCTCCGTTAAGACCCTGCTTATCTGAAAGCCCCACAGTGCGATCTTATTTAGGAGGCATTTATATGAACAAAAAAACTCACCACTTTAGTCGCTAATTTGGATTTATTTCAACACGATTTTTCCTAGAACGGTGCAATCGGGATTGACGAGGTTTACTATTTTTGTCGTAACGGTGTTTTTATCATCGTAACTGTAGTACAATTAGAAAACTGAATGTCTTTGGCTTGTTGTGTTATTTAAACACTGTACATATGTAGTCACGTGATCTCAGACAAACAACGGATGTTATTGCAGGATGTGAGCAGTGAAACCTGGTTCACTCGAGCACGTGGAGTGAGTGAGTTCAGTTTTACGCCGCTCTTAGCAATATTCCAGCAATATCGCGGCGGGTCACACCAGAAATAGGTTTCACACATTGTATCCATGTGGGGAATCTCGAGCACGTGGTAATACGGGCTGGAACCAGTTCCCGACAAACTATACTGGCAGAAAGAGGTAAAAAAGGGGGGGTGAGGCTCGGTGACCAAGTCGATGACGCACCCAGAGCTTCCAAGCGCACGCATAATTGCAAATTCCTTTCTCAGAAACGTCAATGTAAACGATGTATTCGGACCGTTTTTATTTTCCACATGAGCACATTTATCAGTTTTGTCGTGAGCAAGGCATGAGTAAAGAAAGCGTGAGTCTCAAGCCAAGTGCGCGAAAGTTCGCAGGTATGCCATTCAAGTGAGTGAGTGAGTATGGTTTTACGCCTCTTTAAGCAATATTCCAGCAATATCACGGCGGAGACACCAGAAATGGGCTTCACACATAGTGCCCATGTAGGGAATCGAACCCGGGTCTTCGGCGTACCGAGCGAACGCCTTAACCACTAGGCTACCCCACCACCCCTATGCCTATCAATGTACCAGGAGGGTCTGAATGGTTGGCATTATATCAATCACTGAATTGTCAGGTCCTGACCTTTTCACAAGCCGCCTTCATACAGCATAGACCCGTGAAGGTCCGGGTTGGAATATTGATCTTCAGCAACCCATGCTTGTCGTAAGAGGCGACTAACGGGATCGGGTGGTCAGGCTCGCTGACTTGGTTGACACATGTCATCTCGGTTCCCAACCGCGCAGATCGATGCTCATGCTGTTGATCACTGGATTGTCTGGTCCAGACTCGATTATTTACAGAATGCCGCCATACAGCTGGAATATTGCTGAGTGCGGCGTAAAACTAAACTCATTCACTCACTGACTCATACAGCATAAATACTGAACTGGGTTGACTGTGTGGTTGTACCGGTCAGTCGTTGTTCATACATTCAACCACTTGTTTGTCTGGCCCAGAACTAATCACAGACGCATCTGCAGTATGATTTGGAGTACAGACACCAGGATTCAAACAGCGTCCTCGTTGTTCAAATTGAGTGTCAGTCAAATTAATTATATAGGACATTATTTGAAATTGAAATGTAATATGTGACATTTACTGTTATCACGTTATGGAAACAGAATTTAATCTTACCGAAATGTATCTAACAATACACGTCACAGAGTTTCGACCAAGGTTTATATATGTAAAGGTATTCGACAAAACACTTGGCAGTTGAGCTGAGATAGTGAATCAGTCGCTGCGCGGTACCCGTGAATGCGAGATACAAATCACACATGTCATTAGTCCCATATGATTGTGGTAATATCTAGTGGATTATTAACACGGAAGACCATGTCATTTCCAACCTCGCATAGCTTACCTGTACACGCAATATCATAGGTGCACGCCAAGCCTTTGTGGATTTCCTCTGCGTGCGTGCGTGTGTGTGGTTTTTTTTGCGTGCACCATATCCAAGCTCGTGGGTTTCATTGAACGTGTGAGACTTGCATCACTTCGGGCATCAAGCTGACGTCGTGCTATAACTGGAACACTGTTCAAAGCAGACTTAAACCCAACTCACTCACTCATTCCCACTCATTCCCCCCTCATTCACTCACTCACTCGATCCGTCTTCAGTAACCCATGCTTGTCGTAAGAGGCGACTAACGGGATCGGGTGGTCGGGCTCGCTGGCTTGGATGACGCATGTCATCGGTTCCCAATTGCGCAGATCGATGCTCATGCTGTTGATCACTGGATTGTCCGGTCCAGACTCGATTATTTACAGACCGCCGCCATACAGCTGGGATATTGCTGAGTGCGGCGTAAACAACAAACAAACACTCACTCACCCATTCTAAAATCAAATCTTCGTTTCCATGACCACAGTGTTGCAGTCGTGAGTATGGGCGACGTTAACGGTAACGAACCAGCCACCATCAACCACACCGAGGTGCACGTGGACGTCCGCAGCTCGGGAGCTGCCTACTCTACCAATGGCGACGTGGTCACCCAGCAAGGGGGTGTCCCCATCATTGCCCAGAACCCTGACCCAGACAGGAAACCTAAAGACTTCGTCATGACCAACTGTTTTGTGGTGTTCGCATGTAACTTCATATTTGGTTTCATTGGATACCATTACGGAGGTGAGTATGTATAAACTTTAAAGGTACTGTTGACCGCCTCCGTGGTGTAGTGGTTAGAGCGTCCGCCCGGAGAGCGGAATGTCGCGGGTTCGATCCCCGACAGCGTCATACCAAAAGACGTTAACATATGGTACTTGTTGGTCCCTGCCTGGCGCTCGGCATTAATGGGTACAACAAGGACTGGTCGCCTCGGAGTCAGTATAATGTGTCTGAGTGGGGTATTCATGCTTCACTGTGGTATGGTATGTCAGTGGGCTAGCACTATAAAACCAGCTTCAGTCTGGGCTAGTACAAGCAGCCGCACATACACATACACGCGCATGCACGTCGTCATATGAGCGAAATATTCTCAAGCACGACGTAAAACCCAATTTCACCTCACCTCACCTTAAAGGTACTGTTACGTAATGACCGATCGGAATCGAACATAAGTGAGTGAAAGGGGCTTTACGCCGCTTTTAACAATATTCCAGCTTCGCCCATTTTGAGTTAGAGATCCTCCAGTTAAAATCTGTAGGAATTGACGTAGTTAATACTTAAATATGCGGAAGTTTTGAAGGCATATACAACATGTAATGTTTTCATACTTATTTACATATAAAGGTGGGTTGTGCTTGATTTACGTTCACGTATATATTTAGAGGCGGCCCAGGAGCTTATCTCAAAGTTTTAATACTGTTGAAATAATGCAATATATTAAGGTGAAAGGACCTCACGGATATTGTTTCAGCATATTTCATAAGTATTTCTTCCATATCTAAATTTCAACATATGTATTACTGTAAACGTAACTATGTATTGTAAATTGTTTTCTCAATGTTTTTTTTATAAGTAAGTGTTCTTTTACCTGCAAACCTGCACTACGAATGCATGACACGGCCATTTTGAATTTTGACATTTTTGGAATTTCGTGCAAACAACTATCTCGATGAATTACATATTCCATTTGTTTATTCGATGAAATATTTGCCTTTTTCTAGAAACACTGTTGTATGCACTTACAGAAGTCCGAACATTAGGTTAAATATGAACTGACAGAACAACTTGACTAACACAGGCACCCATGACAATATCACGTATTCAGAAAAAAATAATTATATGGTGTCACACGTCATTGATTTTGTACATGACATGCAGGGGGGTCGGGGGTCACTTACTTTGTATGCATAAACTTTAGGGTAGGTGGGGACATTTGCACTGTACATGCATTGTACTACAGAGAGAAAATTTAGTGACCAGTACAAGTTACATCATGTCAGCTTAATGTGTGAGGAAAGAGTGAGTGAGTGAGTGAGTTTAGTTTTACGCCGCTTTTAGCAATATTCCAGCAATATCACGATGGGGGGACACCAGAAATGGGCTTCACAGATTGTATGCTTGTGGAGAATCGAACCCGGGTCTTCGGCGTGACGAGCGAACGCTTTAACCACTAGGCTACCTCACCGTCCCTCAAGCAACTCGATATACAACACAATTTAATTTAAGACTATTTTTAAAGTGTTCCAAATTTTACACAATTAGTAAAAGAAAATATTAAATTATCTTATTTTCCTTTACGTTTTTTTCCCGCGCTCTCTCTTGTTGGTTAGATGGAGATGGGAAGCCTAAATAAACAAATACGAGCGGCCTTACACTGTTTGTGGAAAGATGTTGAAACGTTCATAATATGTTTACATTATCGCTGTCTTCCATGCGCGAGCTGTCCGCGCGAGACAGACACGCCTACACCTGTCAGCTGCACGTGGATCCCCGGGAATCACGAGACAGTGCTCGACCCGCCATCAACCTGCGTGAATTATTCAGACATCAGAAGAAACTCGGTTAGGAAATGAGACTTAACAGGAATAGCTCTGGCGAGATCAAATCGTTCCTTGATGGGCACGAACCAGTTAAATATTTTATCACTCTCTTTATTTGAAGTATTATAAAATGCTTTCCGTTCAGATTGTTATACCTGAGGTGTTGTAGTCAGCTGTAAACGAAGCACAGTTTTGTGGAAGTAAATTATAGACGATAATCAGGGTCCGGGTTTGAATTATGGGTTAAGGGTGACACAACTGGTAATTAAAACCAAACCCATTGTGCTACTAAATTCGAAAAAAAGAATTAAAAGCAACACTGATAAATTCTTTAAGGGAATGCTCGGTTTCATCTTTTTTGAAAATGGATAGATTGTTTGTGAATTGGCACCTCGGGTTCAGTGATCGTTAACATTCAGTTAAAAAATATCAAAGTGTTAGGGACCGTTCATAATTTATGGCGGGGGTGGGTTGGGGTGACATGATCATTTAAAGGGGATCACCCATTTTGTTCTGGGGAGGTGTGTGTGTGTGTGTGGGGGTACTCAATGTACAAATGAACTAGGGAGGGTAATCAATTTTGTACATAACAATATTTAAAATAAATGCGCAAAAATGGGGGGGGTAATTGATTCTGTACATGACATGCAGGGGGGTCACTTACTTTGTACATAAAATTTAGAGGGGGGTCAGTCACATTGCACATGATTCTCCATAAAAATCATCATCAAAACACACACACACACACACACACGCCATAAATTATGAACGGTCCCCTAGTCCTGGTGTTTATACGTTTTGTATTAGTATACCCTGTCACTAAACTAGCACTTGGTCTCTGAATATATATCATTCTGACCGAAATGAAATAATTCCTTTTAAATTGAAAAGGGACCCAAGCGAGATGAGAGATTCAACACCTGAGGACATCTAGACTAGCTTCATTTAAGTCCAGTTTAGCGCTCCAGAAAGGACTGGGCGGAAGGGATAATAATATGGTTCAGGGACTGTGAGACATACTAACCCTGTCACCTGTAACATTTGTTTCAAATTTATATATAGTCAGCCTGCTTCAAAGTAGGAAGGGCGTATGCATAAAATTCCTTCCTTCCATTTTGCCACCTCCGCATGCAGAGGAAGTACATGAGATCTGCCATGTTCCGTTATTTCTGATACATCTGATTTCCATCTTCCGTTGGCATTTGTCGGGGCTATTTTAGTCCATGGAACATTGTTTTTTATTGAAACCCATTGTTTCTTTTTTATCTTAAAGTTAGAAAAGCTTAGGGTTCCGTCTCAATGCTCAGTGGACGGACGACGCAAACACTATCTGATTAAATCAGAACTTACTTCCCTGAACCGTTAAGCTTTGTTTTGCAGTAGCGAGTACGGGGATCTGATTTTAATGAGATCGGTAGAAACACGACCCTGCTCAGCTATATTGCCCAACAAGCTGATCCATATATATCCCATCTGGATCGCGATCACGACGGGGGCATGCACTCTTCTATTATAGTGTAAAGCACTGTTCTATTATAGTGTAAAGCACTGTTCTATTATAGTGTGAAACGCTGTTCTGTTATGGTGTATACCGTTGCTGGGTTATTGTCAAACATGGATCGTTGTTGTGGAAGGGACAGAAGGTGACCTTCGGGGCAAAACATTTGCTGGTCACGCCAAAGGCTAGGATCGATTGTCTACATAGGTACATTTTGTGAAGCACATCCCTGGGGCTCGCTGTTGTCATGTGGCCAGTCATGCTTTCACCCTTCCCATAATTTCTTTTTGAAAGTACCAGTACGCCAGCGAACCATACCAACGCACATGTTCGTGCCGGAACAAACTTCTGATACGCTGCGTACCTGCGCGGGGCGTTGGGGTAGATTAGTGGTTAAAGCGTTTGCTCGTCATGCCGAAGACCCGGGTTAGCAATAGTAATATTAGAATAGAATTAATAGAATATTAGCAATATCACAGCGGGGGACACCAGAAATTGGCTTCACACATTGTACCCACCCGGGTCTTCAGCACTTTAACCATTAGGCTACTAACCGCCTCTGGTCCCGAGGAACCTGTGTTGATCTTATGAGGCCACAAATTAAAGAGTTGACTTGGATGACGTGTCATCGTATCGCAATTTTGTGGATCTGTGTTGATGCTGTCGAGTCGCCTAGTGGTTAAAGCGTTCCCTTGTCACGCCGAAGACCCGGGTTCGATTCCCCACATCGGTGCAATCTGTGAAGCCCATTTCTGGTATCCCCCGCCGTGATATTGCTGGAATATTGCTAAAAGCGGCGTAAAACTAGACTCACTCACTCACTCATGCTGTCGATCACTGGAATCACTATTATTTATACAACCGTGACGTAGCTTTAAGAATGTGTCCGCAGCGTTAAATAACAAACAAAAACACAAACAAAACAATGTTCAACATGAAGATGGTTCCAAATGGATCCATGCCTTTACAGGCGGGTAATTTGTCTGTTAATCAGTTTCATTAAACTCGAATCTTAGTGCTTGCTTTGTTTAGCGGCAGCGAAAACTGTGATCTGATTTTAATGAGATTGTGTGTCAATCAAACAAATTGTCAATCGATTTCATGATGAAATCGACCACAGACCTTCCGTTTAAGATAAACAATCTGTAAACCACGCAAATTGGGCCTTGTTTCTCCAAGGTTGAACGCATAGTGGCGGGATAGCTTGCCGCCGGTGAGGAGAAACTAAGCAGAGAATATCGTGATTTGTGGTATGTTGCCTTGTGTGTGAGTTGGGTTTTAGCCGTTTTGAGCAATTTTCCAGCAATACCGCGGCTGACAGCAGAAATGGGCTTTGTACGTGGTAACCATGTGGAGAATTGAACTCTGGCCTCCGGCCTTACGATCGAACGCTTTAACCACTGGGCCACCTCTACCTTCCGGCTTTGGGGGGATGTCAGGATTTTATACGTTTTTGAAGAAAATCATCTCATGAAAGACATTACCAACTTACAGACCGGTTGCCGTGAAGTCCGTGAATTGAGAGACACAGCTGAGAAAAACTGCGAAGCTAGGAAAAAAACAACCTGAGAATCCACCTGATTTTAAGTACCAACATTAAAAGGGCATGCTTCTAAGGAAATACAATTTTAAGACGATAAGAACAGCACTCAGCACTGACACTCATTTTCAACAGCTGAGAAATGGGCAGTCTGAAAAGATGGATAGTCTTGAGATGAGTAGTCTGAAATTAATGCTGAGAACGGTTAGGTCTGGTTGTCTTCGAGATGTCATGTCTGAAATTAATGCTGAGAACGGTTAGGTCTTGTCGTCCTTGAGATGAATAGTCTGAAATTAATGCTGAGAACGGCTAGGTCTGGTTATCCTTGAGATGAATAGTCTGAAATAAATGCTGAGAACGATTAGGTCTGGTTGTGTTTGAGATGAATAGTCTGAAATTAATGCTGAGAACGGTAAGGTCTGGTTGTCTTCGACATGTCATGTCTGAAATTAATGCTGAGAACGATTAGGTCTGGTTGTGTTCGAGATGTCATGTCTGAAATTATGCGGAGAATGGTAATGGCCGTCTGGCGTGGTATACCAGTCACTAGTTAGTACATTGCTAACACTGGGGCCAGGTTCGGGACACGATAGTCCAACTGGACACATGAGCCAGTTTGACCGCTTGGTTAGCATCCAACTGATCTGAAGTTGACCTGATTGGATGTGTCTAGTTGTCAGTTGAGCTTTGATAAACTGTGACGCGAATTCCAGCCTGGTATGAGACCTCAAAGGACTGTTTGCATCGAGGTCAGTCTCCACAAACGACAGTGACAGTATACCCGTGAAGATCAGAGATAGAATTGGTCTTCAGCAACCCATGCTTGTCGTAAGATGCTACTAACGGGATCGGGTGGTCAGGTTCGCAGACTTGGTTGACACATGTCATCGTATCCCTAGATCGGTGCTCATGCTGTTGATGACTGGATCGTATGGTCCAGACCCGCCGCCATATACCTGGAATATTCCTGAGTGCGGTGTTAAACAACAAACAAACAATGGCGACAATTGCAGAGTTTGGTTTGAAATTTCACCCCAAGTTTCCCCACGATATACTCCACTTCATGGGTACAGGGGTTTCCAGTAAACAGATTGCAGCGGTCGAGACCGTTCTCAGGGACCAGATTTAAAACTCCAGTCAAGCATGGATAACAAGACAAACATCACGTGATGTGTATTATTGTTAAAAACAAATATGTGAACAAGTTTTATTGTGGAGTTCTTTTTATTTCAGGCGAAGTTTTACATTTACCACCATAAATACACACAATGCAGCCAAACAATATATGCAGCCAGATTTACATTAGAAACTGTCGCTAACTTTATTTCAACTGCCATTATCAGCAAAAGCGTTGAATCTTAAAATCGAATGTAATTAAATGTCAGCATGCATGCTTGCTCGACTATTTTCGTACATTTGGGTCTTTCAATCACAAACCCACAGAGAGGACGATTAAGGTTTACCGTTGAAATTGCACAATAAACCCAATGGTTTCAAGCACCAAACTACCGCAAATTTAATTTTAGCATGTTTGGAAGGTTTTATTAACTGGAAATAACATTTTTACTGTCTTTATTGTTTAGATTCACCAAAAAATACGTTGATGGACTTAACCTGAAATCAATTATAAACAGCTTAAACAACGATAAAAAAACCTTGACGATTTGGTAAGTTAAATAGATAATTTAAATAGTTTTTATAATGGTTCTGTTATGATGACGTAATAACGTTGAAGGTCCGGCTCAGAATTCCTCTTGTCGTAAAATGTTCCAACCGGGATCGCTTGGTCCAGCCTGCTTGGGACGGTGGGGTAACATAGTGGTTAAACCGTTCGGTCGTCACGACGAAGACCCGGGTTTCGATTCCTCACATGGGTGCAATGTGTGAAGCCCATTTCTGGTGCCTCCCCACCGTGATATTGCTGGAATATTGCTACTGAAAAGCGGCGTAAAACTAAACTCAAAGAATGGAGTTCAGTTAAGACAGGAAACAGGCCCGTGGGCGTGTCACAGTGACGTTGATTGACAGCCACGTTATAGACATGCGTGAGCGATGTCACTATCACCCTGTCGCGTCTCCGTGGTCGATATTGCCGGTCAGTCAAACATGTAATGCACTGTATCGATCTCCAGACAAGGTGTGGGTTAATCGATGATGAAGCAACCATGTTGCCAAATCCAGACAAATTAGGAAGGTAATTTGCTGGAATAATGGCCTGGCTATTTTCACTCTACCTGTTCTGCAGGTGTAAACACGTGGCGAGCGTGTGTGTGAGGCGTTATGGGGATTTATACCCGACCTTTTGGTTAACTCGTGGAAGGAGAAAAGGAATATTTTTGAGTATTGTATTTATTGATTTAGATTTTAAGATTCGTTGTTTTAAGGAAGAAATTGAAAACTCATTCCAAGTGGTGCTTAATCCCTAAAGGAGGGGCCCGTGAAGATTCGGGGTTGGAATTGGTATTCTGCTACCCATGCCTGTCGTAAGAGTCGGCTCACGGGAAGGGGTGATCAGGCTCGCTGACTTCGTTGACACATGATATCGTATCCCAATTGCGAGGATTTATGCTCATGATGTCGATCACTGGATTGTCTGCTCCAGACTCGATTATTTAAAGACCGTCGCCATATACCTGGAATATTGCTGTGTACGGCGTTAAATAACAAACAAAGAAATCATTTGCCGAACGATCAACAGTAACGAAAATCGAGTTCACTTGTTCAAAATGTTAACATAGATTATCGTAACGTTAAGATCGCTTTGGGCAAGTCGGTCCGTGGCCATCTAACCCACTGAGCCGCCTGCCTCTGAGGGTATGGGTTCGAATCCCGGATGGGACTCGACCGAACAAAAGTACTAGAATCTGTACCTGACTGAGAAAGTGTAATCCCAAATACGACATATGTTAAATCCTTTCACTCTTTCAGTCACTGTTTCAGTCATTTTACTGTTTCAGTCAAGTCCAACTGGGCCTGGAAGCTGGGACAAGAACACGAGGCGAGGAAGAAGGCCAAGATTGCTCTCATCTTCGCCATCCTCGGCATCGTTGCAGGGATCATCACCTACTGCCTGGCATTCGGCCTGTACTTCACTATAGGCAAGAAGCCCATAGACGTCACACACAGAGGGACCCCGCCGTAACTTACGTCAATGTCTATGTATATCATATACCAGTGAGGACAGCATTCTTTGCTTTGGACATGATTAATGCCCAAACGATTAAGGCAGCTAAATCAGCAGAGAATGCTGTTCGCTGTCTGTTCTTTAGATATATTACTGAACTTACTGAACTATTCTCAGAGAGTTGTTACATGGAATATAAAACCTGGTATAGCTACTTTGTATTGCCAAACCCTACGTTCAAGAAACTCCCTCTCTCATTCATGGTACTGTATCTTCTATGGACATATATACACCTCGGGTAGGAAGGAACTGAATCATACAGTCTTCCAAACACGCCATTCTCTCATTCCGATGTCATACCAAGACCAAAACATTTCTGAAATACCATTGATAAGTTTCTATTCCAGTACGATCACAGCCAGACTCAGTAAAATCAGATCTCATTTTGTAGAGATTGGCTCACAGTATAGTTAAAGCATAATCACATGACATTTCTCAGATTGTGGTTCAGGGGGTAGGATCTGATTTTTTTTTATAAATTTGACGAGAGATCCCACTAATGTCCAATTCAAGTAAACTGAAACTGAAAGAGCGAACTCCAATAAATCGATACATCGTTTATAAGGTTACAGCGCCATCGACGATTGGTCTCATATCGACATATTTTCGGTATACCTCGACTTACACTTTCTCTGTACATAGACTGGGTAAATGTCACCCCCAGTAAATGGCCAGTGCCACAGTATGTATTTGGGTACTACTTACAGGTGTCGACAAATGTGTTTATTGTTTTATTGGCATTCCAGAAGTTGGTGAGTCAATAATGAAGAATTCGACTTTATGGATAACAACTTCTGTTTATTGCACAAACCGACGTTTAGGTGTAAAATGTAGCTTGATAAAGTAGTCTGTCTCACAGTCCCTGAACCACATTATTTTCCCTACTGTCAAGCCCTCTCTGCAGTGCTAAAGCCCTAAATAAAGCAAGTCTAGATTTCTTCAGGAATCTCTGGTCTCCCTGGGGCTCCTTTTCAATTTAAATGGGCTTGTTTGTTACTATCAGAATTATATATATTCAGAGACTATGCATTAGTCTACACGATAATGGTATAAGAATTCACACCTGTACCACACCTGTGCTATTCACTGCTTGCTGACTTTGTACGAAACAAAAAGTGAAATAGAAAAAAAGAAGTTGTTATCAATGAAGTCGTACGCTTCATTAAATGTTATGTTTTAATTTAGTGATGAATAAGGTTAACATCATCTTTAATTACGGACGTATAAAATGATCAGTTGTTTGCATAATAAAATTAATTTTATTTATTTTTCTCATTTTTCTCAAAATCAGTGGTAATTTTGTCATTATTTTGAGATCAATAGGCTATGGATTTCAAAATAATGACAAAATTACCACTGATTTACTTTACAGAACTGAGGCTCCACACTCTAATCCGACGTTAATCTCTTTATTGATTGCGTTTGACTTTGTTATGCACATCTAGACAGGGGTAATCTAGATATAATGTCTGTTGAGTTCAGAGATCTCTTCGTGTTTATGTTTTGGGGCTTTGAATCTAATGAGTTGTTTGCATTTTAAGTTTTCATGTTTGTGCATTATTAACGTTAACTGTGGTTATGTGCATATAGTGGATTTACTACTGTTTTATTTGTTGCTTTATAATGCATATCTCACTTGCAACAATCGTTCACGTTTAAAGTATTTCTGTGCCAATAATCAAAAGTGCACTGATTTTCTTGAGGGGGAAAACATCTCTGCTGTCAGGGTAAAGATCGTAGGTCTATTTCTTGCTGATATTCTGTACATCGAATTGTGAAATATGCTTCTGGAGCTGATTAAGTTGTTTGCAGACAAGATTTGTTGCTAGTATAAACACTCTAATGAAGATGTCGCACCAGATACAAATACCATAACCGTGCAACTGAAACGCACGCAGGTCACATGTATTGTACAATCGTGTCCACTCGTGTCATTCCGGGACAGACCGAATACAGGCGGATTACGGGATGTGTGAATCTCAGTCCAGTCCCTTTCCGTTATATACGCTGTTCGTCTTGTCCCGGAATGGTCACGAATATGGTGTGCATCTCGGAAATACAGTGGGTCGTCGATGGGTGCTGCTTAGCAATCCTGATATTCTCGCGTTATTCCGGGACAAGACGAATAACGAATTTACGGAAATGAACGAGTGGTGAGGAGCAGTTTATGCGTCTTCCACTCGCTTACTATTTCCTTCAACGCCAATGTGCCCAACTCAGAACCAATAGACTTGCCATGTATATACAAATGATCTAAATAATCACTTGTTTTGATTGATGGCGGGAGTATGGCTTGGTTGTTATATTTTTATATTTCGTGTTAAATGACTAGACGTATTTGGTACGTCTAGATATGTCATGTTATGCCTAGTATTGTTTACCGGTGTTGTTTAGATTGTGTTGTTTCTCACCATTCCCAATATATACTATATAGTAGCTCAAGCGAGACCAGTCGTTTATTCCATGGCTTGATTTCGCGCTGTTTTCGGGTGTCAAATCAAACCATTCGTAAATATATACTCGTGTCATTCCGGCAAGCCTTCTTGTAGGTCACGGAAAGAGGCGAGTAGTTACGAATGAAATCAACTAAAGGGTTCACTTGTACCATTTATTAGCCAGTCTAAGTAAACTTAGGTTCAGTATTATTCGTTACACTTGCTAGGTCAAAACCTAGTAGAAGGTCGCGTCAGCTTATCTTTGAGCGACCTATGACCGTCCAATCAAACGCGAGACGGCCGAACGGATTTAACCAATCAGACAACGACTACTTGTTAGGGTTCGGCGGGACTTACAAAACGGTTTTTTGGATTTTCTCTTCCCTGGTCGCTGACACTGATCTATCAACAAACGAAACTCCACATAAAACACAGATATTTGACCTGCAGTATATACGCTTATAGGTTTCTAATGACATGGTTACTATTTGCTTATATTTTCGCAAGATGACATCCTTGAATATTGACAAAAACGCTATTCTCAGCGACTGTTTACTCATTTCGTGCATTACTCGGAAGCGATTGTGCGGAGAATAGCATTCGGAATCGTTCGAGGTTTTTAGGTAAAGGTTCAAACGGTATGTGCAAATGTTAACTTTCGCGATTTGGTAAGCTGTGTTCTGATTGGTCAGTCCAAAAGGTTAGCCGACGCGACCTTCTACTAGGTTTTGTTAGACTCAGTATAGCAGTGTCACGAATAATACTGAGCCTAAGTTTACTTAAACTGATTTATTAGCAGTCCTTTATGCAAGATACATTCCTCTGATTAGCCAAATCAGTCAAAGGTGACTTGGCCTGTTACTATTCTGTGTAATGTTGGTTTCGGTAACATTATCTTCAACCGAGGTAACCAGATAGTTTTCGAAAACAAGTTCGATATTCAGATAACGCCTGAACCCATCGACCCAGTTGAGCACAAGTCCGAAAGGATGTTTACACGTTCTTATTGTCAAACTTAAATATTGAGCAACTACGTGTATATTCATCTGTTCATCTAACCTAGGTGCGGTGGTGTAGCCTAGTGGTTAAAGCGTTCGCACGTCACGCCGGGTTCGTTTCTCATTTCTGGTGTCCCCCGCCGTGATATTGTTGGAATATTGCTAAAAGCGGCGTAAACCTAAATTCACTCACTCAAATAGCCTAGTTCAATGGACACTGACGTCGCGGTGGGGAAACAGAAACGTGTATTAAAACTTGTTATTTAAAAGCGGATTCGTTAATCTGATTTTACACTTGTGAACAGAAGCATTACCGGTAATGAAAATGAGACAAAATTCTTTACTGTGTTCAGATATTTTTTTACCTAATTATGTATTTTAAACCATCGGTCGGAATATTTGGATTTCATTCTTCAACGGTCAAGAGACATGGTTGGCCGAGCGGAGTACATAAAGAAGAAATCGCGATCGAAATATCGAATACTGTTTGCATGACATAATATACCCAGCAATAAGTACCTATATTGCTATTCTCGAAGGCATGATATACACTCAGTCATTGAGGGGTCATCGACGGGTCAGAGGTAATGCTTTCACGATCCATGCACTGTAGCCTAGCCTACTCGAGTTTAAGATAGGAAGGTAAAACAAATCAAAATATGTGTTTTTCGATATGCATGCCATTGTGATAGCTCTTGTAGATCCTGTACATCAGGGCCTAGATTTTCGAAGCTCTCTGAGCGCTAAGATAGTCGTAAGTTAATGTTAATAGCACTTACGACTATCTTAGCGCTAAGAGAGCTTCGAAAATCTAGGCCCTGGGTCCCGTTGTACAAAATGATCTTAGCGCTAAGGTGACCGCAACTCCCATACCTTAACATGGACTTAAGGTAACCTTAGCGCTAAGGTTGTTTTGTACAACGGCACCCAGGAGTGAGCGGTATCCGGGTATGCCGTTATAACGAAATTATAATATTTTCACCAAAATGATTAACTGCGCTACTCGCGTTCACGTCTTTGTTCAAGTTACAGAAGTCACATATACCTAGTGATAACGAACAGTCATGCAACCTCTGAAGCACCTCCGCACGTCACATTATAAATTGTTTTAATGAGGATTATTGTATTGGATGAGGATTAATGTATTGGATGAGGATTATTGTATTGTGGCCCACACCCACTTAGTCAGTGTCAGCTCAGTGTATGTGTTTCTCATAATGGGACATTGGCGTTATAAGGGGGTCATCATGTGTGGGAATGGCCACTTTCGGACTATTTTCTATATTCCGCTCATTCCGCCCATTTTATGTTGTTGACCCTATTGATTTCTGATATCCCCTCATTCAATCTGTTTGCAGCAATAATGCCTGAAGTGAATTTTTATCGTGAAGTTATTATTTTATAATATTGTTTATATTTGAATGGTGGAACTAACCTCTGTTCATTACAGCTGTTATAGTTAATATCAGCGTCCTACTATGCAGAATAACGGGTGACTAGTCGGATGACAATCCTCCCATATTGTCTATACTGTTGTTACACTTGTACCTTGTATATAGACGGAAAGTACAGCCCTGTAGTGTCTGGTGTGGGTGTCTGTGTACAGCATGCATTATGTGTGTTTGTAAGCAATAACCAGTGTTGAAATACTCGCTAACACGCCCATGTGCATCATATATATGTCATATATATTTTTAATAAATCTTACCAACTATATACTTTTGTGTTGTATGTGGAAGACGAGTTGACTGTATGTGGACGGCGTTTATGGTTGATCATATATATCACTGGATTGTCTGGTCCACACTAGATTATTTTCAGGCCGCCCAGGAGTATTGCTGAGCGTGGAGCAAACAGCAAATCGATATTTATTTCAGGATCAAGCAGAACAGGTGTGATTACATGCTCCTCGCAGGGTCTGTAGTCCTTTAGGGCTGTGCTTGTTTGTTGTTTACCGCAGCACTCAAGTAAATAATCAAGTCTGGACGTGACAATCCAGTGATTAACAGCATGAGCATTGATCTGCGCAGCTGGGATACAATATATATACTTTTACATATATACTTGTATTCCTCCAAGGGAGAGTTTGGTACATAATAAGTAGTATGAAGTTACACAATAAACGTTGGCATAAAAGCATGCATTACGTGAGGATTTTAATTTAAGAGCATCGGTTTGAGATTTTTATAAGTGGGTAAAGATATTTTATCACAGTCTTTGCAAAAAGTTAGCATGTCTCTTGGTCTGAAGTGATTGGTGGTGTACAGGACAGCAAACAGGTTACAACGTCCACATCCTGGTTCTCATGGTGCCTGTCACTTAGCTCAATGGGCCGTACACAGCTGATGTTGCACCACAGTTCATCTCGTAGTCTGAACGTCAGTTTGCATTCACATAGCACATGGGTCAGTAGGTCTGCACACACACAGTCACATATCACATGGGTCAGTAGGTCTGCACACACACAGTCACATATCACATGGGTCAGTAGGTCTGCACACACACATTCACATATCACATGGGTCAGTAGGTCTGCACACACACATTCACATATCACATGGGTCAGTAGGTCTGCACACACACATTCACATATCACATGGGTCAGTAGGTCTGCACACACACAGTCACATATCACATGGGTCAGTAGGTCTGCACACACACAGTCACATATCACATGGGTCAGTAGGTCTGCACACACACAGTCACATATCACATGGGTCAGTAGGTCTGCACACAGACAGTCACATATCACATGGGTCAGTAGGTCTGCACACACACAGTCACATATCACATGGGTCAGTAGGTCTGCACACACACAGTCACATATCACATGGGTCAGTAGGTCTGCACACACACAGTCACATATCACATGGGTCAGTAGGTCTGCACACACACAGTCACATATCACATGGGTCAGTAGGTCTGCACACACACAGTCACATATCACATGGGTCAGTAGGTCTGCACACACACAGTCACATATCACATGGGTCAGTAGGTCTGCACACACACAGTCACATATCACATGGGTCAGTAGGGTCTGCACACACAGTCACATATCACATGGGTCAGTAGGTCTGCACACAGTCACATATCACATGGGTCAGTAGGTCTGCACACACACAGTCACATATCACATGGGTCAGTAGGGTCTGCACACACACAGTCACATATCACATGGGTCAGTAGGTCTGCACACACACAGTCACATATCACATGGGTCAGTAGGTCTGCACACACACAGTCACATATCACATGGGTCAGTAGGTCTGCACACACACAGTCACATATCACATGGGTCAGCAGGTCTGCACACACACAGTCACACTTGCTGCTAGTCTGTCTCACAGTCCCTGAACCACATTATTTTCCCTACTGCCAAGCCCTCTCTGCAGTGCTAAAGCCCTAAATAAAGCAAGTCTACATTTCTTCAGGAATCTCTGGTCTCCCTAGGGCTCCTTTTCAATATAAATGGGCTTGTTTGTTACTATAAAAATTATATATATTCAGAGACTAAGCCTTAGTCTAACTTGCTGCATACACCGGTGTCTCTCCCGGGCCTCCATAACGCACACTTCTGGATGAGTGATGTGGCCGCTATTTTCAGGATGGGATTGTCTCTCGCTATCACCCACGTTGTATGAGGTTGCAGAGTGGAATGGATAGCCTGGAAATGCTGCAAGTCTGAGTCGGTTCTGATTCTCTCCTTTCACCTTTCAGCTTCAGTTCGTGCTACTGCATCTCTCACTGTCCTCATCCACTTAGTTTGTGTCACAAAGGTGGCACTGCTGGTGAAACTGTCTAGTATCCCATCAGGGAGTATTTGCTGAGGATTCTGCAGAGGTCTGGAATGAAACCTGCACTGGATGTTGAACACTACTGTCTGTGGAGGTGGAGTCTTGTTCTTATCAGTTGGCGCGGCAGGAGATGTTGCACTTGTGTCCAAAGAAGGGCAGCTTCTTCTCATCAATGTGCGACTCTAGCGATGCCCATCCTAGAAATGCACTGCATATATCCGTTCTTGTGTGTCGTGGTAACCCTTGGACCAGCTTCAGAGCGAATTGCTGAGCTCTTTCTAGAGCTAAGATTTCAGCGCGTGAGATGCTATTCCAAAGTCCACATCCAAATAGAGCTATTGGGAGGCATACTGAGCGTAGGAGTTTTGATGATGTCAAAAGGGTTTAGGCCTTTTGCATGACAACCTGATTTGGTGAGCACCATAATGGATGACTTTATCCTTGAGCAGCTGTCTAATGTTCTTTACCAGGAGTTTATTTGGGCGGCAAGAATAATTCCAACATGTTAAATCTCTGTAGTCGGGGCCACAGCTTCATGGTAAAGCTTTATGTCTGGTTTACTTTTGTCTTCCTTTCCAAACTGCAGGAACTGTGACTTGACTGGGTAGAAGGTAAACCTCCATAGGGAGCTGTATTCCTGGCAGATGTCGACCATATGCTGCAGGTTGGACTTGATTGGGTAGAAGGTAAACCTCCATAGGGAGCTGTATTCCTGGCAGATGTCGACCATATGCTGCAAGTTGGACTTGACTGGGTAGAAGGTAAACCTCCATAGGGAGCTGTATTCCTGGCAGATGTCGACCATATGCTGCAAGTTGGACTTGATTGGGTAGAAGGTAAACCTCCATAGGGAGCTGCATTCCTGGCAGATGTCGACCATATGCTGCAAGTTGGACTTGATTGGGTAGAAGGTAAACCTCCATAGGGAGCTGTATTCCTGGCAGATGTCGACCATATGCTGCAAGTTGGACTTGACTGGGTAGAAGGTAAACCTCCATAGGGAGCTGTATTCCTGGCAGATGTCGACCATATGCTGCAAGTTGGACTTGGTTGGGTAGAAGGTAAACCTCCATAGGGAGCTGTATTCCTGGCAGATGTCGACCATATGCTGCAAGTTGGACTTGATTGGGTAGAAGGTAAACCTCCATAGGGAGCTGTATTCCTGGCAGATGTCGACCATATGCTGCAAGTTGGACTTGACTGGGTAGAAGGTAAACCTCCATAGGGAGCTGTATTCCTGGCAGATGTCGACCATATGCTGCAAGTTGGACTTGATTGGGTAGAAGGTAAACCTCCATAGGGAGCTGTATTCCTGGCAGATGTCGACCATATGCTGCAGGTTGGACTTGATTGGGTAGAAGGTAAATCTCCATAGGGAGCTGTATTCCTGGCAGATGTCGACCATATGCTGCAAGTTGGACTTGATTGGGTAGAAGGTAAACCTCCATAGGGAGCTGTATTCCTGGCAGATGTCGACCATATGCTGCAAGTTGGACTTGACTGGGTAGAAGGTAAACCTCCATAGGGAGCTGTATTCCTGGCAGATGTCGACCATATGCTGCAGGTTGGGCCTGGTTGGGTAAAAGGTAAACCTCCATAGGGAGCTGTATTCCTGGCAGATGTCGACCATATGCTACAAGTTGGACTTGGTTGGGTAGAAGGTAAACCTCCATAGGGAGCTGTATTCCTGGCAGATGTCGACCATATGCTGCAAGTTTGACTTGGATGGGTAGAAGGTAAACCTCCATAGGGAGCTGTATTCCTGGCAGATGTCGACCATATGCTGCAAGTTGGACTTGATTGGGTAGAAGGTAAACCTCCATAGGGAGCTGTATTCCTGGCAGATGTCGACCATATGCTGCAAGTTGGACTTGATTGGGTAGAAGGTAAACCTCCATAGGGAGCTGTATTCCTGGCAGATGTCGACCATATGCGGCAGGTTGGACTTGATTGGGTAGAAGGTAAACCTCCATAGGGAGCTGTATTCCTGGCAGATGTCGACCATATGCTGCAAGTTGGACTTGATTGGGTAGAAGGTAAACCTCCATAGGGAGCTGTATTCCTGGCAGATGTCGACCATATGCTGCAGGTTGGCCTTGATTGGGCTCAGGACGGCAATATCGCCCGCTTGTGTGGGTGCTACGAGGTGCAGACCATAGCCCCTTTCTTGCTCTGGTCGTGCTTGAGAATATTTGCTCTGGTCAAGGCGCCACAGCAGTCCGTCTATATAGAGCAGGTAGAATTTGGCTGACATCACATTTCCTTGTCTCACCCCTCTGTGAAGTTGGAACCAGCATGATCTCTCATTGTTGGTAGCTACACAGCTTGTCATTGATTTGTACATGTTGTCAATGTCTGTCCATAAGGCACTATGTGTGCCATGCTTGTGAAGTTTGTATAGCAGTCCTGCATGCCACACTGTGTCCAAAGCCTTGGAGCTGTCGAGGCAGCATATGTTTACAACATCGGATCTCTCTAGATAGTGGGGGCGGTGGGGTAGCCTAGTGGTTAAGGCGTTGGCTCGTCACGCCGGAGACCTGGGTTCGAATCCCCACATGGGTACAATTTGTGAAGCCATTTTCTGGTGTCCCCCGCCGTGATATTGCTGGAATATTGCTAAAAGCGGCGTAAAACCAAACTTAGTCAGTCAGTCTAGATAGGGGAGGACGGTTTCCTGGACAACAAAGCTCGTGTGACAAGATGTAAGACCTTTCTGGAATCCATATTGCTGTTTGCTGGGGAAGGATGTTGAATCTGTAACTTAGGGAATCCTTTTGCAGAGATACGCCATAGATATCCTCTAGCACAAAATCTTGATGTATTGGAACAAGCTCTCAATGAAGAATGAAACGCAATACCTCAACGTCAAATTCAACGTCTGATAGAGTCCGTGAGGAGGAGGGTCAGGGATGTTATTGCAATTGGCGTAGTGAGTGAGTTTAGGTTTACGCCGCACTCAGCAATATTCCAGCTATATGGTGGCGGTCTGTAAATAATTGAGTCTGGGCCAGACAATCAAGTGATCAACAGCATGAGCATCGATCTGCGCAATTGGGATACGATGACATGTGTCAACCAAGTCAGAGAGCCTGATCACCCGATCCCGTTAGTGGCCTTTTACAAGCATGGGTTACTGAAGATATGCAGTTGGCGTAGCAAACACCAGATATTGACATAGCACTCGGTTATTGATACTTATATGATTTCTTGACAGATTGTATGCCGGAATCTTGAAAACGACCACACTTGTTAACGCAAACCGACCTTAGTTTCAAGCCTACAACTTATTCCTTAAGGGTCAGTTTATCCAGATAGAAAGTTATATTGAGGTTTGCTTTGGTTAAAGTTCCTTTGCTATGGTCAATGGTACACATTGATACTATGAAATATAGAGGGTGTTGCGATACATTTTTCATGTGCATATGTGCCAGAAAAACACCGAGGTACCTAAAAAGGAGCAGGATAAGGCTATCGTTCCCACAGCTGGGTCCGTTCTCCTGTACATTTATATCGACATGCTTTCTGTTTGTTTGTTTTGTTGTTTAACGCCGAACGCAACACTTTCCCAGCTGTATGGCGGTGGTCTGTAAATAATCGAATCTGGACCAGGCAATCCAGTCATCAGCAGCATGAAAATCGATCTCCGCAATTGTGATACAATGACATGCGTCTACCAAGTCAGCGAGCCTCAACACCCGATCCCGTTGGTAGCTTCTTACGACAAGCATGGTTTGCTGAAAACCAATTCTTGGATGTTGTTAGGACTTGTTACACATAACATGAAAGAGTGAGAGAATGAGTTGGGTTTTACGCCGCTTTTAGCAATGTTCCTGCAATATCAAGGCGGGAGACACCAGAAATGGGCTTGACACATTGTACCCATATGGGGAATTGAGCCCCGCGTGACGAGCCAACGCTTCAACCACTAGGCTACCCCACCGCCCCTCTTCAGTGAAAAATTTAACAAGACGTCGATAGGAAAAGCCAATTTATTTTTGCACATCTAACACGCAGTGGAATGGGAATAGTGTAGTCTCAGAGAGGGCAGGCCATTATGTTCCTGAACTCGGGGTGTCCCAAAAAAGGTTTGCAGTTTCTTTCAACGTCTTGAAGCGGAGACAGAAATAAGACCAACACGAGGAGACAATGTTATTAAAAGCCGATTTATTTGTCACATGTCTAGCATACATGGAGTTGCATCTGGTAACTTCAGAGTAGCCGCCATCACAAGGGACCGGTCATTGTATATTCTGGGAGGACAAGCGTGTTGTACATCACTGGGCTAAGACACATGGTTGAAAAACGTCGAAGCAGTTATGGGAATAACATCCTGTCTGACACAAATCCTCCCAGAATATCATATATTCTGATAACACATACGACTTGGGATTATCACAGCTCTAGGATGGAATTATTGGAATGGTCCCATTGTGGAGAAGTCTACTACCTGTGTACCTTCATTCCTACCAAACTTGCTTTCGCTATGCACTATTTTTAAGGCCAGACCAGTTTTATGTCCTGTCTAATATCAAGCTCAACACTCACAACTTGTACACTATGTTCCGCAATGTGCAAACTTCATAGTACTCAAAAGAAGTTAAAGCAAGTGACTGAGTTGGAATCATACTTTGACACCAATAACGGGATTTACATGTTATACCCATGCAGAGAATTGAACCCTTGCCTTGGGCGAACGCTTTAATTGCTAGGATGCCCCACCAACCGCAAATGAACTTCAAAAATACCAAAATCAGTCTCAAACCTAAGTTAAAGAGTGGAGTTTTTCAACCTTTTTCGTGTAGTACAATCAAACTATGAATGAGTGAGTTTAGTTTTATACCACTTTTAGCAATATTCCAACAATATCACGGCAGGGGACACCAGGCAGGGGACACCAGAAATGGGCTTCACATATTGTACCCATGTGGGGAATCGAACCGGGTCTTCAGCGTGATGAACACTTTAACCAGTAGGCTACCCCACCACACATAAAACCTATGAAATATAACAACACTAAAAACAACTACAAACTTTCTACCACCTGGTCAGTGTTTATTTTTTGGTATGATTTCACTGTAAATAAGAGGAGAAACCTGTTCTGGCCTTAAACCTTTGGAACTACTGCTACTCAATGGAAATACTACGTGCGGTTGCTATAAAAGTAGTGAAAATATAAACTGAAAACAAAGAGTAGATCAAACTCATGAAACGATTGTCCTCTCAGTCATAAATGACAACAAATAACATTTTTAATACATCATCAGTTTTCAGGTTGTCCTGTTTACATTCACAGAAGCCTTCCTGGAGACAGACCAATCTCCATCTGAGCAACATTATTTAACTGGGTGTCATTATAAAGATGCTGGCTGAGTACAATATACTTGAGTAATATGAGTGCAAAATCAGCATTGCCAGAAGCACTGGTAAAATCTAAAACAAAAGTCTGTAACATTGTGGAATGGTAATTAACAAGGTTTGTACAATATATAGATCTAAATGTAACAAGTGTAAGCAAAACAGATGATTTACTGCTGTTTGAATCTCATCAAAAAATCAAATGGGCAAAATTACTCTTCTTGTACTCTACACCATAACTCATCTGAAAGGCAAGGTCATGGCAGTCATTTATCTTTTTTGCAAAAAGAAAAAAAGTCACTAAGGTTATTAGTTATTTTATAAAAGATCTGGCCCAGGCTAGCTATTCTCGAAACGTTCGTAGCTCTATGAACTTCTTAAGCCCATTCTTAACACATTGGCTACGATCAAAGTTAAGAATTCTTAGGGCTACGAACGTTTCGAGAATAAGGGCCCTGATTTCTCAAAACAAACTTAAGTCTGAGTTTTGACTTAAATAATAGTTTTTACTCAAATTTGAGAAAGAGCAGGAAAATGACTTTCCCAGAATGAACTGAAATCGATATTACACTCAAACATAGTGTACAATATGAGTTGGGTAGATAGGCTACTTAAGTTGTTTGGGCTTTTTTATTAAACAAATGCAGTTGAGTTCAAAAATCATCCGTTTCAAATTGTCAAACTCAGTTTGAAATTTGAGTAAAAACTTAAGTTTTTTCAAGAAATTGTGGCCTGTTTAATGTGTGGGGAGAAAAGCCTGGAGTAAGGCATGTAACCAACCACCACACTGGTGAAACCAATAAATGGGTACAGTGAAACCAATAGTGAGTAAGTGAGTGAGTTTAGTTTTATGCTGCACTCAGCAATATTCCAGCTATATGGTGGCTGTCTGTAAATAATCAAGTGTGGTCAGACAATCCAGCGATCAACAGCATAAGCATCGCTCTCCGCAATTGAGATACATTGACATGTGTCAACCAAGTCAGCGTGCCTGACAGTGAAACAGATAAGTGGGCATAGTGAAACTCCTTAGCTGTTATCAAGCACATTTACCAGTATGAATCTTGTATTCGAACCAACAACTGACAAGGGCAGGATCTGGGGTGCTGTGTATCCAGGCTTAATGCATCCATTACTATTCCGGACATCTGATATTGATGAATGCTGAGCCTATATATCAGCGAGGCATTACATGACAAGAATAACTGATGCCGTAAAATGGTCAGAGGATCTGAACTTGCTCACAAATCTGACCACCACGGCAGATGAATACACTGAACACGAAACTAATGTCAAAACAAAACAAAAGCCTGCGATACTGTGCTGACCGACCATGTTCACTGCAGTGATAAATGGCAATATCACACAAATCTTTTTAAACCAGTGATAAATGGCAATATCACACAAATCTTTTTTAACCAGTGATAAATGGCAATATCACACAAATCTTTTTAAACCAGTGATAAATGGCAATATCACACAAATCTTTTTTAACCATCTGCTCTCCTTTTTACAAACATCATCTTCCCATTATTTCTACAATTCCTTGATTCTGCATTCTGATGAAGCACAATGAATAAAGTTTGTGATTGCCAAATTGTCAGGAGTTGCTATTTGTTTTGCACTACGTCAATGTTCATCCAGTGACTTGGTCCAGTACGGTTAACAATTTCAATGAATCTCCAATAACAAGGTATTTACAGAAGCCCTGGAGTGACAATATGGTTTCATACAATGATTAGTGAGTTAGTGAGTTTAGTTTTACACCACTTTTAGCAATATCCAAGCAATATCATGGCAGGGGACACCAGAAATGGGCTTCACACATTTCACCAATGTGGGGAATCAAACCCGGGTCTTTGGAGTGATGAACGAAAACTTTAACCACTAAGCTACCCCACCAGCTTTCCGACCCAGAGACATTGTTTACATATTGAAGATCAATAACAAAAAAATCTCTAAATACAAACATAAAGACTAAAATATATTTGCATGGTACAGATAACCGTTCCTTTGGTAAAGAATCCAAGTGATTGACACCAATTGCTTTCATGATATAATTACAGATTGTGAGAAAGTCTGTCACTTCTACCAGCCTTCCATCAACGTCTATCACAAGTGCACACATTCATTAACAAACCCACTAATTACAGTAATACACACACATTGGCTGTAGATACCATCATCACTTGCTACTATGGAGGGCAGTATAGAAATAACCTTCTTCGCCTAATATAAACAATCAGAGGTGCGACATATACTATCTGATCTCGTCACATGTGAGTGTGTATGGTTTACACTGCTTTTAGCAATATTCCAACAATAACATGGTGTGGACACCAGAAATGGGCTTCACACATTGTACCCATGTGGGGAATCGAACACAGGTCTTCGGGGGACGAGCGATCGCTTTAACCACTGGGCTACCCTTTGGTCACATGTATCAATAGTACTCTGGTATATCATCTGTGTACAAGACGTGTCAGGATATATGAAGATATAGATACATGAACACAACAAAACTGAAAGGGTAAATATACGGTTATAAAATTAAAACCCTTTCTTGAAAATACCTTTTCATGATACATACAAAGATGCACTTTTTCAATAAAATGTTTTTTCAAAATATATTATATTTTTTTAATTTCTAGAGTAAGCTTGACCACAGAATGCAAAAATTAATTGGTTTTGCTTAAGTTTCAGAGATGGACTTACTACAACATGTAAATGGTACATTATAAGAATACTACTCAACTTTTGCTTAGGAACAAACCTAAGCCATTAGTTGTGCCATCTACATAGTCACATTGTGTGAACATTATCACAAACAAAGATGGATAGATTGTGAAAGAAATATAACCTAAAACCTATTATCTTTAGTGATACAAGCTAACAAGACTGTCCTTGTCAATACTGGGGCAGAGTTGAACTCTCACACCTCTGTCAGTGCTGCCCTCTAGTGGTGAATGACTAGAAGAGTATAAGTATTGTCCATGTCGATATTGGGACAGCGATGTACAGCACTGCCCTCTAGTGGTGATTGAAGAAAAGAGTATAAGTATTGTCCATGTTAGTACTGGGGCAGCAATGTACAGCAATGCCCTCTAGTGGTGACAGATTGATGAGAAGAGTATAAGTATTGTCCATGTCGATATTGGGACAGCGATGTACAGCACTGCCCTCTAGTGGTGATTGACGAGAAGAGTATAAGTATTGTTCATGTCGATATTGGGACAGCGATGTACAGCACTGCCCTCTAGTGGTGATTGAAGAAAAGAGTATAAGTATTGTCCATGTTAGTACTGGGGCAGCAATGTACAGCAATGCCCTCTAGTGGTGACAGATTGATGAGAAGAGTATAAGTATTGTCCATGTCGATATTGGGACAGCGATGCACAGCACTGCCCTCTAGTGGTGATTGACGAGAAGAGTATAAGTATTGTTCATGTTGATACTGGGACAGCGATGTACTGTCACACCTTCATCAGTGCTGCCCTCTAGTGGTGATTGAGCTAGGAATCCTGTCCTGAGGAATCCGTACATACAGCAATACTATTGGCAGGGTCAAGGACGTCACACAAGCATATCATTGTCTGCAAATGTTTTAATTAACATGCAGACCTCTTCTGTTTATGCCTTGTTCTTCACTAAATCTATTTCAGCAGTTTTACGTATTTCTTCGAATGAATAATCCTTCAAAAGTCTTCCATTTTCAAACACTGTCACCAGTAGGTCCTGAAATAAAAAGTGATTGAGTGAATGACTGAGTGAGTGAGTGAATGACTGAGTGAGAGAACTCTTTGATTTGAACCAAGAAAGAAAACCAGGACAAATACATTCATTCAATCCAATGAACCTTTGCGTATGGCACAGACATCTGCTCGGCAAATTATGGCTCCTTCCATGAATGCACACCTCCCACTCCCCCTCAAGCCCAGCCCTGTCCTCAGGGTTTCAGTGATACAACTACCATGCTGTCCCAATCCGCTAATCTGCCACAGAATCTCCGCGTGAAGGTGGAACATGCATGGTTTTATTGACAATACTTTGCAGGTTAATATATATCGTCACTGCCTTCAAAACTGAGGCACCATGTGTCCTATTAAAGGTGTGTAAGGAACTCATGCAGTGTACAGCAAAATGAGAGGGTGAGTGAGTAAGTATGTTTTTATGTTGCTTTTAGCAATATTCCAGCAATATACTTCGGGGGTAACCAGACATGGGCTTCACACAGTGCACCCAAGTTAGGAACTGACCCCAGTCTTTGGTGTGACAAGCGAACGTTTTGACCACTGCCCTGTTACAAAATGATAGTTATATGAGCTGTAAGAGTCCATAAGATCATAACACCATAAGGCCAGGGCACACGTTGCATGAACATGTTGCTGCTGTCATCTCTATAATACCTGTTGGAAGAACTGGGCGATTTCCCGGTCGTATAATTTGTTAGTTGAACAGACACTACGCATCAATTGTAATTGGTGACTGAGGAACAAAGTATACAAGACCATAACGTGGCCATGTGAGTGTCTCACCTTGGCGGGGTCTCCCTTCCCTTCTGTCATTGTGACGTACTGTCCGTCCTGAATCTGCAGCGTCAGCTTGCCCTTCTTGCTCTTCTTCCCAGGGTCTGTGATTGGGTCCTTGAACACATTCACCTGGAACACAACACAAAACACAGCATCAGTTTCCGCAGCATTTTATGGTATTATCAATAATAGATCTGGTTTTGTCTGTAACCAAGAAGTGAACCTTTTCTGAAATCTCTGTAACACAACACCAAAAACAGTATTAGTTTATATTAAAAAAATCAGATGGTATTACCAGCAACGGATCTGGTTTGGTTTCATCCAGTAACTAAAAGGGAACGTTCTCTGATGAAAAGCTCTGTTGCAAAATACCTGGACAATAAGTTTCCTTGTGCTCTGTAGCTAACCCAAAATGCTACACTAAAGGGCACACTCTGGCCTATACCATAAATGACTAAGTAACTTCACTATGCATCCAATTCTCATTCCTACCATGGTAACTTGATAGGTCTGTCAAAGGCACTTTTCTGTGTATCCCCTTCTTCATTGAATAGCCACATTTAAAGGCACATTGCTTTGTATCTCCCAGTGAACTGGATAGCTACATATAAAGGCTCACTACTGCGTAGCTGCCTCTAAGATGAAACGCTACTTTTAAGGCCAACTTTTTTACATCCCCCTGTTCACCGCTCATATAACTTTTTTATATCCCCCTGTTCACCGAAAAACTACAACTAAAAGTGTATTTCTGTGAATCCAATCTTTCAACACCTTTCCATTGATCACTAATTATAAGCTACACTCAAAGGCACACTTCTGTGTATTCCCCTTTAACTAAATAGTTCTCACCTCTTTTCCATTGATTACTGAATAGCTACACTTAAAGGCACACTTCTGTGTATCTCTGTCCAATCTCTGTAACAGAGCCCCTCCGCTGCCGAATGCGAGATTGTCCGAACTCCACTTGTGTTTGCGCACATTGATCAAGATTTCCTCGAGCTTCTAGTAGCTGATGCCATCTCCCTGTATTACCCGGATGCATGGGGGCAGCATCTTGTAGCCTTTACTGTTCTCAGTGTATCCAAACTTCTTACCTAGAGACTCTAATACCTGAATCAACAGAACGACCAGTTTCAGGGGAGGTGTGGCTTGGGAAATTAGTGTCCTTGTAAGTCTGATGCTTTCACAAATATTTCGTATGTGTATCAGTCACAGAGAGATTTGTAAAACATCAAAGTCTGTGCATAATTGTGGAAAAGTATGGGAAATTTTACTATAAATTGTATATTTATATACTTATCCTATCTCACGGTATGCACCTCTCTTCTTCTACGACCATGTGTGGAAACGTGCTGTAGGCTAAGTAGACAATGTAGAACCCTAAAGCTTCTTGGAGGTACGAAGATGTTGGAGGTACTCTGCCACCAACTGCGGCGAAACAGTAGTGGGAGAAGCTATACATCTGGCCCTGCATGACGCCTCAAAGTTCTTCCACTTGACATCATAGAGTGACCTAGTAGATGAGCGATGCGCTGTAGTGATGGCAGTAGCAACACACTGAGAATATCCCTTAGCAGTTAGCGACTTATGGAGATGCGCCAAACATGAAGATGAAGTGTGAGCGGAGACCAATGCAGCTGATCGGAGTGCGGGTGCACCAGAAGATCAAGGCGTTCAGGAAGTGGTACAGGATCTGGATCGGCCAGTTCTTGTAGATCGACGAACCACGCTCTGGCCGGCAAGAAGGGCGCGACCAAAAGCAGTGTCATCCGCTGAGTCGTGCGTAGTTTCAGTAGTATGCGTGGAAGTATGGCCACTGGTGGAAACGTGTACGTGTTTAGGTCGTCCCAAGGAATGGCTAGACAGTCTGGAACACCTGTGGATGTAGTTTCTACTCTGTCGGGGGGGACGAAGTGGCCGGGACAGAGAATCCGCAATCACATTCTTCACTCCTGGAATATAATTGGCTCGAACAGAGATGTCGAGATTGTCCACCAGCTGGAAGAACCGTTGTGTCCATTCCAGGAGTTGAGGCGACCCTGTCGATCCAATCCGGTTGATGTGCCACACTACCGCTGCATTGTCCGACCGGACCAAGAGAGAGGTCGATCGTAGAATCTCTTGTCAGTGAGTGATGGAGAGAATCACTGCCCTGAGCTCTAGAACGTTGATGTGGTAAGCGCGATCTGCAAGAGACCACCGTCCTGCCACTTGCTGATCGAGAAGGTGAGATGCGTCCACGTACAGGTGGTGAGTCAGGACGAACGGCCTCAAGCAGACTCCGCCGCAGACGTTCAACTCTTAGAGGTAACTTGATCAGGGAAGGCGGGTTGCCCAGCCTGATGTGTGGAGACAGGAATAGGAATAACTGCAACAGTCGAAGTTGAAGCTGACCCCCGAGGGTCAACATCTTGGCCGACGTCAAGAGACCCAGGAGCTCCTGCCACTGATGAAGTGTCCTGGGTTGAGACAACGCAAGGGGAATTAATCGCCGGATCTCTGTTGAGCTCTGTGTCGAACACTGCCCCGATGAACAGCAGGCGGCGTGAAGGGACTAGCTCCGACTTCTCCATGTTGACCAGCCAGCCTAACTGGTGAAGTAGCTGCATCGTGAACTCCATGTGACGTAAGAGGAGTGCACGGTCGGTCTGAGCCTGGATACAATCGTCGATGTAAGTCTCAAACAGTGTCCCCTTGCGACCTTGGAAGATCGGGATGTGAAGGTACGCATCCTGAAGGTCTAGGCTGACCATGACTGACTGACTGAGTTTAGTTTTACGCCGCTTTTAGCAATATTCCAGCAATATCACGGCGGGGGACACCATAAATGGGCTTCACACATTGTGATGATGACTGACAGGTATTGTTATCGGAGTGGGGGCAGAGGTCAGGTGGGCAGAGGCCAGGAAGTTTGATTCAACTTAGGTTACAGCACGTTTCCACACATGGTCGTAGAAGAAGAGAGGTGCATACCGTGAGATAGAATAAGTTTAAAAATGTGAAATTTTCTGATTAAATCAATAATCTCATTTCAATTATTTTCAAGCTTTTTTTCAGAGGATTTTGCACTCAAATGTTTTCGAACAACTAACATGTGATTCAAACATACAAAACATGAATCCTACAATTATTGACAATTGAAATTTGAAATAAACGATGCTTATGTCATGTATTTACATTTTCATGGCATTATGACTACAAAAATGAATTTTAAACCAAACTCAGAAGTTATATTCAGTGACCAAAATCAACAGGAACATGATATTACTATAACAAGTGAATCTCACCTTGACGACAATTGTTGGGGGATCGCCTGAGTCTGGCCGCACAACGAGTACACCGCCATTCTTCCCTCTCTCAATGACCACATCCTTGAGATCCTCGCCCCACACTTTCTCACAGGCATTGAAAATGTCGTAACTGTCACTCACACACGCCATGGCCCCTTCAGGAAACTTGGTCAACATGTTCTTAAAGGCTTCGAGCTCACCGTCTCGGCCCCATGTGGTGATTGTGCTGAAAAACGAGTGAGTGAGTGAGTGAGTGAGTCAGTCAGTCTTTTTCGTGTGTGATGGCTAGTTGTGTCTTATAACAGATGCTGTTGAACAGTTGACAAGACTTCATCATTAACATGTGCTTGTGGTGTAGCTCAGAAAATTCCCCTAAATCCTAATCATCCACAGCCAGTGCCACTAACTGACATATTCTCGTCGTATAATAAACATATCCTTTAGTGTCATTATACTTCAATACTATTGTTCTTTGCTCATGATATCAATCACTGGATTGTCAGGTAGATTGGGGGTGAGCGCGTGGTCGGCTCCGCCATTTTGTTTCACTTCCATACAGGCTATGACATGCATTTGGAAAACTTAGTGAAACTTCGTTGTCAATAACACGCAATATACACAGTCGAGACCCAAAAGATCACATGCTAAGCTTCCTAATGCTTTTACCGGTGTCTACTCAAATAAATCAAACGTGACGTACAAATTTTCTTCTATAAAAAAAAAATTGTATTTGAAAATCGGAGTAACTCCACCAAAATGGGAGAGGTTGGCATCTCTGAAAACCTGATCATGAGTTATCCAAGGTTCGACGTAACCGAAAAAAGATGCAAAAAGAAGGAATAAGCAGGAACCCAGATTTTATTTTCAGACAACCATATGTTTGATTCATCAAGTTTGACTGTTGCTGGAATATAGCTGAGTATACCAGTAAACAACAACAATAAACACTCACAAAGGGTCTAATTGGCTAGGTTTATTGTTTGTTTGATGCTTAAAGCTGCACTTGGCTGTATTCCAGCTATATGGCGGCGGTCTGTAAATAATGGAGTCAAGACCAGACAATCCAATGATCAACAGCATGATATTCCCTTAGTCGCCTCTTACGACAAGCATGAGTTACTGAAAACCATTTTTAACCTAGATCTTCACAGGTCTGACTTAGCTAGGTCACAATGACCTCTTGTATGACTCACCTGTGTTCTGCTGCAGGTATGGAGAAGCCAGCGATGTTGCAACCATAGTACACTCTTGCAGTCATCAAAGAGGCGATGGTGTCTGTTCCCATAAAGTTGACCAGGTGGGCACACCCACCAATACCAGCAGCCTGAATTAAGTGAGTTTAGTTTTACCCAACTTTTATAAATATTCTAGGGATGTCACGATACATAAGTTTCATGAATCTATACGTATTACGATACCCATGTCACGATTCGATGCATATCACGATACCAATTTTTGCGGCATTATTGCATAAATTTAGTTACATTTTGAACATTAATATTTCATATTTTATAATTGTCCATGAAAAGATCAACATTTTTTATTCTCAGAGATTAAAAAGTTCTAATTTCCCATCTTTGTGGATTAAAAATAATCATTTATAACTCTCACAACATCAAAAAACATGATACAATTGCAAAATGTAAACCGATACTTTCAAAACTAAACATCAATACAGTTTTGAATGTATCGATAATTGTATCATCTTAGAAGAAGTATTGATGCATCGATGTATCGATATATCATGTCATCCCTACAATATTCCAGGAATATCACGGCAAGTGACACCAGAAATGGGCTTCACACGCCTGAAGTAGACAACATATAAGCCCAGTAATTAATCGAGACCTGGAATTTATTGTTAATCAAATACCCCTTCCCCAGCATTTGAGGGTTTATTCAAGGACTGGACTGACTGACTCACTGAGTTTGGTTTTACGCCACTTTTAGCAATATTCCAGCAACATCACGGCGGGGGACACCAGAAATGGGCTTCACACATTGTACCCATGTGGGGATTCGAACCCGGGTCTTCGGCGTGACGAGCCAACGCTTTAACCACTAGGCTACCCCACCGCTCCTCAAGGACTGGAGTTGACAAGGCAATAGGTACTTGTTGCAATATCTAGCCCTAGACTCACAATAAGTAAAAGTGGAGTGCGCTCCTTCCATTAGCATACCTCCACTGAAGTGGAACCTCTGAATCCAAAGTCATGGAGTTTGAACGGAAGACCATCAAGATTATCTGCGGTTTCATCCAGATACCGAGCGATGATTTCCTTCTGGTATCGGGAGTTGGTGGCGACGGTCATGGGATACCATACCTGTACCAGCAGGGTCTGAACAAAAACAGCAGGTTACCATATAAACATCTCGAGTTTTCATAAATGTTATTGTTTTAAACCTAATAGAATGACAAGTAAGGCTGGTCACATGACTGTTTGCACGGGGAAAGGGAGGTAACTCGTGGGTGAGTGTATTTTTACGTCCGCTTCGGGAACTACAAAGGATTCAAGTGTTCCACTACCATTCGCAAGGGAAAGGGAGATAAGCAAAGGATCATTAGTCAGGATAAGGAAACATTTACATTCTTTAAAAATATATATATGCTGCTCATAAGGAGCTAAAGAATACCTGATTTTTTTCACATAACAGATTAACTTTGTCATGTTTGTAGTCATGAAAATATCTTTAACTTCTTTTGAATAGCATATCGGTATAAAGTTTCAAGAACCTCACCTCAAAGTAGTTGGTCAACCAAAAACATTTGGGATCTGTGTTTTCAACAACAAATAGGACATTCTTGTATGGCACAACAGTGCCTTCTGGAACAGCTTTGATCCGCAAAGGGAGATAACCATTATGCTTCTGAAGAAAATATGTCAAAACATGTTATTTAGAAAACCAGGCCATTTATAAGAGCACATTGGGCATAAAAATATGAATAGACTAGATACTGTAAGAAATATAGCAGACAAAAGCTGATTTCACGATAAATTATGTTAATGATACCGGTAATAGGATGTACGTATTTCGCATGTACCCCTTCATTCAAACAAACATGCCTGGTAAGAACACTCAGAAAATCATGTAAAGTATATATAACTCCAATAATTATTTCTAAAACAATCCACAACACTTCATGACACATCTGAATTATGCAGAAAGTGGAATAATACACAGGCTAGACATTTTTCTCAAGTATTCCCATTACCATATGAAAGCAATCTCTGGTCCCCCAGAAAATCTGATGGATGTCATTAAACATCACAGCAAATACATGTGACTATATAAAAAATATGAAAGCAATCTCTGGTCCACCAGAAAATCTGATGGATGTCATCAAACATCACAGCAAATACATGTGACTATATAAAAAATATGAAAGCAATCTCTGGTCCACCAGAAAATCTGATGGATGTCATCAAACATCACAGCAAATACATGTGACTATATAAAAAATATGAAAGCAATCTCTGGTCCCCCAGAAAATCTGATGGATGTCATCAAACATCACAGCAAATTCATGTGACCATATAAAAAATATTCAACAAGTGTCTGTAGTTTCGTTCTGTTACAGCCAGAGTATTACACTGACCCATTAGACCACTTCAGGTCTAAGAAACTCGACCAAGAGAATATTTCCTGACATTCGTCCAGAGACTAATGACTAAGGCACAACAACCATGAACCTTTTGCCCCGCGGCAGTCTATCCACTCAATCACAGAGATGTTCATTAACATACAATGGCATACCTCGAGAATGTAATTCCACCCTTCTTCATTGAAGTTGTCTCTGCCGAAGTGAAGCGCATACAGTTCTTTTGCCTCTTGAATTTTTTCTCTTGTAACCACTGGCCCTACTAGCCACCTCTTGAGGATATATTGCAGACCAAAGAAGACAGTGGTGGGGAACTTGCCACCTCTGCTCTCAAAGTAGGAACACACTGTAGTTGTGTTTGGGGGATACTGCATGTGATGGGTCACCTGAGAAAAACAGACAGAATATATTGATGAGCATATGGCACATCAGGTCAACTAAATGTGAGGAAAGAGTGAGTCAGTAAATTTAGTTGTATGCCGCTTTTAGCACTATTCCAGCAATATCACAGCAGGGGACACCAGTAATGGGCTTCACACATTCTACCCATGTGGGGGTGAGCGAACGCTTTAACCACCAGCCTACCCCACCGCCCTACCCCACCACCCTGTGTGAAAGGATGTGACATGAGTTAATATATTCAGAGCAGTACACCAGAGATCATAATCAGGCAAAAATGGACCTGGATCTGGGCAAAGTAAGGGATGCAACTCTGCATAGTTACAATGACTGAAGAAGATAAAACTGTGATAACAAGTTACACTGCATAACACTTCCCCTTTAACTTAAATAATTACGTAGGAAGACTTTACATTTTGTCTGTATTCATTGATCATTTTGATAATCAAAGTTATCTATGTTTGCTAAATAGTTCAATACTCTGTTCTTTAAGCAGGCAGTTATGGGACGCGAACTCCTGCGTCCTATAGGCATAAAAATTGACAATGGACACACCGAAATTTAACAGCGCGTACCCAGGGAAGCAGAAAAAGTTCAAATACTTTTTGTAACATTTCAATCAAGTAACAATAAGTTATCACTGAATTTGCTACTAGCTCGGTTATGGTATTATTTGCAATTCAATTACTGTAATAATGTGATGATCATGATAAACATACAATAACAGTAAGTGAATTACAACAATATTACAACATAGTATTAATAATGATATCTAAGAGTCTGGGACCCCCATTTTGTAGTCCAGGACCCCTGAAAATAAAGAGTATGAGTCCCAGGGATCCTCAAATATAGGACTCAAGGAAAATCCCTGCTTAAGTGTCATTTAGCAGTTGGTATGATGAAGAGGCACAAATGTTATCGATTGACAACTTCATTATTTACTTTCATTAATCTGCACAGGTGATAGTCAGAGATTACAGAGACTGACAGAGATCCTGGGCAACAATAATTAATTTCAAGGGTTTTTATAGAAAATATGAGGGCCTTGTAAAGTAATGAAAGAGTATAGTGTACTGCAATGTAATGCTTGATAACTATTTTAATTACGGGACCTGTATATTTCTTTTAAAAAGTTTGTATGATGAATATTATAGTGCAATATTTTGTCTACATTCATACTGTACATGTGTGCAATAGATACACATCTCTGCATTTGTAAGATCCTAAGTGATATCACAGAAAATATCAGAATTACACTTATACACTTCATTGACCCGCACTGGTTCACGAAAGAACTTACAAAAAAATCACATATTTTCCATCACATGTCTTGCAGAACTTTGCACTCCATAACAGCCACTCTGATGGAGCAATATTTCATTATCAATCACAATCCTAGAAAGTGTACATGCGCTGACATCAATCGAACCAATGTCTCAGAAAAAGGCACAGTGCGCAAATATATCCAAGAAAGCCCACGCAAGTCTAGAAGATGTGGCAAGTCTAGATTTCCTCAGCTTCATGAAGAAATTCTCAGGGCTCCTTTTCATTATATTTTATTTTATTTAACCATCAATTTTTTTTCAGTAAAATATGTTCATTTCAAAGACTAGTTGTTAGTCTACGCAAAACCGTACGCCTCCAATCAATTATCAGTTATTTAGATCTATCTGCACATCTCGCTCGTCTAAAAATATACCGAACTCTTCTGCGCCCTGTGCATAATCAACTACTTGGGACATGCACTCAAATGCACCAGTAAGTGGAAGTGCGATAGCACACTAACGAAGTGACATGCATATCATGTTCTACATTCACTTTAGCAGAACTGTTTAGCAGGTGCGCGAATATGCTTTGAAAACGAAAGTTAAAATGCATTCTCCTTTAGAAACGTGTGTCTGTTAACATATGTGCGCATACTAAACTTCCTGTGTTTCATAGTACCCTATCCTGTAATTCTGACAAGTTTCAAATTACGGTTTACCTTGTAAGAATCGGTGACAAGGAGAATGTTTTCCGTCCCGGCCGCTTGATACGTCGCCATCTTGAACGCTTTGGCATGTGACGTCATAGCAACCTGGAAAGTGGGCGGGGCGCAGTGTCAGTTTGAAGACTGGATTTATCCTGTGTTTTCTGTACGCTAACCCGATATGCTGTTTAGAGACAGAAACTAGTCCTTTATCAATGTCGAGACAGCCATCACTGTCCAGGTTTAAATTCTTTGTCGCTTGCTGTGCGTATGAGTGCCTACGGTGGCTGTAGGATCGGTTATATAGCTATCAGTAGTCAGCTCTTAATTTATCTTGTACAGTCATACACACAGCCTATCGCTGTTACTCGCTAGAGAATTGCGAAATGTATCTCACCAACCTGTTCAAACAACGCCGATATCCAATAGCCCGAAACAGCGCACAGTGATGTCTATAATTATCTTTTTAAATGAGTGAGTGAGTTTGATGCTGCATCAGCATATTTTAAGTGAAGAGCATGAATAAGCAAAATATTGAGCATGAATATGTATAAATAGAAATATATTTAAAAACACGACGTGAATACAACTTCACTCCAAATTAATAAATGACTGACTGACTGAGTTTGGTTTTACGCCGCTTTTAGCAATATTCCAGCAACATTACGGTGGGGGACACCAGAAATGGGCTTCACACATTGTACCCATGTGGGGATTCGAACCCGGATCTTCGGCGTGACGAGCCAACGCTTTAACCATTAGGCTACCCAACCGCCCCTCAAATTAATAAATGAAATTGTTATGTCTGATCGTGTTTTGGTAGGCCTGTTCCCTTTCTACAATGCGCCAAATTACTGTTAATAACATGGATACAAAGGACGTTATGTGTAAGTTAATGCCGCTCTTACGAAACAAAATTATCGTTGGTTCGTTTTCGGACGGCAGTGTTTACTCTCGCTATATAGCGAGGCGGACTGCGTCACACAGACATTGTAAACACCCGGATGATGGTTTGTGTTTAAGATGAAGTCGTCTTTATGAATAAGTTAGTGACATGTTTTACAATTGCTCATGTGATAATAGAGACAACATGCAATGGCTGTTCATAACACCTCCCCGGTCCCACCAACTTTATAATGTTCTTACACCGTAACGCATAGACTAAGGCTTAGTCTCTGAATATATATAATTTTGATAGTAACAAACAAGCCCATTTAAATTGAAAAGGAGCCCTAGGGAGACCAGAGATTCAGAACCTGGGGAAATCTAGATTTGCTTCGTTTAGGGCTTTAGCACTACAGGGGAGGCTAGGCTGTAGGAAAATAATGTGGTTCAGGGACTGTGAGACAGACTACGTAACGCACAACGCCCCGTCGTCTCGACTAGGCTAACGCTTAGTCTCTGTATATGTATACACAAAGAACTTAGTTAAGCAGACCATGACCAGAGACCATGTATCTATTATATGGTCTCAGCCTAGACATATCTCACGACTGAATGAGCCCCGATCTTAACCCCTGGGGCATATCTGGGACATGTTTGGTCACCGTGTGCAACAAAGGGATCCTCCTGTACAGAACCTGGCCCAATTGGAAGCTGCTTTACACGAGGAATGTCGTAGACTGGCCCATCAGAGGATCAGGAGGCTGAGAGGGGGTATGAGGAGGAGAGTGCTGGCTGTTATACACTCAGTATTGACCTTGAATCGTGTAAGACACGCAAATGGCATTATGAATGTTCACATTCACCAATAAATTCAACATTAAAAATTCCAGGGCCATACCTGCACAGATGGTTTTGTATGAAAATCAATGGGTTTTTTAAAATGAGAATTTATCATTATATAATCAACATGGATCCCAATCATTTTGTCGTTTTTTTATGAGTTAAAGGATCATACGGGTCAGAAAAACTCATGTTTTTACATCGTGGTCACCACGAGAGGTTTTATGTACGTGTTGAAAACCTATGATTGCAAAAATGCAGGCGGTGCTTAATTAAGTTCTTTGTGTATATATAATTTTGATTGTGACAAACAAACCTATTTAAATCGAAAAGGAGCCCCAGGAGACAAGAGATTCAGAACCTGGGGAAATCTAGACTAGCTTCATGTAGGGCTTTAGCATTGAGGGAAGGCGAGGCTGCAGGGATAGACTACGTCTCGATATCAACAGCGACCTACTGCTTAGATTAGTGAGTATTGCTTAACGCCGAGTCAGCAGTTTTGCAGATATTCGCGGTGATAATAGTATACCGCCCTATCTCTTGATTAGTGTACTTACACAGCGTCGTGTGTGTGTGTGTGCATGTGCGTGTGTGTGTGCATGTGTGTTGCAAGCATAACATTCAGCCTCATAAATGAAAATATTTGACCGAAAACAAGACTTGTGAAATTAACGTTATAAAATATCCTATAAAGGGGCCAAGGGACTTTTCAGTATCAACCTGACACTAGTAATGTGGATTTACTTGAGATACTGGAGGTAATCTGGCTTAAGGGAGATAATTCATGGATGCCCTCTTCACATGAGAACACAACTGCCATAATATGGAGTGAGTATGGTTTTAACTTGCTTTTAGCAATATTCCAGCAATATCACGGCGGGGACGCCAGAAATGGGCTTCACACATTGTACCTATGTGGGGAATCGAACCCAGGCCTTCGACGTGACGAGTGAACGCGTTAACCACTAGGCTACCCCACCGCCCCTAAGGGACCGTTCATAATTTATGGCTAGGGGTGGGGGGTGGGGTGTGTGTGTGATGATGATTTTAAGGGGGTGTCACCCATTTTGTTCTGGCGAGCTAAGGGGGGGGTTCATCAATTTTGTACACACGTACTAGTAGGGGTCATCAATTTTGTACATAAAAATATGTTTAATATATATATTATGCTTAGAAATCATGGTAAGGGAAGGGGGTGGGTGGTCCTTGACATGCAGGTGTGTGTGTGTGTGTTTCACTTAATTTGTACATACATTTTAGGGGGGTTATTCACGTTGTACATGATTCTCCATAAAAATGATCATATACCACCGCACCCCCCACTCCCAGCCATAAATTATGAACGTTCCCTAAAGGCAATTGAACACAAAACGACAGAAGCACACAAAGATCCCAGAATGGAAGCAGTGGGGTGGAACGTAAAAAAGTGATATTATTCGATAGATTAAGTACCCTATTACTTGGTCACTGATTGACTGACCATGAACCGATTGATCGGCAAGTTCGCCAAGGGAATAATCGATCGATCAGCCAATTAGCTCGTTAAGAACTATACACAGCACCAAGCGAATCAATTTGTGCAGGACTAGACGGAGTCTGAAGCACTGAAGTTTGAATATGTACATATGGTGTGTGCGTTTATATGTATGGTGGTGAGGGAATGGTGGCTGGCTGGGGTTCGGGGTCAGCCTGTGTGTTGCAGGGATCGTGTGGGGTGCAGCTTGGAGGTGGGGTGTGCCTGTTGGTGTTTGAAACATATATTCACTTGTCGAAGAGACTGTCACACCCAAGATTACGTTGGAACTACCAACCTTAACTATCATGATTATCCATGCCGTGGGCAGAACATCGCCACTTTGTCTCCAATAAAACAAGGATGCATGTTGGGGGGCCAATATTCTGGTTGTGGTTCCCGTGGTCGCCCCAAAGAGTTTGTCTTATCAACTAACCTCGTCACCTCTGATCGTTTTATAGCAGTGGAGAAAAAATAACAACAACAACAACAACAACAACAACAACAACAACAACAACTACTACTACTACTACTACTACTACTGGTGGTGCTGCTGCTGCTACTACTACTACTATACCCGTGAAGATCCGGGTTAGAATTGGTTTTCAGCAATCCATGCTTGTTGTCGTAGGAGGCGGGATTGGATCGTATCCAAACTGCGTAAATCGATGCTCATGCTGTTGATCACTGGCTTGTCTGACTCGATTATTTCAGGCCACCGCCATATAGCTGAAAAAAATGCCGAGTGCGTCGTTAAACGCACATCTATTACTACTACTACTACTACTACTACTACTACTACTACTACTGCTACTACTACAGATACTGATACTACTACTACTACTACTGCTACTACTACCGATACTGATACTACTGCTACTGCTACTACTGCTACTGCTACTACTGCTGCTGCTACTACTGCTACTACTACTACTTCTGCTACTACTGCTAC